GACCTCCTGGCAAGAACACCCACTCCTCGCCGGAAACTGTCACGCAGAGATTCCAGAAGACGTGTTTCCGTTAAGGAGCTTTTATGTTGGAAGCGATTACGAAAGCAACCACTGTCGGAATCTGCTAGTGACTAGAGCAGCCATGTCTGAGGGGCTCTGTCACAGACAGAGGTTTGTGGACTTGAACAAACTCTGAGGGAATACGATTTTACGCACAAGCAGCTCATCATCCCATCACAGTGCCATTAGGATTGTAGCCAAAACAGAGCTGCTGGAAAGCAAGAGGGAGGGAGAACCAGGAGGATTGCAAAGGAACAAAAAGAAAATAAACTATTGAGACCAACCATCCTCAAACCCCAAGGGGTTGAGATCATGCTCAATGGTCACAGCAAAGGGCTGTAGCTCAGTGGCTGAGTATCTGTTTTGCATATGGATGGTCCCAGTTTTATTCACTGGCATCTCCAGGTAGGGCTGGGAATGTCCCCTGCCTGAAACCCTAGCCAGCTGCTTCCAGTCAGTGTAAACAATACTGAGCTAAACAGACCAATGGTCTGACTTGGTATAAGGCAACTTCCTATGCTCCACAGAATACTGTTATTATTTAGTGCATTTAAAATCACTCTTCATTCTAAATTTTTGTGTACGTTGGTTTTTTTAGTTGGGGGGGGGGGGTTGGTAGGGTTGGTAAAAGACCAGGGAGAGTGGAGTATGGAATGGAGTATGCTGGAAGGGAGCATAGGTGAATAACTGGCTGGAGCACTGGAGAGCAACATTTTGTTGCAGCTTCCACTTGCTGTAAATAATAGTGTTACAGCTATGTTGTGCTGTTGGGCTAAGCAAAGAGCTAGAGCTTTCTTTCTAGGTTCTAATTGTTTGATAGTAGATAGTGAACAATATGTACTGTATTTACGCGAATCTAATGTGCCATTGAATCTAATGCGCACCTCAATTTTCAAAACCTTGAAACCAAAAAAGTATTTGCTGCCAAAGGTAATGTGCGCCATCAAATCTAATGTGCACCCTAATTTTCGCAATGTTAATTTGGCCAAAAAAGATGTGCATTATCTTTGAGTAAATACAGTATTTCCTTACTGGCTAGTCACTACTATCAGTCTTGCTGCCCTTTATTTAGTCTACTGTAGGTAGACACACCTTCTTGGAGGGAGGCTGTATTTGCTCAATCTGTGTGAAAAATGGATGTGCCAAGAGAGCTAAAATCTTCTGACTCTGACCCAATCCATGGATAATGCAAATTGGTTACAAAAGGTTACAAAACGGTGCCAACCAGTAGAAATGATCTTTAATAGTGTGCTGGGATGAGGCTAGAATTCTGTCCACTTGCTTGGGTTTCCTGCCTGCTCAGCTTGTACATTTGTAAATAGGCAGTTTATTACAAATACCACACTAAGTTTCTAGTGTTACTTTAGCCAAAAGAAAACTGCTCTGTAGAATAAGATTTCCCTGGAACATCCCGCTATTCAGAGATTTATGTAGCACAAAACAAAATCTACATCTCCAAAACATTTCTAAAACTTTAGCTGTCACCCAGCAGAACCAAATGCAGTGAAAACTGTTATATAAACTGTTGTGATATTCGTTACATCCCTGCTCTATATATTCATAAGCTCTATATTCACCTCTGATGCTATTCTATCCTCTGTTGCTGATATTATAGACAGATTTCATAAATTCTGCACAGGAAGGAATTTCAAGGAGACAAGCAGGCAGCTTTTGCTGCTGATTTTAGTTCTGGTGTTACTGCTTGCATGAGGGACACAAGGTGCTACCGTGACATTTACACATTTAGAAAAGCAGCATTCTTCCCAAGTATTTTCTGCTTTGCATAAAAGTGAACACTGTCAACTCCACTGATGCGGTGACACTTTACAGTACAGCTGAGCTGTCAATAAAGTTGCATTAGATTGGGAGATATTATTCACTGTAGAACTGTGAAATTTCTCTACAGCAATGAAAGCACAAGACCAGTTCTAAGCAATCATAGTGGAACAGCAAGGCATTTTCTGTATAACTAGTACTTTTGTTCTGGTGCCTGAGGCATAGGTGATATTTTGCAATTTCCCCTTCTGGATTGTCGTTTTGTAACCCTTTTTTATTTGCACAGTTTGATTGAGCCTTTCCAGCGTCATAAGCCATGGTTTATGAAGCCAGGAACAAGCACCAGGAATGAATGCTTCTCCTCTGCTTCTCCACTCCTCCAACTGTGCACTGGGTTCTTTGGTATGAAAAGTCTAGTTTGTATTAAGTCAAAGTTTCCTGCTATGTCCAAAGCAGTAAACTCTGTCTAAATGTCAGCAAACCAAGAAAACAAGTAAGGATGTGATCCTGGCTTTATTTTCCTGGTTTGCTGATAGGTAATGGAGTACAGTATCCTGGAAAAAAGCATGCCTGCATACTAAAAAGGAGTGTAAAGGCAATGAAAAATCAGAAAAGACTGGCAGGAGATATTTCACGTGCTTATTATTGTTAATGGTACGTTTCTTAACACAAATGTGCAGATAGCTCAGCCAAGTCTACATTATCTTCACATCTAACATCATGGATGCCCATCTATATGCAGAACAGATGTGGAGCTAAGGAATCAAACTGTGCCATGTGCACAGGACTGATTCCAAACAGCAGAATAATTTTAGCTAGGCCTGTTTCTGTGCCTTTCTGCTACTGGGTGGCACCACACATCAGTTATAAAACACATGATTTGCATGTGGAAGAGCCTAGGTTTAACCCCTGGCACCTCCAGATGAAAAATAAATAAATAATGTGATGGGGAAAATCTCTTTCTGGGACCTGAAATAACTTTTCCCAGACAGAATACTCAGCAATAGGCTAGATGGATCAAGAGTCTGACAACCTATAGTATGTAACAGGTATAAAAATCTTCATTGTAGTCAGAAGGATCTAGCAAGATCTGCTAGGCATCGCAGCTGGTCACAGTCACCTGTGTGAATTCAGATATAAGATGGAATGTACAGTAACAAACACTCATTATAGAATATATTACAACGATAGAAAATGGATCGGTCCATTATTGCTCTATTATTTTCTTATAGCTTCAAGTAAAAGCAAATGCAAGTGGGCTAGAAGTGAACTAATAAGGTTGTTCTAATTTTGCTATAAAATGCAAGCTGTTTTCCCACAGAGCTGTCTCCTGATTCCTGTGACAGAACAAATACAGCAACCCATTTTTTCTGTTAAAATAATAAGTGTATTATTTTCAATAGCAAAGACGCATGGAAAACATTAAACGTTGTCAAGCAATCTGCCCATGGTCAGACACAGTAAATATTTCTTGTGAAGGACACTAGTGAAACGTGAATATTTGTCATTTTTGTTGCTGCATAGTCTCCTGAGTACAGGATGAAGAGTTTTTGCAGAATGCTTAAAAGGCCATTAGTGGACCCACTGTGGTTCATCACCTTGCATTTCCCAAGCACGGGGGTGGGGGAGATGTGATCTGAAAGCAGAACATTCAGCTACCACTTCAAAAACATTTCCTGTATTATATTGACATTTCTATAGAGCTTTTCATAAATGACATCTCTGAGGATTTTACAGATCCACAAGTTATCTGCCTTTAGTGGGTTTTGTGGGTCAATGTTTGCTCTCACAAGCACACACAATGCGTACTGCATTTGTTGAAAGCCACCCAAGAAGAGGAGGGAAACTTGGCCCTCATTAAAGGAAAAATTAAACTAGCACAATGCAATTTGCTTCTAGATTCCTCACACTGGTGATCAAGTGTATCATTCACAACAAACACATTAGCTTCTCCAAAAGGAAACATTTAACCACACTGCTAAAGATTAATATTTGCTCTCAATGTGGGGCTTTCCATTGCTGCTAACAAAATAACTAGGCAGGACATGTCTCTGCAGAGCAGACAGGTGGTTATTTGCTTCAAAACGCAAATATTTTCTGCAACAAATACTAAAAATTAAAAAATAAAACAGTGCATTTAACTATCATAAATGATAGATGGAAGGTTGCTTTTGAGTTTTCTTTTTGGATTTTTTGTGGCATCCATTTCTGAGGACATAAAAAGGGATCTGGAGTGGTTTCATGCATTTTAATTTTATTTATCTGTGTACCCACTTTTCAGAGCAAAAACCCTTCAGAAAGCAATTTAAAATAATAAATTGGAATAAATACAAGTTAAAACCAATTAAATATAGCAAACAATACAAAAAAACCCCAACAGCTATATAAAACAGGAGTCCAATAAGACAGTTAAAAGGCCTTCAGACTCAGGCTGGTCTTTAGCACACACCTAAAGTCTGTGAGTGGGCTAGCAAATCTTACTAGGTAGTGAGATACACAGTCAGGGAGCCACCCCTGAGAGGATCCTGTTTCTAGTATTTCTGATAATGGCAGGGCCAAGGCAAGACCTTAGATACTAATCTCAAGGCTCAGATAGATTCACATGAATGGGATGTTCCATATTGATGAACAAAATTACAACTACTTTACCATTGTTACATGTGGTGGTATTATTTATGTATATGGTGCATCTGCTGGTGCACCAACTGCAACCTTGTCTGGAAAGTTCAGACAGTAACCCATGCCCTTCTCATGGGCAAGCTAGGCTTGACTATTGAAATGCGGATTCGGGGGGGGGGGCTGCCTTTAACATGACTCAGAAACTTTTATCTAGTTCAGAATGTAGCCACATGAATCCTGATGAGTGCTAGTATTTGGGTCGTAGGACACTATTATTGTGCCACTTGTACTGGTTGCTGGTGTGCTTTCCAAGCCCAATTTGCCAATTTTAACTTTTAAAACCTTAGAGGGATTGGATCCAAGTAATTTGAAGGACCATGTTCCCTAGTACCAATCTTTTCACATGTTATGGCCAACAACTGAGGCCATTCTCACTTGCATGTCAACAAGATGGTGGGCACAATGTGGAGGGCTTTCTCCATGATAGCCCATGACTCCAGAATTCACTGCCAGCTGGCTGCTATACAGTTGGTACCGTTTATAAATAAAAATTATTATTATTATTATTATTAGGCCTTCAGAAAGGCCTTGACAACCCGCTTAGTCTCAGTGGCTTATTTATGAGTGATACCTTATGCTGCCATTGCACTTCTGCAAATTATGTTTTATTCCTGGGACGCATGTGTATTTATTATTATGGCTTTTATTAATGTTGTGAGCTTTATTGGAAGTTTTAGTATTGTATTCTGTTTTAATATTTTCAGGAAATGTTTTTATGTGTTATTGTGTAAGCCACTTGGAGAGGATTTTAGTCATAAAGGCAGCCTATAAATATTTTTAAATAAGTTGTAGAAGGCTGATAAAAACTCCAACAAAAACTGTGCTACAGCTTCGGCTTTGGCTGGGGAGGGTGGGATATAAATAAAATTTATTTTTTATTATTATTATTACAGCATGGACAAATTCTGTAGCCTCTCCCCCTTTATTGCCAGCACATGTGACAGCCACAAGTCTTCCCCCACCCCAGTGATACCCTGATCTTCCTCTATGAAATATTGATCGATGTATGACCAAGATGGAGATGAATCTTTAACCCCAACATTGAAAAATGTGCACCCATAATAGCCAAATGAGTCTTCCGTATGTATGAAACGTGTGGATGTAGATGAAACACATGCTAAGCCCATTATTCTGCTGTGAAGTAAATGTGTTCATTCTCCACACTCTCAATAGTCACAATGAAGGACTAATAAGCACCAAAAGAGGAAAAGCTGGTTGATGATACAAGGTATAACAAGAATGGGATGTTTATATTTAGTAAAATGAATCACAGTGCAATTCTAAATGCATTTACTCATAAGTAAATTATGCTGTGTTTAATTGTATTACTCCTAAGTAACTAGATAAGAGTCCCTTCTAAGCAAAATACATGGGATTGCACTACATAATATTAACTTATTTATGTACTGCTTTTCAGTCAGGATCGGCTCTCACACCAGGTTCCAGTTAAAACCCACATAAAGGTACAATATAATTAAGGATATATTTGGCATATGTCAGGAAGTCTCTTCTGGTTTTGGCAGCTGGTGATACAGTCCAGGCTCTTCCCTTTGAATCAAGAAGGACAGAGCAGAAGGTGCTAGATAGACTGGCAGAGGGTAAATAGGCAGCTTCTGTAGCTTGACATTTTTGTGAATCCACTGTCTGGCCAGCATATTGCCAGTGGGACAAAAAGTTTCTCTTCTATCAGGATATGGCTTAAGCCACATTTAACCCCAATGAAATGTAACTTGGCATATGAGGTTTTAACTTATTAGAAAGGAGCCAGAAGAGACGTGCTTACACTATGCACTCACCAACAACTTAATGCATAGGCATATCAGAAGGAGCTGCAGAAGAAATCTTGACGCCCAGGCAAATGATCCTCATGAGACCCCAACACACACACACTGCTTAGCCCGTGCGTGAGAAAGAGGGATTGGGGGAAAGTTGTGTGTCTATGTAAGAGGGATCTCAGGCTTCACCGACCACTGGCATGTATTCCTGGTCTACACCAACCGGCAAAATCTTTGCAGGGTTTCAGAAAGGAATATTTCCCAGCCTTACCTGGAGATGAAAGAGGCTGGACCCAGGACCTTCTGAATGTGCAGCTTTAGCACTGATTTTGGCCCTTCCACCGGAGCAAGGCAAGGTGAATTATGCGGACTTGAGTGGACTTGAAGGTCCCAGAGAAATGTGGGTTGCGCGAAGGCTGAGGGGATTTCTAGCTCTCATCAGAGAAGTGAATTTGTGAGGCAATTTCCTCCTAAAATGATGGGGAGGAGTGGAGTGTCGTTAACTATTATGTCAACGTGTGGAAGGCACAGCATAATGCGGGAAGGAAAAGGGGGCTTATGGCTGGGAAATGGAATGGCCGGTGTGAGGTAAACGGACTGAGCGAAGGAGTGATTTGCTTGAGGGGGACATGACGGGTGTTGCTGCCCTGCTTTTGCTCCCTCGGAAGAGGACATAATAATAACACTGAGCTTCGATCTGCTGGTAACGGCGGAGGAGAAAGGGTCAGTTTCTGTTGGGAGCACACACGCACGCCAGTCCTGCCTCAGTGTCCAATGAGTGTGTGGAGGGGGGAGGGGTTGCAGTAAAGCAATATAAGGAAGATACATATAGATGTGGAGCTGGTTCACAGGCACAGCTGTCCCTGAGCCTGGCTGCCTTTTCCCTTTTCGACTGTTCAGCTCCCCAAGAACAGCGACCGCGCTGCCGCCTCTCCCTCAGAATCCAGCGCAACCCAACTATTTTTAAACTAGCCCCGCCTCCGCTGCCTCAGTCCCTGACTGTAACGCTCGCGCACCCTCCCCTAGGAGTGGGTGTGACTTTTCACTCGAGTTCCCTCCCACCTCCTCGTGGCGGTGCGTGGGGGGAGGAGGGAGAGAGGACGAGGGCGAGCAACGGGTTGGCGCAGTGCGCCTGCGCACGCGGCGCGAGAAACTACCCGGCAGGTTGCAGTTGGTGGTTCCGCCGTAAGAACCCGCCCGGGCGCTGCCGGCTGCCGTTGTTTCCAAGCTGAGGGGGGAAAAGGAAAGGCTTGACGGGTGCTCGGTGGGTGGGGCTGCTGGCGCCGCGAGCTCCCTTTCGGCTGTTGGTCTCGCGGCTGGACTGAGCGAGGGGGGTGGGGGTGGGAAGAGGAAGAGGAGGGACCCACGAAGCGGCCGGAGCCGAATCGGCCTCCATGGAGCTTCAGCGGCTCCTGACTCCGCCGCAGTCGACCGCCTGGGGCTGGGGAGGGTCTGTGGAGGCTGCGCGCGAAACTGGGCTCCGCCTCGGGACCCGACAGCAAGCCTGAGGAGGGCCGAAGGCTCCGGGGCGGCCGAAGCAGCGGCGCCGAAGCGATCTCCTTGCCGAGCCGCAGGCTGTCCTGGAAGCGGCGGCGGCGGCGGCACCGTTCGCCTTCTGTCTCTCTGTGCCCCTCGGGCGGAGCGGCGACGCTGAGTGACGGCTTCCCTCCCTCGGACTAGACTGTCGGCCGCTCCTTCCCCGCGGCCGCCCCCGGAGATACGAAGCCCCGCCGGAGCGACCGCCTCCACCTGCGCTTCTCTGCCTACCTTCATCCATCTCCCTGGCAGAAAGCGAAGCCCCAGGAGGCGAGCGGGCAGGCCCAGAGCTGCCCCTCTCTTCGGGAATCGAGTGACGGACTGCTCGGCCTCTGGAGCCCCATCCTCTGCTTTTAAAGCATTTGGATCCCACTGCCCCCCCTTCCTCGTCTCCTTCGAATAAGCTGTTGTGTGTCGTCTTCCTTGCAGCTGCTGTAGAGCTTAGGTTATTATCCCGGCTTCTTCGTTCTGATTCGTTTCCACCTTTTAAAACCCGATATATTTTTTTAAAAATCTCCTTTCCCCCACCATCCATATTATTTTAAGCTTCCTCCGGTGGCTGAATGTATGGAAAGGACTAGGCACCCAGGGTGGCTCTCTTGCTTCTTGTAGCGATTCTAATTCCTTTTTATTGTGATATGGAATAACATGAATTTATGCACACAATAATCTTTTGTTCAAGAGACGTTTTGAAGATAAAATTTACATTTTTTAGGGCTGAAAATGTTCCTAAAGTGGGTTTTGCCTTATTGGAGCTATTTATCCTCTGTGCCCATTTTGGTCCTGTTTAATTGTTACACTCTTCCAGCTAGTGCAGATAATGCTAGTCAAGCATATTATACAGCCCTCATAAATGTGACTGTACTGAGTCCTGATCGTTCAACACCTACTTTGCTGATACTTGAGCGTGGGCGCTATGGACAAGATTCTCCCAAAGTAGCTGTCAGAGGCCAACTTTTGGCACCTCTGCCAATCAATGGAGGTAAGGATTTCCTTTGGTTCTTTCTCTTAATTTAACTGAGTCTTTGGTTTGTTAAGCTTTCCTTACAGTGCACATTAAAATTTTCACAAAAACTATCAAACCCTCTGCCTTCTCCCTTGCCCATTGGTTCTGGTTGGGTTTCAGTAATTCCTTATTTAAGCAATCTGTAACTATGAAAGTCAGTTCGTGGACTGACCTGTGAAGTACATTTGGGTGAATGTAGTACAATTTTACACATTTTTTTTAGGTGTACACCTAAAATACATACACACATGTTGAAAACACATGTATCATAGGCACTCCTTTTCAGCCTACTGGGAGCTGCCTGTCAAGTTGCCCTTCAGAATTAAATTTGAGTTTGCTGCCATGTAATGTGTGAAATGGCTCTTTGTGAGTATTCAAGGGCATTGAACACAAGATTGATTCGAAGCCTCCCACAATCTAGTATGGTATCACACTTGGTTCAGCCAACAGGCAAGAAGTGGTGGTTTCTGCATCTGCTGCAAATTTCTACAGCCTTCCAGGTCTGAATGATAATAGTGGCAAGGTTCTTCCCTCTAAGGAGGTAAGCAACATATCAGGGAACTAATTGCAAGCAATCTGACTGTGGATGCCATCTGGCCCTCGAAAACAAAGCTGAGACTAAGGCCAGTCAGTCTTAGCTTTAGTGTTTAACTTGCTTTAAAGTGAAGTTCCATCTAGAACAGGCAGTCCCGCCAATAGCAGCTCTCTATAAAAATAATATTTTTCCTAGTCCTTTGAAAGTTAATCCATTAATTACTGTTACATTAATTTAGACACATGGGTAAGTCTTTTTTAAAAAAATCTCAACCTGACAGTCTCTTGAGTACCTTTTTAGTTCTGAAAGACCTTGGAGCAATAAAGTTCTCTTCTACCTGATATCATAACTTGATGCTTAAGATTTGTTTTAAGTTGTGTAAGAGTGTTTTGTATATATTTAGCAGATTCTTATACACAGTAGCTTGATTTTTTGTCACAGTTGAAAACTTGCTTAGAAAAAATGGTTGCTCTGGAATGTAAGCATAAGACATACATTAAGTATGCAGTGTTATAGCTATTGTAAAGTGGAAAGTGCTATAGAACTAATTTTTAAAATTGCAATTAGGACATACATGTAAGCGTTAAGTGGTGAATGGGTTCTAATTTAGTACTTCTGTGCAGTTAATTGTCAGCACTCTGAGTTATGTGATCTTATGCGTGTTTGCTCATAAGCAAGTCTCATTGTAGGACTTACTCCTAGGTATATGTGTATAGTATTGCAGCCTTAGGCCTGTATCATTTTCTACTTCCTATTTTTTCTTCATACCTCACCTGTTTACTTTTCTTCTTTTGTGCTCTCTGCATGTTAACAGTTTGCTTAAAACCTTGTGTAATTCATCTCAATACTGTAGGTTTTCCTTTTTCGTCCCATGAAACTAACATTACGTGCATGTTGAGAATGACATGCCCTAAACATTTAAAAAGATTATTTGGAACAAATTGAATAGAAAACAATACGTAGTTGTTTGAGGTTATAGATGTTCTTCATTTTATGTTCTCTTGACTGTTAAGGACCTATTGATAGTACAATTTAGGTTCAGGTATATCTGAATGTCCAAGGAATAGACATGGGCACAAAGCATTTTCAGCCATAATTATTTTTCTGGATTCCGCTTTAGTTAGCTTGTCTGCATCCAGTCTCCAACTCTAGCTAGACAGAGTGAACATTTGCAGGACAAGAACTGAGTGACATAAACGTATTGATAACTCTAAAGTCTGTATAAATATACAGTAGTTCTCCAAACTGAAAGGTGGGGGACCATGGTGAATAGCATCTTGTACATGGACAGCCATTCAGAAGTAATAAGAAGTAGGACACAGAATGCTCCTGCATTGTACGATTTGGGAAGAGTGGGGTGTGAGTATGAGGTCCACAAATTAGTGACATTTCATACCTCTCTTATGGACAATTTGTGCCTCTGAAGGACAGTTTACGTCTCTGAAATTATCTATTTTGACTCTTCTTCTTTCCATCACTCTTTCCATCACTTACTCTTTCCATCACAGGAATAGGTTTCTCCTTATTTGGAGGAGGGGTGGAATAAAAAAGGCAGAACTTGAATAATATTTAGGGGCACTTTTTTTACTGAACCCCTATTCCAGTTGACTTTATTTTATTTAAAGAATTTTAAAACTGTTTTAAAACAGTTCTTTCATCTGTTGTTTGTATGCTACTTTTCTGATACCGAATGGAAAATAGTGTGGCTAAACAGCTTATAGATTGCTAGAAAAGTTGTTTTATTTTAAAATAGAAAACGACTACCTTCAGTTAGTCAGCATTCATCCCTCCAAATTACTGCAGTTTAAAAATGGTATAATCATTAAAATTTGGTGTCATGATCATTTACCAACCTAGTCCAATATTGCTAGGAAAGCTAAATACACAGCAGCCATTAACTATTTACCACTTATTTTTTTTCTTGTGTGTTGCTCTATTTAGGCTGTTCTATATTAGATGCATTGTCTTTAAGCTGTTAATATGAGAGTGAAATTGAAGTCACACATTTCAGAATAGGCATGTAAGCTGCTGTATGTAGCTTATTTTTAGTATTTTGAGTGTCAGTTAACCTGAATATGTCTGATCTCAATAGTTGTACCAGGTGACCCTTTTATATCATGCATTCACTGTTGTGAGTCAACTGTGAAAATGAATACACTCTTAACACACTGATTGGGTGCTTCATAGCAAGATACATAGTAAGAGTAGGAAAGGCACTTGAAATTGTTTGCCAGTGTGTTGTGTACATCTGCTAAATGCAAGGTTCAACCTTCTACATCCACAGTAAATGTTCAAGTGACATTTTGTGGTGGTAAAGCAAAAGTTGGGCCCTGTGCATAGGAGCAGATGCATACCGCCAGGTGGAGATGGCCTGGCACTTGCACGTTTCTTGATCTGTTACTATGCCTGTGTGAATAATCTCTGAGAAGAATGGATCTTTAGTATTTATTTATAGCATTTATATACAGTGGTGCCTCGCAAGACGAAATTAATCCGTTCCGCAAGAGTCTTCGTCTAGCGGTTTTTTCGTCTTGCGAAGCAAGCCCATTGACGGATTAGCGCTATTAGCGCTATCAGCTGTTTAGCGGCTATTAAAGGCTTAAAGGCTTAGGGGATTAGCTGCTAAAAGGCTATTAAAGGCTATTAAAGGCTTAGCAGATTAGATAAAGGGGGAAAAGCGAAAAAAATCTCAAGACTCGCAAGGTATTTTCGTCTTGCGAAGCAAGCCCATAGGGGAATTCGTCCTGCGAAGCAACTTCAAAACGGAAAACCCTTTCGTCTAGCGGTTTTTCCGTCTTGCGAGGCATTCGTCTTGCGGGGCACCACTGTACCATGTTCTCCAAGTAGCTGAAGATGGTGTACATGCTTCTCTCCCTCCTTATTTAATTCACACAACAACCATGTGAAGTTAGGTTGAGAGGTTGAGACTGGGCCACTTAGTTTAATGGTTTAATGGTTTTGAACACTGGTCTCAGAGGTCCTAGTCTAACCATGATACCACATTCATTGTGATTAAGGATCATTTTTATTTCCATAGGAAGTCCAAGTTCTTGAGGTAAATGACATTGGCATCAAATTTACCGTCCCTGAACTTTGGTATAGGTAGTAAAGATTATGGATATGTGTTGTAGTGCACTGAAATTATTGCACTTGTTAAGTAAAGTGACTGAATAGGATTTCATGAATAAACACTAGTTGTGAAGGCATTTGCAATTTGTAAGAGTATTAAGATTATTTGCATGTTTCCATTTCCAGGTAAACTCCTAAATCTTTTTACTGCTGTTTTATTATAATAATTTTATATAGTGTTCTTGTATGTATTTCTCATTCTACCTGAAGGGTACCAAGTTGGGGAAGACTGCTAAGTGTGATGCAGATCTCTACTTCTTGTTCTTTGAAATACTGTAGAGGGTTTTTTGTGTTTTGTAAAAACATTAGATATTCCCTGACATAGTTTTCCTTTGGAAAAGTATTTCAGACAATATCTAATGTTTGCTCTGGATAAAATAATTTGAATAATATGTGATGTGATGAATCCTAATCCATAAATTGTTATGTATCAGGAAAATCTTTAAAATGTTGTCAGATAGTTTTTGTTTAATAAATCAAATTTAAGGAAAACTTTATTCAAATTGAAGGAAACCATTATTTTCAAGATTAGATAACAGAGATACTCTAATTTTAAGCAAAAGAAAATTATAAAGGCCCCAAACGTATTGGTATTTGTGAAGATTTTTTACTGGTATAGAGCTGGAGTGGGTTATCTGGCAAAAATTACAGCTGAAGCTAGTGCTGGGTTGGCCTTGGTGTAACTGGTGTTTTTGTCAGAAGTAAGTAGTATTGTAGCAGAACCATCACAGTGAAGCTTTAGTTGTTTTTCGTGGATGTGTGGATTTTTAGAGAGCAGCTATTTGTGTAAACCAGTGTTTCCTATCTGGGGGCCATATGGCCCTCGGGAGGCCCCAAGTATTCCAAGGGGGCTTCAGGTGAAAATCACACAAATGGGGGCCACAGCATGAGGCTAGGGGGCTACAGAGGGAAGTGAGAAGTGAAGATAAAAGGAACATAAGAGATGACAGAACACAGCTGGTGAATATGTTATACTTCTTATGTGATGTCATGAATGGAGTAACTGGTTTGAGGGTGATATGAGGGTTGTTAAAATGTTGGTCACGTTGATCTGATCCCATATTTACATATAATATAGTTCAGAAGCAGAAATATTTGCACTCGCATGCACATGCTGGCAACAAAAAGCTATGCTAAAAGTATTTATGTATCATAGATTTTAACTATGTTAAGTAAATTCTATTATTTTTTCTTGTTCCTCTTCTTCCTCTTATTATTTTTGAATTTGTTAGTCACTTTATCTTGCCCAGGGCAACCCAGAGCAACTTAAAACCAGATAGACAAAAAAACCCCACATAAGATACTTTAAAACTTAGAGGAAAAATGAAATACATTAAAAATGTCATTTCTACTTTTGTTTTATTCCCAAAGTAGCCTGGGGCAAACTTGTGTCTGTGGGAAAAGGTGCCTGGGGAGACCTGCTTAACTGCTTCCCCTTCCCCTCTGGTCATTTTGCTCACAACTGCCTTCCCCAAGCTACTTTCCTTCCATAGGGGGAAAACATATGGGAACCCTACATCTTTTCTCTCACAACTTAAAAAAGGAGCTGAGCATGTATTATATTGAGCTAAAACAACTACTGAATGAGAAAGAATTAAGCAGCTCCCCACCCCTGCCACCTTGTCCCAGACTACTTTGTGTTTAACCAGCACAAGGATGAAAGAATTGTAGAACTCCTCATAACAAGTACTTTGAGCCTCAGGTGACTAAATGTTCTGATGCTGCCAATCCAAAATAGCCTAATTTTAAACTGTTTCAATTTATAAATGTGTGTTCTAGTTCTAAGCTTTTTAGGACATACTTTCTCCATAGTGCTGTGAAAACTACCACATATACTATAGTCATATTGCTTGATACTTTGGGCAAGGTTTTTGATATTAGCAGGTGGATGTTATAAGCATTTATTTCAGTTCAAGCGCTTTGGAGAGGAAAAGAGTAAGTTGTTGCACAATGCTAATTTCTTAACTATAAGCAAATAACTGCTGAGCAGTCACTGCTGCTTCCTCTTTGAATTAAGCAAATTGTACTTCTGTATTCTTCAGTAAATTTCAGTTGCAGGCAGAACTTGGGTGACTGCTGAAACTGATAACTGAGGGGAAAGGCCATAATCTGTGTTGCATCTGTCGGAAGAATTTCAGTCAAGATGGGGAGCCTATTGGACTCCCAGCTCTTTTATTTCCTTTATTACCTGATGATTGGTCATACTGGCTAGTGCTGATGGGAGTCCAAGAACATCAGTAGAGGCACAGGTTCCCTATCATTGGCTTAGAATCACAACAATCAACATTTTTGAGACATTCCTGTAAAATAGGAATGAGTTCTCAAAAACATTTTTTTTCAGAGAACACACTACGTTAAATCTAATACAAGTGCCCAGTTTTGTGGTAAAACTGAGAATGAGAGGAAACAAAATAGGTTCATCAGGGAATTAACCTGAATGTTTAGGTACATGAAATTGTTAATTTGATATTGTAACTGTGAGGGGAAGGCAATGTATTCTGCTAGGTGTTAGTGCTGTTTCTGTCTTTTCTCTTTATACTGATACAGCATTTTTGTAACATAAGTGGACCTGCAACAAAATATTACCTTTTAAATCCACTGTGATAGTGGGATGTTTGCACATTTATGGTCTGCCTGGTTTCTCTTTTTTGAAAGATAGTGAGTAAACTAATACTTCATGCAATACAACCAACTCTGAAATAAGTTCCATTGCAACAGTTTTACAGTACTGTACTTCCAAATAAGCTTAAAATTGAACAACATTGCTGTGTTAAGGAAATGCCTACATCGAATCCATTATATCAGGAGTTTACTTCTTTTGGTGTACAGCATCTGTCTGTCTGAGGGGACAGTGGAGGAGTGTACTTTTGGGGGTGAAGTCAAATTGTTGAAGAGTTACAGCACCTGCTGTGGCTGTAGAGACACTGGTATGGATGAGATGTGTTTTGTTGCAGCTGAGGCAGATGAAGGCACCCAGTTGTGCTGAGACTGATGCTCCATGGCGTTTCTTCTCTCTGTGCTCCTCTCAGCTGTCCAATTCCTCCTCTGGTCACTGCTGTGGATACACAACCTGACTGTCTGTCTCCTGGCACTGCTGTCATATACAAGGGATTCCCACACAGCAGGGTTGATGTTACCAGCCTTTATGTCACATTTGCAGTCATCTTTGTAATGCAGAGTTGGTTCTGTCAAGAGGCCTGGTGCTTGAAGCCAGCTCCCCGTAGAGCACGTCCTTGGGATCCTGCCATCTTCCATTGTGTGGACATGACCAAACCAGTGTTTACTAGCTTGTTTATTTTTAAAAATATCTGTACCAAACTTCAGTTATATCGACTCAGATTAGATGTTTATTTTATTTGTTTATTGCATTTATATCCCACCTTTCCTCCAAGAAGCTCGTAGTGATGTATATGGTTCTTCCTCTCCCCTTTTTATCCTCACAACCCTGGGAGATAGGGTTGAGAAACAGTGACTGGTGCAAGGTCACCCAGTGAGCTCCATGGATGATTAGAACTCCAGAAGGAATCTGATAGCAGAATGAGGAAGGGAGGCAATGTAGGGGGGCAATTCCCCTCCCTCTCATAGCTCTCTGCCCCCCCCATCTGCTCCAGGCGATTAGGGATCCTCAAACAGATGATGGCATGGGACCTGTAGTGGGGAAGGGAATTGTCATCTTCCTTCATTTCACTGACAGATTCCTCTCATTGGTGACCAACATTCTTTACCAACCCATTTGTGCAGTTTTGTAATATGTGAGCATTCACCATTTCATCCATCCATTTGTAATCTGAAGTGATAGAGATTGTCACATGGGCTGGATGATTCTGTATTCAAGGAGTCAAGAAAAGGTGTTTCAGGGAAACTTGTTTACAGAAAAGTGCACCTGCAATTCAGTTAGAGGCATGTTTGATTCCCTCCACCCCTGAAATTTATATAATGTGTACATCTCAGGTGTGGATATTTCCAGAGTGGTAAAGGTCAAGAGAGCCATCTGTAACAAGAAGCATCTTATCAGCACTGTCTGCTAGCTGGTAACCAAGATGTTGCAGTGTTATACAGAGTACTGTACTACTTTGAGATTTAGATTCTCCTTTGGAGTGGATTATGCTCCAAAATTCTGTGGACTGAAATTACTCCCCCCCCCCAAATAAATTGCAACTGTCTGAGCACAGTTTTGCTTCAGCTTACATGCTTTTCTGCCAAGTCTCTATTTCCTGTAGCTCAAAAGATGGCACCTGGGGATTTCTATTTTTCTCTAATTAGCACAACTATGCAAGTTTGCCAGGTGTAACCTCAAAAGTTTCTCACACATAACACATAGAAAATGCAGAAGATTTTGCTTTAGCAGGTACAATAGCTACCAGAAAATAAGCAGTAACATACTTCATTGCAAGCTCTTGGAAGGACTAGGAAGGATACTTAATAGGATGGTGAAATCCTATTTTCTGCATGTTTTGTGGGACAGACCAGTTTCTCCAAATAATCCACTACTTGTTGAGTATTAGAGCATTACAGCAACTTGTTGAGTACTTGAGTATTACAGCATCACCTGTGCTGTAGGCATTGAACACCACCACTGAATAAAAAAAGAATTAACCAACTTGAAAGACAAGACCTTAGATAGCAGTTTTGCATGCAATGTTAGATCAGATTCTAAATAATATTAAGTTTAAGTGGCTTAGCTCTAAATGTTCTGAGCCAGATGATCTTTGAATGTGGCAGCTTGAAAAACTGGAAAGCATAGCAAATTCACTGCACCCAAGAAGTTCAGAATTCATTGTGAGTGAGCTAAGGTAGAGGATGGTTGTCAGTACAGAGAAGGTACTTGAATTTGAAATAGACTAGGTTGGTGGAATTTGGCACCTTATTGAAAAAAGAAAACATTTTATATAGTAACCTTTTGTACGATTGTGAAATGACATAAATGACTTCAGATCACATATTTTTAAATAAGTGATTTGTATAAGCTTGAATTACTCTTAAATTGCTTTTCATTATGCCATGGAGACTTTCCAGCATATATATTCAGAGTCCTCAGCTTGAGAAAAATATACATTAGAAATGGATTCTAAATAACTGATCATAGATGACAGATGATAATGGACAACTATTGACAATTAAACTTGCTGACATGGTTGTCTGTGTCCTTTACAATGCTGATTGATGTGTCTGGCACTCAAGGTGTATGGTAGTATCCCTTAGTTCCAGTAAATATTGGAAGATTCTATGAGAAGCTATGAAGAGGACAGAGATTGCCAGCCTGTTTGCCTTTCTGATACATGTAGAGGCACAATTAGACATTGTTCTGATTCAAAGCTACCATAAAGATTGACCATTACATCTTACTGAATTTGCCATATCAAGCTGTATACATTTTTGGGGGGGTGTCTTTCTCATTTTTTTTAATCATTGATATAGTTAATAAAATCATACCAAACTATAGCAAATAAAATCTTTTTTTGCTCTGTTCTCTATACTGCGTATTCTTAGTTTATAAGCTAGCTTTTACAATAGGACTGTCTCCCAAGTATCAAGCAATTGGTAAAAGGTAAAGGACCCCTGACAGTTAAATCCAGTCACAAACGACTCAGGGGTTGCGGTGCTCATCTCGCTTTACTGGCCGAGGGAGCTGACGTCTGTCCACAGACAGTTTTTCCAGGTCATGTGGCCAGCATGACTAAGCCGCTTCTGGCGAAACCAGAGCAGCACACAGAAATGCCATTTACCTTCCCGCCGGAGCGGTACCTATTTATCTACTTGCACTTTGACGTGCTTTCGAACTGCTAGGTTGGCAGGAGCTGGGACCGAGCAACGGGCGCTCACCCTGTTGCAGGGATTCGAACTGCCGACCTGCCAATCGGCAAGCCCCAGGCTCAGTGGTTTAGACCACAGCACCACCCGTGTCCCTATACCAAGCAATTGGAGTACCAGGCAATTAGAGATTTTTAAATAGAGGTTGGATGGCCATCTGTGATTCCGATATTCCAGGTAGGGGTTGGACAAGATGGCCTTTTGAGTCGCTTCCAAATCTGCATTCTAATTTCTAAATATATACATAAATTTTGGGCAACTTAAGATGACAGCGGTACATGAACAAATTTATCCTAACATTTTGCCATTCCTTTGACCAGGTATTGAAAATATTCACTAGTAAGTATTCTGGAACTGAAAAAAATCCTTAAGTGTAATGATCATAATGATCAAATATGGTTAACACTTACAGATTATTATTTAGCTTAAAAATTGCTTTGGGTTGTGCAAATTGTTCTGGTCTCATAACCAGAGAATAATTTTAGCCAGTGATCTGCTTTTTAGATATTTTTATCAACAAACTTTAACTGACATCTCTTTCCTTTTTTTAGTTTCAGATCGTTTAGGCTGTGATCCACGAACTCGGTTTCCAGTTCCTACAAACAAGCAGTGGGTTGCCCTACTGCAGCGAGGAAATTGCACCTTTAAACAAAAAATCCTGCGGGCAGCTTTACATAATGCTTCAGCTGTGGTAATTTACAATAATATGTCAAGTGAGGAGCCTGTCACCATGACTCATCCAGGTAAAAGCTAAGATACCAGATATTCCTTTCTCCTCATTTTTTTTTCTTATTTCCCTTATGTTGTAAGACTTTTTAAAGGTATTTGTGATTTGTTTTTAGACATGTTCAGATACATCATGGTGGATAGTTAACAGCATTTTGTCTTTTTTGTGATTATCAAGCGTGGAAGTTGGTCATTCATTCTTTGATTTATAAAAGTGCTGGATAAAGTGCTGAGACTGGCAGTCTCCACTAGCTGCATGACCATAGCATATTGCCATGTCTACTTTATTTGTGACAGAGAAGAAAATAATGTGCTTAGTTTAATGCCTGTAACAGAAACTAGATGGGAAGAAGGATAAGTATATGGAGTATGGTTTGTGCAACAATCCCTTCCAACGCATATTTGCATGATTGTATTAGCTGTGCTCAAACATTCTACAAAACATACATGATCTATAGAAACCCTTCATGACAGCTTTCCATTAGCATAGTATCTGAAAATACAAGACTTGGAGCCCATATTGCGCTGTTGAACTATGATAGAATACTATTTCTCTGACAAAGGGAAATATTCAGTTGCATTCTTCCTAGACATAGGTTAATGCTGGAAATCTTGCTCAGCCAAGTATTAGTTGCATATATTTTTAATCTAATTTTTAGTTAGTCCTCTCCTGTTGTTCCCTGGGAGCTGGCATTGAGGTAGCCATTGGATTTGCTGTAACCTTCAACCCTCGCCTGCTTATTTCTAAACCTGCTTGTTTGCCCCTCACTGGCTGATCTTAGCTGCCTTAATGTAATAGGGGTAGTCGAGTAGGCAATAAATGCTAGAAGCTTTTCCACTGCAAAATGCAATAAAATATAGAATACTTGGCGTCCAGTAGTGGACAACATTCAAGTAGGCTATTTGCTTCTGGTGATATGTTTTTAGCTCTGGGCAAACCTTCAGATTCAGAGCCAGCATGTACCTGAACACCAATTGCTGGTGGTGTAATAATGGGAGAGGGCTGTTGTCTTTGTACTCTGTGGGCTTCTCAAAAAGCATGAATGCATAAAATAGACATTACTGGCTAGATGGAGCTGTGACCAGATGCATTATATTCAAGTTCATAGTCTCTGAATGCTACAGTAAAGCATCTGCAGAAAGGTATCAAATACTTATTAGTTCCCATGGTTGCCTTCTAAATTAATGTTACCTGGACTTGTGTAAGGGAGAAAAATATAGTTGCTAGGTTATTTGTGGCAATTGTTAAAAATTAAGATTAGAGTAGATAAGCAGCAGGAGAACTGTGACAGACCAATTGTTTGAGTACATCGTTCTGTCTCCAGCAGTAATCAAAGAAAATGCTCCTATAGCTCACAATCAGGTGTGGCAGAGTTGTCCAGTGTTTTCACCCAGTATCTGTTAGGCAGAGATATGCTGTACACAGGAGATATATATACAACATTATTTTAAGTTTCCTTTCTCAATTTGCCCAATAAGCTCTACCATTAAAATTGCATTTTTTTTATTGCTGCTGGATGGTTTCATTGAATTTTACTGTGGGACCTTCAGTTCTGTTTCTTGGATTGAGTGAAAACCAAAAACCATCACTAAACCTTTAGCTAGCTAGTGATTGTGTATTATATCCAATGTTGGTTATGTTGGGAGTTCACTCATTTATATCAGTGGAAAATTGTTGACCATTAATTTCATAAGATTAACTCTGAGTATGACTTAGTTGCTTAGTTGGATATTATCCTGTATACTTGGCCCAGTGGAGCATTCATTACTTTCTTGGTCACTCAAGAAGGAATATGATTATCTTTTCATTTACTCAAGGGTGAAGGTATAGCTTGGCCAATTCTTTTCAATGTTTTTGAATTTCCTTTAGCCTCAGATCTAAACTGCTATATTTAGGAGGAATATAGGTGCTTTTTTGTCTCACTGCTTTGTACTTGGTAGATATCAGTATGAATAGTTCACATTTGTGTTGTTTTGAAATTAAATCATTTTGAACAGATGTTGGTTAAGAGATGTGCATGTAAAAAAGTGCTTGTAAAATAATGTTGCTTTCCTAATTGTCTAAAATTTGAGGCTGCTAATCTCATACTGTTTTTCACAATTCGGGATCAGCTTTTTGATACCTAACAGTTTGTTTAAATGTATATATGTACAGCCAAATGATTTGCTTCTTAATAAACATACATGTTATGTCAGATGTTGATTCATTGTTTTCTTCTGTTTATTCTTTTGATAGGAACTGGAGACATTGTCACTGTCATGATCACAGAATTGAAGGTTAAGGAGATTCTGAATTACTTGGAGAAAAATATGTCTGTCATTATTGCAATAGCAGTTGGAACCCGCTATCCAAACAAACCCTTTAGCCGTGGTTCTCTTGTCTTTGTATCAATATCGTTCATAGTTTTGATGATAATTTCTTCAGCATGGTTAATATTTTACTTCATCCAGAAGATCAGATATACAAGTGCACGTGATCGGAACCAGGTAACTATCTTTTGATTCTTCATATCAAATGTGTAGGGTTTTTCTGTTGTGTTGATAGATTTTTATTAAATGTCTTTGTAACTGCTTTTAACTACTATACACCATCCTGAGTGCTATGACTACAATGGAAGGGTGGGATATTAATTTTCCCTTGTAATTAAATTGTAAAGTTAATACATGCAACATGTGAGCTGTTTCATACTGTGATAAAAATATATTTCGGTATTTTGCCGAAGGTCTTTATCATATGCAATTATTCAGTATTAAAGGGAATATAAATGGGCCTGCACTAAATGTTGACCCATATATATTTTTAAGACAAAAGTAATACTTTCTGGAGTAGGGGAGAAAGGGGATATTTCCTGTAAAACCCTTAAACTTAGGTGAATGTTCAACTTGTTTTGAACTACTTTCCTGATCTGTTACTTTTTGCCTTCTTTTTTTAAATGAAGTATTCTGGTGTTACCTAAAAAGGAGGTACCTACAAATAAAAACACAGATTCTTCTCACCAAAAGAAGACAAATACAGTGCTTGGAAAGAGTTCAGATTTATTGCATGCTGCAGTGTGAATAAAGAGACCCAGTTGGATAACTGCCAAAAGAAACTGGGCCCTCAAATGAAGGGTTCACAGAGCTTTTATAGCGTTTTAGGAAAATATGCGATTATGGCAAAAGCTTAAACTATCCTAACTGGCTATCTTTATGTGTGTTCAAAATATGCTCTTATCTCCATATACAGTAGCTTGGCAACAAGTTGTGGTTGTGCCTGTGAGAACCTGTTTATGCAGACTTGGTACTTAGCAGGCTGTGGTCAGTTGTGTAAGCATAGTGACAGGATTTGAGCATAAGTGCATGCTGTGCTGTGCTGACTTGAGGGTCTTGACATCTGCCTTAGGTCATGACATTCACCTGGGTCCCAGGTTATGACACACAGGTATCACTGGGAATGGTCATAAGTGTTATCCCAGGCAGGTGGGATTCAGTTAATGACAATTACGTTACAGTGTTGGGGCTAGCCAAACTAAGTTGCTTGGTTCTAATATCACTGAGGGCAGTCTCCAAGAATTACTTTGCTCTCTCTGTTGGTGAACACAATCACTACCTCTAGTTTTAGTTTGTAAGCTAAGCTATTTAAGTTTCTTCTGGATTCCAGAAATCTCTTGAGCAACATTCCTCTTCAACCAGGCCTTTGGCTTATCAATTTTCTATAGCCTTTTAAATGTGTCTGTGGAAAGGGGTGTGTCCTTGTTTTGCTGGGTTTTTTAAATAATTAGTAGTTACTTGTTTTTCTACTGTATTGTGAATTGCCCTGAGATCTATTGAGGGTGGTATACAAATCAAATCAAATAAGTAAAACAAACAAACAAACAAAAAACATACATACATGACATAACTAAACTGCTGCTGTTTGTAACCTTTATTTTCATTCATTTTATTTGTATGCCACTTTCCACAAAAAATCATGCTCAAAGCAGCTTACAAAATAATAATACCAGGAGTACTTTTCAAGCAAGTACTGCAAAAATAATTTCATAATAACATGAGAAACCAATAGCAAATATAGTAACATACAAAAGCCCACTTTTCAAAAATATAACAAGATTACTTAAACAACATGAATCATCCAGTAGCAAAAATAACAAGGGATCTTCACTGTTTCACCTTAGTCCTAGAAACACTACTCCCATAATGTGCTGGTTTTAAAAAATACGGACAATTATCATATGTCTGAGAGTCTTAAGTAATGGAAGACTAGATCTTCAACATCTTTCTGAAATGCAGTGTGTCATTTGTTAGGAATTAATTCCAGTGTAATATGCTATAAACCATTCGGGAGTTGAAATGCAGTCATTTTCCTCCAGTTGGGAGCATTGTAAATTGCCAAATATTATTAACAAGATTCTGTTCTAATATAAATTGCTGAGTGACTGCTTATTTATGGGGTGTTGTGTGTAGCTATTCAGTATTTCTCATTCATCTTTATGTTTGTAGGTAAACTGCATTGGGGGGAAATATAGGTGTTCCTTTATTTGGGGGTTCTGAAAACAAGGTCTACAGAGCTATGGAAAATAAAAATTTTTTGGATTGAACGGTAGCTCACTGTTTCCTATTGCAAGGCAGGGCAAAGATTTTTCTCAGCCTGGATTTTGAAATGAGGCCTTTAAGAACTTCATTTTAACGTCTCATTTGCCTCAGTGGAACAAAAGGGTAGTGCCCAAACAGGACCTGAGAAGCCGGACACTGTTTCAAAATATTGGTTTTAAATACATCAGCAGAAGGCCAGTGAATACATTTCAGCTTATGAAAGTTACAATCTTAATAATATCCAGAAGAAATTAACAGCACATTATACATATTGGGGAAATAAGGAACAGTATGTGAAAATAATAATTTCATGGAAAAACAAAATGAATATGAATATAAATATGCAATTTTAGTTTAATATTTAACTTTAGTCAGAGGAACATAATTCAGATTAACTTTACAAAGAATCATGATGGCATGCAAAATGAATAATTTTTAACTGTTATGCAACTCTATTGTTTGTTCCTCTAAAACATTCACTAGTCCAAATGACCTAAAAGCTGTGCTGTGTTTTAGCCATATAGGCACTTGTTCTAAATACTAAGAAAAGAGAAGAAACTACCAATCCAAACAGGGTAGTAGTCAACTAAGTTTTACCCAGAGTAGACCCGTTGAAATTAATGAACATGACTAAGCCAGGTCCATTTCAGTATGTCTACTCTGAGTAAAATTTCGCTGAATACAACCCACAGTTTCTGTGGGTTCAGGGAAGAACAGAGAGATGACTGCAGGGTCCTGTTGGCAGGATCCACATGATGGAGAGAAGCTTGGGGGGTGGGGAGGTGAAGCATACCTCAGCTTGGAACAAGCAAAAATATATATATTCAAAGATGTCCAAATGCTGGAGCTCAGGAAAAACCCAGTTCTGTGTAGTAATTACAAGGAACAATTCTAGTAAGGGAGAAGTAAAAGCTTTCCAAAACAAGTAATTAAGATTAATTGGAGCTGTACAAAAAGTATTTGGAAAACTGGTATGAATAAAGAAAAAAATCCCAGTGTAAAATTAACATAAACTGTAAGAATAGAATCTAAAAGGAAAGTTCTCTTCTGCATTCTAGAGAAAATGCAGCACTTCCGGGGTGGCGCCATCGGTAATGGCAGATTCCCTCTGACTCGGAGGGAACCGGCTCTGCGGAAATCGGGTCTCACCGCTACGGCGAAGCGGGGACCCTTCAAAAATCACAGGCGGGTGAAGCCTGTGACCGTGGGACTCGGCGGGCACCTTTTGCGCCCCCCCCAATTGGCAAAGGAGCCCAACTACAGGCTCTGGAGCGGAGCGGGGAAGTGGCACGGTGCTGTGAGTCAACTGCTTCTTCCGTGGAGCGAAGCCGCGTAGCCGTTACCAGAGAGCGCTGCCTTTTTCCTGGGACAATTTGGCTGCAAAACAACGATCCGTGAGTAGGCTAATTCCGGAATTAAAGGAACTTTACAAATAATTCGGTACCGAAGCGGAGAGGCATAAACAGGAAGTCTGCCTTCCGTTCTTGTAAATGGAGTAAAGCAATGAACTTGTAAGCGGAAACCTTAAAAGACGTTGGAAAAGGATTATAATTCGAACATCAAACAAGCGATTTCCCCCCCTTGATTGCAGGGGAGGAGGGGGGAAAGGTTTGAACTGTATTTCCCTGTAAAAAAGAGAGGAAAAGAAGCTAAAATCCACTGCTCAAAACCCTGGAACAGGTTGCCCAGTGAACAGTAAGAAAGCCGTATTGGGAATGCGCTGTTGCTGAAAGTACTCTTTGACAGTTAACTCTGCATCTGAGATACAAGTAAGATACAAGTAAGATACAATATTTCTGACTGGCTTCTCCTGGTTTTAAAGTAACAGGAAAGAACTGAGATTGAAACTGTTGTCCTTTTTGTGAATTGGGGGGCTAAAGGAAAAAGTTAATTACTTTAAGACACTTCTGACTGCTACTGTGTCCCCCTAGAGGAAGTTTGAAATTGTTACAATAGCAGCTGGGCCAGGGGAATTTTCCACTTCAAAACAAATTCTGATCGTGAGATTGACCTTGGACCTTATGTAGAGTGTTATGGCAGATGGAAAGGAGAAAATAGATTCACTACAGGAAAAAGCAACGAGGTCTGGCAGAGTATTTCGTACAGACGGTGGGCTGCAGCGAAGAGCATCGACATCTGGCCCTTCTGGATTACCAACAGAAGCCTCATCGGCACAACCTAAACCCAAAGGAATGGCAGCTGAAGATGCTTTGGCTCAGGCACTTGGTAAAATTAATGAATCTTTGGACAAAATAAGTAAACAAGTAGCCGAAGCATCGGGCAAAATTGACCAAAATACTACAAGTATTAATAATTTGGGACAGAAGGTAAATACCAATACAGAAACTATTCAGAAATTACTACAGGAATCTACCTCGACACGAAAGACAGCCGAAGAGGCAAAGGAAATAGCAACAGCTACAGCCACTGTGGTAGAAGAGAAGATACCACCGTTATACAAACAACTTGAAGACCACAGGTCAATATTGTCTATGATTGAATTGAAGGAGAAACAAACAAATTTAAGGATCAGGGCCGTACCTGAACTTGAGAAAGACAACTTGATTGACTTCTTACGCAGGAATTTGCAGACTTTTGGAACCCAGATTTGGAGAAGGATAGTTTCAAGATAGTGAGTGCCTTTAGGCTTGGAAGAGGAGGGAGGAGGAACAGGGTGAGAGACTGTTTGATCACCCTCCGAACAAAAGAGGAGAGAGACAAAATCTTGAGTCTGCACTTCCAGAAGACTTTGGAAATACATCAGTCAAAAGTGGAGATATTTAAGGATATTCCGAAGTATCTTTTGGACCTTAGGTCCAATTATAGAGATTTGGTTGCCCTGTTGAGAAGTAACGGAATTATCTTTAGGTGGGAATTCCCCCAAGACCTATCCTTTAGTTACAAAGGGAAGAAGATAAAAATAAGATCAGAGGATGACAAAGATAGATTTTGGAGAGACCACGGAGAAGACCTACAGAAGGAAGCTGCAGAAGAGTTAAGAGCACTTGTAAGTGAAACTTTAGACATACCAGGTTTACCTCCTGAACCAAAAGACCGCCTGAAGAAGGGGATACCACCGACAGATCAGGAGCAGGCACTGGGTGCAGTTGGAGGAGAAGCAAAGTAACTACATCATGGCTCTGCAACTATTAAGCTGGAATTGTAATGGTTTGAACTCCCCTCAGAAAAGGAGATCTGTGTTTCATTTATTAAAAAAGGAACAAATGGACTTGATTTGTTTACAAGAAACACATGTAACAAGGCTACACAGGAAACTACTGATTAATAAAAGACTGGGTCAGGAGTTTATTTCATCGGACAAGGTTTAAAAAAGAGGGGTAGTGATTTATGCAAAGGAGAGACTATTACCGAAATTTATCTTCAAAGATGACCAAGGAAGATTTGTGGCAATTGAAATTCAAACACAAGGAGAAAAATTCTTGATAGTAGGAGTTTATGCACCAAATGAGGGGAAATCTGAATTTTTAAAAAAGTTGCATGAGACCTTGATGGACTATTTGGATTATAATGTGATTTTGATGGGAGATATCAATGGAGTGGTATCTACACACATGGACAAGGCGCAAAGACAGGCAGTCACTAAGGAAGGCAGACTACCGAAAACTTTTTTTGAAATGACAGACAACTTGGACTTAGTTGATATCTGGAGAACAAAGAATCCCTTGGCCAGAGAGGGAACCTTCTTCTCTGAAGCCAAACTGACATGGACAAGAATTGGCCAAATATGGGTAACTAGAGGAATGGCACCAAAGATAAGAAAAGTGGAAATCTGCCCAAAAACCTGCTCCGACCATAATGCGGTTAAGATGGAAATGAAACTAACACCAACTGGTTCCTTCAGATGGAGGATGAATGACACCTTACTTAGAGATGAAGAAGTGATTAAGAAGGCCCAAAAAACCTTGAGAGATTATTTTGAGATAAATATGAACACCAGTGTTGAAAAAAGAGTAATCTGGGACGCAAGCAAAGCTGTTATGAGAGGGTTCTTGATACAACAGAATGCATTAAAGAAGAGAATCCAAAATGAAAAGAAGGATAAAATATTGGAGAAAATAAAGGAAAGTGAAAAGAAATTGAGAGCAAAACCAAAGTTGCAAGAGATATTGAGAGAAATAAAGTTATATCAAGTACAATACATGAAAATGATGAATCAAGAGATAGAATGGAAAATCAAACAAATGAGACAAAAGACATTTGAGTCGGCTAATAAATGTGGGAAATTATTGGCTTGGCAAATGAAAAAAAGACAAAAATTAAATACAGTTACAAATCTAGAAGTGGAAGGAAGGAATATACAGAACCTAGCTGAGATTAGAAATTGTTTCCAGAGGTACTTTAAACAACTATATATACAAGGGCCACAGAAAGAAATTGATGTAGACCGATTTTTGAAAACAAATGGATTACAAAAAATCTCTCAAGAAAATAAATTAATATTGAACTATAAAATAACTGAACAGGAGATAGAAGGTGCCATTCAGAATATGCAATTGGGTAAATCTCCAGGACCGGACGGTCTGACTTCTGGATACTACAGATCTTTAAAAGAATGGTTAGTACAACCTTTAAAAGAAGTCTGTAACGAAATAATGGATTGGAAAAGGGCACCAGAGTCGTGGAAAGAAGCGTATATCACACTTGTACCGAAAACAGAGACTGAAAAGACGCAGCTTAAGAACTACCGCCCCATATCACTGCTCAATGTGGATTACAAAATGTTTGCTGACATCTTGGCTAAAAGACTAAAAAGAGTGTTAGCGGAAGAGATACATAAAGACCAAGCAGGCTTTCTCCCGGGTAGACATCTATCTGACAATGTGAGAAACATAATCAATATTTTAGAAAAATTACAAGAGAATATAAATACTAAGGTAGTTTTAATATTTGTGGACGCGGAGAAAGCTTTTGACAACATTTCTTGGAGTTTTATGAAGAAGAACTTACAGGGTATGGGGGTAGGCCAAGGCTTTGAAAACGGTATAAGTGCAATATATTCTGAACAAAAGGCTAAATTAATTGTAAATAATGTGGTGACGGAAGAATTTAAGATAGAAAAAGGGACACGACAAGGTTGCCCAATCTCCCCATTGCTTTTTATATCGGTCCTGGAGGTTTTGTTGAACATGATTAGAAGGGACCAGTTGGTTAAAGGTATATATGTCGGAGCCAAACAGTACAAATTGCATTTGCAGATGACTTAGTATTGACGTTACAGGAGCCAGAATCTAGTACCAAAAGGGTTTTAGAACTGATTCAAGAATTTGGTCAGGTTGCAGGATTTAAATTGAATAAGTTAAAAACCAAGGTTTTAGAGAAAAACTTAACACCAATTGAGAGAGAGAGGTTTCAGAATGAGACAGGTTTAACAGTGGCTAAGAAAGTTAAATACCTGGTGTGATGGGATGATGAGCTGCTTGTGCGTAAAATCGTATCCCCTCAGAGTTTGTTCAAGTCCACAAACCTCTGTCTGTGACAGAGCCCCTCAGACATGGCTACTCTAGTCACTAGCAGATTCCGACAGTGGTTGCTTTCGTAATCGCTTCCAACATAAAAGCTCCTTAACGGAAACACGTCTTCTGGAATCTCTGCGTGACAGTTTCCGGCGAGGAGTGGGTGTTCTTACAGGAGGTCCTGAAACCTCTCCACTGTTTTCGCTGGAAGTGTCTCTGAGCCATCCCTCCAGCTCAGCTCCTCTCCCCTGCTGGTTCCCTCATCAGCTGCTGCGTCTCTCCCAACCTGTGTGAGCCCTTTCACCTCCCTGTTGGTTTCCTCTTCAGCTGCTGCGTCTCTCCCAACCTGTGTGAGCCCTTTCACCTCCCTGTTGGTTTCCTCTTCAGCTGCTGCGTCTCTCCCAACCTGTGTGAGCCCTTTCACCTCCCTTCCGTCCGATGGCAGTTCCCTGACATCCACCTCCCCTCCAGGGCCCCCTTCACCCCCTCTCGCCCCCTCCTCTACGGGCGGTGAGGAGGCAAAACCCCGGAATGAACTTCCTTCATCTTCCGATGTCTCGAACACTTCTCTCAACCTGTTGCGGTTCCTGGTCTCGAGTACACCTCCTCCTCAGAGTCCATCTCCCCTTCCCCTTCCGAGTCCGGGAATCCTTCCAACTCCTCCCCTTCATCAGTGGTCCCAAAGTATTCCCTCCGGAACCTCTCTACAGGCTGAGGTTTCCTTGGGAACCTTTGATGGAACGTTTCTATCAATACCTCGTCATTGATATCTTCAGCCATTACCCAAGTGTTTTCTGACTCCGGTTCTCCTTCCCACGCTACCAAATACTCCACCTGATCCCCCTTCCACCTGGCGTCGAGGATTTCTGCCACATGGCTGCTGCATTCTCTTTCTTCTACGACCGGTCCCCGAGTGGCCAGCCCTTCTCGTCCCCCTTCGTACGGTGACAGTAACGACCTGTGAAATACTGGGTGCAGTTTCATGTGGTTGGGTAACCGGAGCCTGAAAGCCACTGGGTTGACCTGTTGAATGACCTCAAAGGGACCCAACCTCCTGGGTCTTAATTTCTTACAACCTCCTTTGAACGGCAGCCCTTGGGTTGACAGCCACACCCTATCTCCCACCCTTATGGTTTCACCTTCCCTTCGGTTCTTGTCTGCCTGCCTCTTGTATTCTTCCTTCGCCCTTTCTAAGTTGAGTTGGAGCTGACGATGGATTGCTTCCATTTCTTCCACAAAATGCTCGGCTGCCGGGACGCTCCATCTCTCCCCTCTCCCCTGGGAAAGCCCTGGGATGACACCCATAATTAGCCAAGAAGGGCTCATCCCTGTGGACACATTCTCGGCATTGTTGTAGGCAAATTCCGCCAGCGCCAACTTTTCTACCCAGTCATTCTCTCTGTCATTGACATAACACCTCAGGTATTGCTGGAGGACACCGTTTGCTCTTTCCGCCTGCCCGTTGGTTTCAGGGTGCCGGGCAGTCGAAAAATTGACCTCCACCTGCAGTAAGCTCATGAGCTTCCTCCAGAACCTGGAAGTAAATTGTTTTCCTCGGTCTGAGACCACCCTCAATGGCACCCCGTGCAACCTAAAAATGTTTTCTACAAATAACTTCGCTGTCTCTTCCGCCGTGACTGCATGCGAGCAAGCTACAAAGTGGCACATCTTTGTTAGTAGGTCTACCACCACCATGATGGCTGTTTTCCCTTTGGACTTCGGCAGATCAGTCATAAAATCTATCGACACTGCCTCCCAAGGTCGTTCTGGGGTTGGTAAGGGTTCTAATAGCCCCGCCGGCGCCCGCCTTTCCCCTTTGGCTCGCTGGCATTGCTCGCACCCTCTTACATACTCACGTACATCTTCCCTCACCTTAGGCCACCAAAATTCCCTGGTGACCAACCACATGGTTTTGTGTTGTCCAAAATGCCCCGCCGTAGGGCTGTCGTGCAACTGCTTGAGTACCCTCCCCCTTAGCTCTCCTTCAGGGATATACAGTGCCCCTTTGTAATACAAAGCTCCATTTCTTTCCTCGAAACCCCTGGTTCCTCTCCATCACCCCTAAGACCTCTGAGCTTATTCTGGGCGTATTCATCATTCTCTGTTTCCTCTACCAGTTCTCTTTGTCCCACCAATGCCGCCCCACACACCCAGCGGTCTTCTGGAATGACATGTCTCTCTTCGGGTGCCCCTCCCCTCCAAATATTCAGGTTTGCGTGAGAGAGCGTCCGCCCTAATGTTCTCTGGGCCTGGCACGTAACTAATCTCAAAGTTAAATTTGGAGAACTCCTGGGCCCATCTCACTTGCCGTTGGTTGAGCACTCGTGCCGTCCTCCAATACTCTAGGTTCTTGTGGTCAGTGCACACTTGCACCTTATGTTGTGCGCCAATTAGCAGGTGCCTCCATCTCCGGAACGCCTCATGAATGGCTAGTAGTTCTCGGTCATACACCGTGTAGTTCCTCTCGGATTTGTTCAGCTTTCGCGAAAAAAGGCACACGGTCTCCACTCTGACCCCTTCTTGCCTGGCTGCAGAAGCACCGCCCCAATCGCTCTGTCTGATGCGTCAGTTTCCACTCTCATCGGTTTTTGTAAATCCACATGCAGGAGTTGTTGTTCCGAGGCGAAGGCCCTTTTAGTTCCTCAAATGCTCGCTCCGCCTCCTCAGTCCACACGAACTTCTTCTTACTGCTGAGACAGTCCGTAATGGGCGCCGTCAGGTGGGCAAAGTTTCGGATGAACTTACGATAGAAGTTCCCAAATCCTAGGAACCTCTGCACATCCTTCTTTGTTTTGGGTGCTTTCCATTCCAGCACAGCCTGGACCTTGCCGGGATCCATGGCCAATCCCTTGTCTGACAGGCGATACCCCAGGAATTCCACCTCCTTGGTATGAAACTGACACTTCTCCAGTTTCACCCACAGCTGGTTGGCTTGCAGCCTGCTCAACACTTCTCTGACGTCTCTCACATGCTGCTCCTCATTCTCAGAATACACCAACACGTCGTCTAAAAAGGCCACACAATTCTTGTAAAGCAAAGGCCCCAGGACGTGGTTCATAAACGATTGAAAGGTTGCGGAGCCTGCTTGGAGGCCGAAGGGCATAACCAAATATTCAAATGCCCCTAAAGGGGTGAACATAGTGGTTTTCCATTCATCCCCCTTCCTTATTCGTACCAGGTTGTACGCCCCCCTTAGGTCCAGCTTTGTAAAAATCTTTCCCTTCCGCACCCTTGTCAAAATGTCGTCAATCCTGGGCATAGGGAAGGCTACTGGTTCTGACACTGCATTTAAGGCCCTGAAGTCACACACCAGCCTCGGCTTGTTCGTGTTTTTCTTATCCACAAAAACACTGGGCTGCCCCCACCGCCCTGGACTCTCTGATGAACCCTCTCTTCAGGTTCTTGTCAATGAACTCTCTTAACTCCTGCATCTCTCTGTCTGACATGGCGTACAGCTTGCCTACAGGGAGCTGTGCTCCAGGGAGTAAGTTGATTTGACAGTCAAAGGGTCTATGCGGGGTAGTTGGTCAGCTTCCCTTTCGCTGAAGACGTCACGGAGATCTGCATATTGTCGTGGTACCTTCACGTTCTCTGTTACTTCAGTCCCTGCTAGGGTGGCTTGGACCCCTGCCAAACCCTTTCCCTCTTTGCAGTGTTCTAAGCAATGTGCTGAACCAAAAGAAACCACTCTCTGATGCCAGCCCACCAGCGGATCATGTAACGCTAGCCAGCTCATCCCCAATATAATGGGAGCTCCTCCCAAGGTGGCCACATTAAAAGCTATCAGTTCGGTGTGCCTTGCTACCTTCATTATCATTGGGACGGTCTGCAAGCTGACTTCTCCACCCAACAGCTCCCTGCCATCGATCGTGGTCACCTGCAGGGGCTGCTTAAAGGATTGTCTGTATCTGGTGTTCAGCTGCAAACTCTTTGCTCATGAAATTGCAGGAGCTGCCTGAGTCCAACAGCGCCTTTATCTTTAGAGGGTGTCCGTTTGGCAGCTCTAGCGTCACTTCTATCACTAGGGCGGGTTTAGGAGGTTCTGGCGTGGGCACTCTCACTGCTCTTTGGCCTGGCTGCTGTGCCCTGACAGTGGCAGCCAGGCGTTGGCTTTTACTTGCTCCGGTATATTTTCCTCTCTTCCATCCACAGCCCCTACCATCCCTTGCCATTCTTTCCTCTGGGGGCAGACTCTGGCAAAGTGACCTGGCTGTTGGCAGAGATAGCATTTCCGGGCGCCTTTTCCCTCCTTCTTTGCCCCCTCACTGGGCTTTGAAACTGCGCGCGCGCGCTGTTCCGATTTCCATCGGCTCTGCCGGTGGGAAAGTTGGCTCTGGAATGTCTGGAATGCGGAACTCCTTCCAACGTTCCCCTTTCCCTTCCCGCCTCTCCAATGCTCTCGCCTCCTGGCGCGCTCCTATGGCCAGCGCTGATTTGGTCAGCTGGTCCATAGACTCCGCCCTGGGCGCCCGGGAAAGTTCGTCTTTCACAGCCGAAGAAAGCCCTTCTTCAAAGAGCATTTGAATGGGTTCCGCCGATAAGTCCCACCCCAATCTGTGAACAAGCATGGTGAACTCAGTCCAGTACTCACGGACAGATCGGCTCCCTGTTTGCAACCCATTAACTGTCTGCGCACCACTCCCTTTTCAATATCGCTGGAAAACATCAGATCCATGGCGCGAAAGAACTTCATCGTGTCTTTTAAGACGTCACTATTCGCTGCCATCAGGGGTCTAACCCAGTCTCTCGCCCCCTTTTCAAGATGCTCAATCACGAAAGCCACTCGTGATTCCTCGTCAGGGATTCATCAAACTGCAGATTGAGGGCATATTGCATTTCTGTCCGAAAACCATGATAGTTTTTGGGCTCCCCCCCAAACTTCTGCACCAATCCTGGTACCTTTCTGGCGAACTGGGTGGCTTTCCCCTTTGTCTGCATCCTGAGCCCTCCTCTCCTCAAGCCTCGCCGTCTGCATCGCTAGCTGGACCTCCAACATCTGGTACCTTTCTTCCAGGCTTGGACCCGCTCCAGCTCCTGCTTCTCCGGTTCCGGCTGGGTTGCTCATGATACCTTCTCCTGCACAAGCTGCTTTCAAAGACTGTCGGAATGCTGTGATGGGATGATGAGCTGCTTGTGCGTAAAATCGTATCCCCTCAGAGTTTGTTCAAGTCCACAAACCTCTGTCTGTGACAGAGCCCCTCAGACATGGCTACTCTAGTCACTAGCAGATTCCGACAGTGGTTGCTTTCGTAATCGCTTCCAACATAAAAGCTCCTTAACGGAAACACGTCTTCTGGAATCTCTGCGTGACAGTTTCCGGCGAGGAGTGGGTGTTCTTACAGGAGGTCCTGAAACCTCTCCACTGTTTTCGCTGGAAGTGTCTCTGAGCCATCCCTCCAGCTCAGCTCCTCTCCCCCTGCTGGTTCCCTCATCAGCTGCTGCGTCTCTCCCAACCTGTGTGAGCCCTTTCACCTCCCTGTTGGTTTCCTCTTCAGCTGCTGCGTCTCTCCCAACCTGTGTGAGCCCTTTCACCTCCCTGTTGGTTTCCTCTTCAGCTGCTGCGTCTCTCCCAACCTGTGTGAGCCCTTTCACCTCCCTTCCGTCCGATGGCAGTTCCCTGACACCTGGGGATTAACATGACAGCAAAAAATGGGAATTTATTTAAAGACAACTATGAAAAATGTTGGGCTGAAGTGAAAAAAGATTTAGAAATATGGTCAAATTTGAAGCTTTCACTGCTGGGTCGTATTGCTGCGATAAAAATGAATGTATTGCCTAGAATGTTGTTTTTGTTTCAAACATTGCAAATTGTGGACAAAATGGACTGTTTCAAGAGGTGGCAGAGAGATATTTCTAGATTTGTCTGGCAGGGCAAGAAGCCCAGAATAAAATTTAAAATACTAACAGATGCAAAGGAAAGAGGTGGATTTGCCCTGCCAGACTTTAAACTTTACTATGAATCAGCAGCTTTTTGCTGGTTGAAAGAATGGTTGCTTCTTGAAAACACAGACATTTTGGATCTAGAAGGTTTTAACAATGTATTTGGATGGCATGCATATCTGTGGTATGAAAAGTCAAAGCACATAAAGCATTTAAAAATCATATTGTCAGGAAAGCATTGTTTAATGTTTGGACAAGATACAAGGACTTATTGGAAAACAAAACCCCAAGGTGGCTGTCACCGATGGAAGCGAAAGCTCAGAAAAAGCTCAATATGGAGGTCAAATGGCCAAAATATTGGGAAATTTTGGAACAAGATGGAGATAGACTGAAATTGCAGAGTTTTGAGAAATTAAAAAATAAAGTGCGAGACTGGCTTCATTATTATCAGATAATGGAGGCATATAATTTGGACAAGAAAATTGGCTTCCAGGTGGAAAAATCAAAATTGGAAACAGAACTGTTAGAACCCAAAACCAAGATTTTGTCAAAGATGTATAACTTGCTGTTGAAATGGAATACTCAGGATGAAATGGTGAAATCTGCTATGATTAAATGGGCACAAGATGTTGGACATAACATAATGATGGCTGACTGGGAACAGTTATGGACCACAGGTATGAAGTTTACGGCATGTAATGCCTTAAGAGAGAATATTATGAAAATGATACACAGGTGGTACATGACACCAGTCAAGCTTGCAAAAATCTATCATTTGCCCGATAATAAATGTTGGAAATGTAAAGAAACCGAAGGTACATTCTTTCACCTTTGGTGGACGTGCCCAAGGATTAAGGCTTTCTGGGAGATGATTTACAATGAAATGAAAAGGGTATTTAAATATACCTTTCTGAAGAAACCAGAGGCCTTTCTCCTGGGCATGGTCGGCCAAATGGTGCCAAAGAAGGACAGAACTTTCTTCATGTATGCCACAACAGCAGCAAGAATACTTATTGCAAAGTATTGGAAGACACAAGACCTACCCACTCTGGAAGAATGGCAGATGAAGGTGATGGACTACATGGAATTGGCGGAAATGACTGGCAGAATCCGAGACCAGGGAGAAGAGTTGGTGGAAGAAGATTGGAAGAAATTTAAAGATTATTTACAGAAATATTGCAAAATTAATGAATGTTAGAATGATGTTGGAATGAAGTTAGGTGGTTTAAGCAGTAATGCTATAAAGGTGTATGTAAAAAAGGATTGTTAATAGATGAAAATTTAAAGTTATAGTATATTAAGTTAAAGGATCATGAGAAAACAAAGAGGGAAAGAAATTGCTGACTTACCTCCCTTTTTTGTATTCCAGTTCAATTAGTTATGAGGAGGTCAGGGAAACAAGGATATGAATGTAAGCTATGGAAAGATTGACCCATTTTTCTTTTCTTTTTTCTTTTTAAGTGTTTTTTATTTTTTTCTGTATTTTGTATTTTGTTTTGTTTTGTTGTATTTTTACTTTCCCCCCCCCCTGTAATTCTTTTTTTCTCTGAAATTTCAATAAATATCATTTAAAAAAAGAGAAAAGTTACAGCAGAGAAAGAAAAACTGCTTTTGTGAAATAGAGATGAAGCTAAGATGGGGTTCAGAGAGGAATCTGTCATTTCTCTGTTTCCCAACATCCCCAAATCTTTTCCTACTCACTGGTTTATTTCTTTATTTTCTTTCCTCACATCTTTAATTTGTTTTGTACTGGTAAATGACAGGTCATGGGGCAAACACTTGCAGAAACAGAAAATCTGCTCCAGCAAGTCCCCCAACTCTCCAAGGAGTTGTAGGGGGAGGAAAGGAAGGGGAAGTCCCACTGTGCAAGTGGAATGGTTCTCCATTCAGTTTGAATTCCATCCTCTGTACCAGGGGTCAGCAAACCCCTGTAGGGGGTTTCTGTAGGGGGCTGGTCCACTGTCCTTTAGACCTTGTGGGGAGCCGGACTATATTGGGGGAAAGACCCCCCCAACTCTCACCTCTCTTCTCCACAGCACCGGATGAGCCCTGGTGGCTGCTTACCTGTGCCTTGTGAGTGGCAGGGGCTGGCGGCGGCAGTGGAGGGACAATGAGCGGCGCGATACGGCTGGCTCCAGAAAGGGGCTGCTTAAAATGGTGCTCATGGCTCAACAAAGCCCAGCCCCCTTCCTCCTCTAGGCAGGGCGGGGAGAAGCCAGGAGGAGGGAGGGAGGAGGTGCCACTGTGTGGGGGGGGAATGGTGTGCAGCCCAAATGATCAGAATCCCCACACCGATCCACGCGGCGATTCCCAGACCATCCGCGGGCTGGATCCAGAAGGCAATTGGGTCGGATCCAGCCCCCGGGCCTTAGTTTGCCGACCCATGCTCTGTACAGTCGTACCTCGGAAGTAGAACGGAATCCGTTCTGGAAGTCTGTTTGACTTCCAAAACGTTTGGAAACCAAGACATTGCTTCAATCGGAAGCCGCATCAGATGTTCGGGTTCCAAAGAACATTTGCAAACCGGAACACTCACTTCCGGGTTTGCAGCCTTCGGGAGCCAAAACATCCTTTTATCAGATAAGCATAGTCACTTTGCCCTGTTGTACTTGAAACACCCAGAAAAGAGGAGGTTGTGAGATACTTTCTGTTCTGCTTCATAACCTGTGTGTTTATGTGGCTTCGTTACTTTTGTATTTCAGACTTTTGACAATGTTACAATTCTCTTTTTTACCTATCTTCTATTTGGCAGTTGAAAAGAATAACAGATAGGCAACTGATTGGACAAAGTAGCAATCCTATACATTAGCAATTTCTGGATTTCAAAAATCCACACCTGAACAGTTGCTCTTTAAGTAAAAGTCTTTAGACCTTTTTCCTTCAGAATTTTACAAAGGTCAGGAGAAACTTGATAAAACTTTTATGTGGTTTAAAAGGCTTGTCTTATTAAAATTTTATGAAGAGGTAGCAACAGCTAGAGCACAATTGGAAAAGCTTAGCTATTTTATATAGGGGGGGGAACAGCTGCTAAGTGATAGGATAACTGTGCATTTTAAGTCTGTTGCTGACTTCACACAATAGTTTGGAAGTAAACTACTGCTTCTGAAAAAAGGTTAAATATCATGAAGCTTGCTTTGATATGCCAATAATGCATTTTACAACTCACATGTATTCTGGAATCAAAGAAAGCATTTAGCAATAGACTGGGCTTGGTCTGTACTCACAGCCAGTAGTTGGCAAAGTATATATTCTACATCGCTGCCTTGAGTGAGCAGAACTATTGAACTTTTTGGTCATTATTGAACCAAATATGTAGTTAAAACAGCCAGCTTTGAAATGTTACCGTGTCTTAGGTTAGGGAAAACGTAATGGAAATTAATAAACAATACCCACTTCTCTTTGCCATTTTGGGATGACCATTACCCCATTATGAGACTGACTGAAATATTTCAAATCCTTTCAAATGATACCTGTGATGTTTACTACTGGGGCAGGTTCTGCTGCTGTTGATCTTTTGGTTTTACTATTTTAAATTGGGCTTTCAGCTGTTCTGTTTTTTAGTGTACTTCTAATTTTGTAAGCAACTTTGCATTAAAATGAGTTGGAGTGTAAATGGTTCTCTCCACAGTACCATCCATATAATAATGGATTAGTAAGAGACTGTTTGGTTTGTTTGCTGTATTTATTGAAGCATACAAAGGGCAGTCTTACTTAGCTTTTTGTTGCAGGAGACCTGCAATTGGCTTATCAAGGGGCTGGCTGGATTTTAATGTGTTGAAATTATATGGCAATGTTTAGGAGTGGAAGTATGCTGAAAACACTTGATTTTGGGACCTTTTTGCTTTTCTCTTTATAGGCTATGTGACTTTACAGTTGATGAGCTTCCTAATTTTCTCATATTTGATGGACAATGAGAAAAATAAATGATACATACTTGAATAATGTAGGAGACATCCAGAGGCACAAACAAGCAGAAGCAGGCCAAAGTATTTAGCACAATGGATTAATATGTTCTCCATTTCATCATCCTAAGCATCCAGTTGAATGTAAACATTGGAATGGCCTCTGATTTGGCCCTTTCCATATGTTACTTTGAAATATGATTCTTTTGATTGCTGATTCCTCCTTCCATTGTGCCCCCTGAAAGGCTGATCTGGAGGGTTTGGGCACCCTTTGGAACAGAATGGGAGATGCTGCAAAGGGCTGAAGGGGAAAGGGGAAATTGGTGCAAGGCCCCCCTCCCCATTCTAATAGGTAGCTTTATCGTATTTGGAGCCTTTCCATAGATGGAAGCTGCCTTTTTGTTTGCTGAAAGGGCACTCGGGATCTAGTCCCCTATAAAGCAAAGAAATACATCTAGCAAAGATTAACACAAAATTGAATCTCTCTTTACATATTATTGACAAACTTGAGAAATTAAAAAAAAATCGGAGATTTCTGGTTTCAGATGTTTCCAGAATAGCTACAAGATGATATCAGGAAACATCTCTGTAACAGCATACTCTTCTAAATAACAACATAATTACAGTAGCTTAAAGAGAAAAAACGCTAACACATTGCTTGATCCTCACTGTATAAACCTAATCCTCCTCCTGTTGGGAGTCCTGGTTACTGAAGCAAGGAAATGTGAGCTTGTTCTATTCAAAGTGACCTGTCTCAGAAATCTATTGAATCGCTTGGCAGCTGGCCATTCTCAATTGCCTTGGATAATATTGTTGAAGGTGAATCTGCACTTTAAGCGTAGACGTTCTTGCTTGCAACTAAAAGGGATTCCCATAAAATATGAGCTTGATGTTTATAGCCCAAAGAGACTTTAGTTTTGAAAGTGCCATGAACTGTGCACCTGGTACTCTTCAGAGTATAGTGAACAAGCTGTAATCACCATTTTAGTATATAACCAAAGGAGATTTAAGAGGAAGAAGCACAATTTTTCCAACACCTAATAACTCTCTCTGTGTTTTATTCAGCGTCGACTTGGAGATGCAGCAAAAAAAGCTGTTGGTAAATTGACAACAAGAACAGTGAAGAAAGGGGATAAGGTATAGTCACACAAATGAAATGTTAGTCACATTTTTTCTGGAGAAAAGTATTAATGCTTATCTGTGCAAGTCTGTTTCCCCCCTCAATTTATCCCAATCCTTTTGGTTTGTGGAGTCCTCCACAAAAGAAGTTGTTGAGCTTTTTTGGGGGGGAGGGGAGGCCAAAGTTGTTGAGGGGGGCAGAGAGTTCTTTCACTTCCAACGATCGATAGGGATCCAGCGATCGACCGCGAACATCTGGGTATTTACCTGTCGATCACGGTCAACCGGTTGGACATCCCTGATGTAGATAATGTTTTTTTGTTTGTACCCGGCCCATCTGACTGGGTTGCCCCAGCCACTCTGGGCGGCTTCCAGCATATATAAAAACATAGTAAAACATTAAACCCTATACAGGTAAAAGTGTTGACCCTTAGGGAGCTGAATACCAACACCTTACCCGTATGGCAGTTTTTCGTTTTCATTGGTATATATGTAGAAAGGGGAAGAGTATAATACCATGAGGAAAAATGAGAAAGGGTGGGAGGGTCCCCTCTAGTCTTCTAGAATAGTGGTTCCCAATTAGCTATGTACTGCAGAACCCCTGTTTCTCAAACCCCAAACCATGGACCTCCGACTTTTGAAAATGTTGATATCTCTGTTTTAGTTTTTGTTATGTGAATGGTACCACCATACCTCCAACATGTCCCAGCACAAAACCAGGTCATGTGTCTTACTACAGGATTTCTGTGACTGTCTGCTCTAGAGATTGGTTGAATAGTCACTTTGTTCATTTTAGGAAACGGATCCAGACTTCGATCATTGTGCTGTTTGCATTGAAAGTTACAAGCAGAATGATGTTGTCCGCATTCTTCCATGCAAGTAAGCCAGTAATTCCTCTTTCCTTTTTGAGAGTGCTTTACCCTTGAAAATATATGTCTTAGCTTCATTATCCTTTTTGTCACTCTTGGGTTCCCTCAACACATTAGAACTTGTGTATTAATTTTAGGCACTTTTGTGTGCACACAATTACCTAGTGTGGGAGAACTATGCAAAAAGGCCTGGGTGGTGAAAGATACTTAGTATAGTCTGAAAAGAAAGTGGTTTGTGAATTAGGAGAATAGATGTGGTGGTAGTCAAATAAGACCATCATGGTACCCATGCAGAATTTTCTTGGTGACTCCCAAGGCGCTCAAACTGATCTCTGAATGAAGATTGCACCTGTTTGTGGCCTTCATATTGCAGAGTACTTTCTGTAGCTGGAAAGGCCCATCCCCTTCTACTCTAATTGGTTGTGAAGGCAACCCCTCCTCTTTGCAGGAAATCTTGAAAGTGCCATGGAGGATGTTTGAACTAGTTTGTGCAGTGGCCTGGAAAGGGAGAGGTAGGGTGGTGGCCACCACTTCTTTTATTGCCCAGAAAGGCATTTTATTTTCGGAAGCAGGAGACAAAAGCAATGGGAATGTATGTGGTATCTACGTGAGAAGGAAAGGGGCTTTCTTTTTCACTACAGAACACATAAGAAATGCTGGAATCTGTAAAGACTTAGACTAAAATGTATTTAGTGCATTTGAATATTAATACATGATAAAATTAACAATGGCAAGACATGTTACATAATTACAATGAGCTTGGATCTCAGATTATTACAAATCTGACATCCGTTCACTTCCCTTATTAAGTCCATTTGGTATTACTGTATTTAGTTTATAAAACTACCTGACTTCTTCCCTTCATAATTATTTAAGTATTATTTTTCTGATCCATATACTTTCTCAGTATACCAAAACTTACAAGGATTTGACATCATGCCGTTGTTCTATAAAATTTTTTTAACAAATGCACCTGAAGTTTTTTATTCTTCTTTCTGCCCTGTGTCTTCCTGTCTTTATCTGAATCTTTTGAGTGGTCATCTTAATATATAGCAAAGGACACAGGCATTGAACTGCATAAATAACCCAGTTCAGTTCCCATGTTCCTTGTTATATGCACACACACTAAAATGGAAGAGGAACTAAATAACGCTTTGGTATGTGTGTGGCTGTTACTTAAAACCCCTGAAATTGGTATGTTCTGTACAAAAATGTAACACAAGCAGAAGTTATAAGTGAAATATGCAATCCATACATTCTCAGAAGATCTAAATGTAGCTTTACTATTAAGGAGTTAGTTGTACATTAAACCCAACTCAAGGATGATTGCCAATTTATTCGAATTCCCAAAATAAATTGTTCAAAATTCCTAATATTTTTTCTTATTATGACCTCCCCAGTATATCTGGTGTTAATAGTTTTGCAACTAGCATTTGTTGTGCTGCTCTGTTTTCAGACATGTTTTCCACAAAACCTGTGTGGATCCATGGCTCAGTGAACACTGCACTTGTCCTATGTGTAAACTGAACATTTTGAAGGCTCTGGGAATTGTGGTGAGTCAAGTCTTATTTAAACAGTAAGGAATGTAGAGCTTTCCTTTCCAAAATGATCATAAATCAGTAAAGTCAGGTACGAGAGGACCAGAATTCCAGGGTGTTAGCCATTCTTCCTTTCTTGCATGAAATTGCAGTGTTCCAATTCTAAATATTGGAAGCATCCTTGGTAGTGGGTGTAAAAGGACTGTGGCAGAGGGACAGAGTGATTGGTGTCAGCATTGTGCAAGCACTGGGTGTCTGCCTTCCTATTAGTATATTGTGTTTAGACCTACCTACTATCCCCTCTCAAGTATATTTGCCTCTCACTATTACTTTTGGAATTGGCTCTTTGTACAATTTATCATCAGAACATCTTATGATGGGATTACTGAATCGTTTGATTTGGATGTGTGGCTGACAGTCCCTGTTCCCACTGGTTGCTGCTCAGCAGTAACTGCTTCTTCCTGTGAATCACATTTCATCATTGGTCACTACTGGATGCTTGTGCACCCCTCAGATAGCCTTCTGCAGACATTTTACAATATCTCTTTTATGATTTTGCCAGAAGCTTACAAAAAGGAAATATATTAACTTGCCAACATTGTGTTTTCAGACAAATGTGCCATGTGCTGACAATATGGCCTTTGACATGGAAAGGCTCACCAGAGGCCAACTAGGCAACAGGAGATCAGTTCTTGGTGACCTTACCAGTGACACCTCACTCACTCTTGAGCCCCTGCGTACTTCTGGAATATCACAGTTTCCACAGGATGGGGAGCTGACTCCAAGAACAGGAGAGATCAATATTGCTGTAACTAGTAAGTGAAGTTTGGTTTTAATTTGAGCATTGTAGGTTTCATGTTGCTTTCAGATTTATGCTCTGTTACTATAACATGCATGAAAGTTTTCTATTAGTTTTAAGTGACAGTGAAAAAGACTCATATTGAACATCAAGACAATGAACTTGGAAATAGCTTTGGCAAAATCTTTTTCAAAATTAATTACCAAGTAAGAAAATAGATTATACAAGTCAATTATTTAAATGGCTAACAGTTAAAATGGGTAAGTATTTTAACAGTTTTCCCCGTCAGTGAATTATGTTTGCAAATCATAATGGCTGGATCTAGAAATTTAGTAGATTGCTCCAATTACATTTGCCATCTTTTTATAATTATTTTTGGGCTTGATGCAGTCTTCAAACAGTTTATAGTTTGAGTGCCATCAGAAAATCACATATGCCAATTGTTTATGAAAATCATGTATGCCAATTCAACAATCTACCTGTGAACACAACCTTGCATTAAATGAACTCTGGAACAGTGATCTGTGTTGAGCTAGCTGTTTGGGGTATGATTTAGGCAAAAAAGAACACATAGTACCAGGTCCTAAAAGCTAAAGAACCCTTACTGGATATATAAATAAGAGTTTTGCTTCTGATTCTGTTGCACAGTCTAAGCCCCAGACAAACGGTGTAGTCCTTACTTTGTTCAATTCAGCTGCAACTCATCAAGGGTAGAACTTTCATATTTCCTGGTGCTAAGCATTGTTTGGTCTGCCTCATGATCAGTAGCAACACATGGCTTTTCTTTCTTGCTGCCTAGCAGGCCTGTGCAGAGCTTGTCTGAGGCCTGGGGTGGAATAAAAAAGCAGTCGGTCCCTGCCTGGGGCCCCTGGCCAGCTTAGTCCTCTGAGGCCTAGGGCAAGTGTATCTGCTTGCCTCCGCCCCGCCCCGCCCTGCATGGGTCTGCTGCCTAACAGACCAGGTAAAACTATTTTATGGGGGAAATGCAGTATGCACTCTGACAAATAAGGATGAAAGTTTATTTTAGTCCTCTATTTGCAAACTTGATGGTTATGTGAAGTTTTACTAACTAAATGTCTTTCATACACTATAAATGAATTGGTGGAACCTGGAGATATGTGGGAACACCTGAGCAGAAGCACTTGCATATTATTTGACCAGTAACTAAGAGAAATGTTTGGGCCAATGTGATATATACTACCACTCTGTAGTTTGGGAGACTGCCAATTTTGACAAAAGAGCTGGGTTTGCCCCTAACATTCCCCATACGTCCCACACATTTATTTAAAAACTTCAGGCATGGAATTAGTGCTAGCAGGCTTTGCTTTGTTATATTCCCTCAGAAGTTGGGTTTGAGGTGTTATCATATTGCTATGTGTGAAGAATTTCATTTGTCAGTAAAATATCCCTCATGGAAATTGAGACTTACCATTGAATACTTTCTACAGTCCTGGTTCTATAATCTTAAAGTGGGATAGATATCTTATAGTGACTTTGACCATCTTGAGAATGAGCAGTGGTAATGCCACCAACCCTGTTGTTGTTGGTTTTGATTATTGCTTGCAGGCCCAGAACATGTCTAAGAATGGATTGACAACTCTTTTTCATTGACCGGAAAGACTTATTTAATATTCATAACCACATAACTGTGCATTTAACATAGGTTAAATCTCAGTGTACAAATACTGCTGGTTGCGAGAAATACACATGTACAGCTATATATACAACTTCAAAAACAAGCATATTAACTTGGCTTGAGTCCTGTTGCTTTTCCAGTCATTTAAAATGGAGATCATGATAAAGGAGAAGAAATTCATGCAACATTTCGAGCACTGTCATCTGAAAACTTTTCTGATTTGTTTTCGTTTGTGTACACTGCACACATTCCTATGCCACAAAAAATTAAAATCAAGGAATGCACCTAGTTAGAAATGATGTCCAAAACAATCACATTCCTTTAAAAAAAATTAAGATGTACTTTTGTGTGATATTTTTAGACTAAAATTCTATTTCATTTTTTATTATTAATGACTCCCTGCTGAATTCTACCTTTTAAAAGTGCTAGAGCACTTTATTTGCGGATAAAGGAGTGGAAGAGATGATACAGGGTCTGTGTGTGTGCTGTCATATTTCTTTTAATACAGGTCTCATTTGGAAATAGACTTATTCCTTAACTGCAGGTAAAATTTTTGCTTATGCTTTCCTTATTTTGCATTTTACTTTGATCAGTCATTTATCATTAATGTCTGGACTCTGTGATCAATATTATTGTATCATTCCTCTTTTTCTCACTTCTCCTCATAACCTTGTTTGCTGGCCTTCTCCATTTAGTACCTTCTTTGCCTTCTGCTTTCCTCTGGAGCTTCACTTCCTGGTGCCCCACATGAGTAGAATTATTGTCTTCTGCTTCTGATCTTTGAGGGCAGTTGCCATCGATTTGACATAAGCCTTCTTCCACGAGTGATTTCCTCCCTTTCCTTTGTCAACAGAAGAATGGTTTATTATTGCCAGCTTTGGCCTCCTGAGTGCCCTTACACTTTGCTACATGATCATCAAAGCCACAGCTAGCTTAAATGCTAATGAGTAAGTAAATGTTCAGATTGTGAGTGTGCCTACACATACGGCAGCATTGTAAAGAAATGATGAGTTGAAGAATTAGAAGGAAGGAGATCTGGGAAACATCCAGAATACAGCGTTCTTTTACTAAGTTGCAATATCAGATTGTTAGAACATCTGAGGATAGGTTTTCCAAAGGGAGGGTACATTTTTTTTTTAAGGGGAAGATGCGTTATCGTTCAATTTTACTTTGTATTCTGGCACTCCTGCTTTTTATTCATTTTGTGTGTGCATATGCGCGCATTGCACTCCTTGTTTGGTTAAGTTTATATTAGCAAGCTTACCATTTAAGGGAGAATTGTAAGGATCATTGCCTATATGGACTTGAGTGAACAAGCCTAGATAGTGCCTGTTCAGATTTAGATAACTGAATGTTATTTATTTGTCTAGGAATTATATTCAGGAAGTATATTCCAATAGGGAAGCTTAAGGGAAATGCCATAGAGAGTAGTAAGGATGCTATTTTTTATTTAATATTTTTCTTCTGCTCCCAGAGAACCAAGAGCAGCTTACAATGAAAAATACAATAAAACAAATAATTTTTATCACTAAAACACAAATTTAAAAACAATTCCTGATAACAATTTAAAAGCAGCAATCAATGAAGAATCAAGTTAAGGTTTAGTGCTGTATGTTTTTAAATAGTTGTTGAAAGGAAAACTTTTTTTAGCTTATGTTTAGAGGAGAGTCTCTTGAATTCCTGATTCCAGCGCAGTGTTATCACCAAGCAAGTGCTGGCTTGTGTAGTATGATGTGCACGAGTTTCCTGCATTTGTGCACAGCCTCTTTGCTCCCACTTCATTTATTTCTTTGTGCAAGCTGGGAAACAAATCAGGAAACCAGAGTTAACCAGAGTTTCCTGTTACCTGCAAACTGGAGAAGTTATGGTTAACTGTAGAGTCTTTGTTTCCTTACTCACATAAAGAGACAAGTGACCTGAAGCAAAGGGGCTGTGTACAAGTGCATGAAACAGATTAAGCCTGAATTTGTGCAAACACAGCCACTGAATCTTGTGTCCGCCAACCTAATGGCCTGAGGTAATGGCACAGAGAGCAGGGCTTCCAAGGCACAACTCAAAGGTTTATATGGAAACTAACTATCCTTGAGATAGCCTGGTCTAAGATTGTTTAGGCAGATAAAGATCCAACAATGATGTACATCCTACAAGAAGTGCAGCTTAAGGACGAGAATTTAGAGTGAACTAGGGGTGCACCAACATATGTGTACTTAGTAACTCCTGGTCCTGTGATCAGTTTGCTGCAAGTAAGGAGGACAAATTATGCAGCAAACATATATTTGCAAGCAAATGTACATTAATAAATTATGGTTCTCACTACATGTGGTGAGCAGCATGAACACAGAGCTTGCTCTCGCACACTGCCCCATGAAGGAGGTATATAGGCTACATATTTTACAGTAATTGACTAGTTCACCAGCACCCTGGTCTGGAATAATCTTACAACTTACTCATGTAGCATTTTGGTTGGCTACTTTCATATTTCCAAAAAGAGACTGGAATATTTTTTAGGGATTTCACACAATATTTCCTACTGGTGATAGCTGCATTAAACTAGAAGGTTCCTCCTAGATTTTTGTATCTAAAAGTAAAAATGATGCTTGCATAAATGGATACTACAGATATCCAAAACCACTTTCAGTCATTACTTCATGCTGGAACAAGATGTGCAGGTTTCCAACATAGCGCCCCATCTCTGATCTTTTGGGTGGAGGAGATGCAGAGATTGTATTTTGGACATGACACAGTATAATAGGAAGCGGGAGAATTTGTATATTGTGTTCACGTACAGTATTTTTCTTTATTTCACCCCCCCCAAAAGGTGTAGTAAATAAATTAAACCTAGTGTGGAGGTCAAGGTGGTAGCTAGAATTCATAATTTATTTCCCATTTTTATGAACCATCTATTTTAACTGTAATATCTATGGATTTGCCACTTGTGAAAAAGGAATAGCTGTATGCCTTCCTTCCCATTGACTGAAAGCACTAGCAAGTTGTTTTTATTCTGCTCATAATTTATTTTGAACATTTGTGCATTAAACAGCAACAATAAAATATTACTGATAATCTCTTTTACTTTCCCACAGAACTGAATGGTATTGAAGAAACACTTTGACTAATCGCTTTGGAGAGAGAGCGGCCTATTTTTATGTATCATTTCTTGATCATGTAACACAAGCATATGTTTTGTACATTCTATTTTCATAATTTGCTAATGCTGAAGCTTTGTATTACAAAAGACTCAATAAAAGGTCAATCATAAAAAATTATTCTGAGATTGAATTTTATTATACGCTTGTCAGTGGAAAGTGGTCCCCCCACCCCCAATCCAGTGAATGTTTCCACCTAGTTCTGTTAAATGTATGGACATGTATCAGATTTTGATCTTATACTTCTCCTGTAAATTCAAGGCTTAGTTCCTTGAACTAAAAGTTAACACAGAAGTTTGCAGGAGGAAAGTTTTAGGTCCCTTCCTTCTGCAAGCATGCCTGCTCTTCTGCAGAAAGCTGCTCTGAAAAGTCAAGAAGGCCCTCTTAAACAACATGAGATGTAGACCCTCCAAGTGTCCCTATTTTCCAGGGACAGTCCTGGATTTGCAGAAGCCATCCCAGTTTCTGACTTGATCCTGGAATGTCCTGCTTTTCCTTAGGATGTCCCTATTTTCATCAGATAAATGTTGGAGGGTATCAAATAGGATATCCTTATTTTCATCGGAGACATGTTGGAGTGCAGGCCTGGTGCTGCTGCAGAGAGGACGAACTGCCTAAAATTGAGGTTGGATCCTAAGATAAGTTAACTTATCTAAGAGTAAAGTTTCCCATTCTTTCCCTCTTCTAGTACCCCACCATGTTCCATTTTATATTATTCAGGAGGGCCCTTTGATCTTCTACAGCAGGCATCCCCAAACTTGGCCCTCCAGGTGTTTTGGGACTAAACTCCCATCATCCCTAGCTAACAGGACCGGTGGTCAGGGATGATGGGAATTGTAGTCCCAAAACATCTGGAGGGGGGAGTTTGGGGATGCCTGTTCTACAGAGTCTTTTCAGAAGTCTGAGGGTAGCAAACATTCCTTCTGTGCACTTGCTTAACTTAGTATACAAGCCAAAGCTAACCTATAAATTAGAAAAAGGCATTCACTTTATGGATTTCCACGAAACACTAACGCAAATGGGAAGCAGTTCTTGCTAAAGGAAGGAGGGCTTGATTTCTGCTAATCCCTTGTTCCAGCTCCCTGTATCGTATCTTGATAATGCTCTGAAGGTATCTCAGTCCTCAAGGGTAGCTTTTTGGGGGTTGTAGTGGAAAAGAAGAGGTGAGCAATCGCCTTTCCATAAGTGAAACTCCTCTTGCAATATTTGGGACTTAAATAATTATGACTCCAAATTTGTTCAGAGATTACAACTGGAAATACCAGGTGTAGGATATATACTGTTTTATAGCTACATAAACATTTAGCTTGTGTTATTTCATTATTATTATTCTCATATATAGCTTCAACAACATGGCATCCTCATGGTTTTGTCTTCCGTTTCTCATTCCTTAATACTTCTGCATATAAAGAATGGCAATTGTGGTCTGTTTTTAGATAAGTTATTACAAAATCTAACACTTGAACAACCTAAATTACCTCAGCTCTCTGCTGTTCGAAAAAATATTCAGGAAAAGAAGAAATTGTCTGGTTAGATAGCTTTCATTGTTGTTGGGGTTAAATAGAGTGTTTGGCAAAAACAGGATGTATCAATAAAGGAATAGGTGTATAGTGTATATAGGTATACATGCATTTATACATACTCTTTTCTCTCTTGACTTTTCTCCTGTGGCATTGGGGAAAATGCATTGGGTGGGTGTTGCGAGCAGGCCAGGAATTCGGGCAGCTGATTTGGGGCAAGAATATCCAGATCCAGTGGCCCTTTGGAATCACTGGCTGCATCGCGATCAACTGGGCAGGATTCTGCTCCTCCTGCAGGGAGACCTCAGTTTCAGGGTGTGGCACAGCTGCCCCTGACAATTCTAAATTTAACTTTATCAAAGATGGGAAACGAAATTTATTTAAATAAAATTTACTCCTTCCAACCACCTAATTGTCCCTTCTCTGCTACTTCTACATCACAAATTATTCTCTAAGGGAATCAACACTGAACACTAATGTGAAAGTGTGTTCAGCTATTGTGATTGGAAATGAATGGTGTATAGGATTGCTTCCACAGCAAGCTCTTCCATTTCAAATCGGGTCAGTGACACAAAATCTCATGTCCCTGCTGCTTTTTTAGTAGTAGTGGTGCTTGCTTGCACTTCCAAGCCATTGAACACAGCACATTCTTCTTCTTTTCTCATAGAGTAAGAATCATTCAGCTCTTTATAAAGAAAATCCACAGTGGCCTTGTTAGTGAATGTAGAGCTGTTGGGCTCTTGATTTCCAGCCAAAAGCTAATGTCAGACTTAATGAGATTGACTATTGAATCAGGCAGACAAAAAGGCATAAGCTGGCCAAAGCCAGAACCTTTTGTGTTTTTGTTCAATCAAAGTTTAACCTACTTTTGAATTTAGTACTGTGTTTAATTAAAATAAGCCAGTTTGCATTTCTAGCTATCAAAAAGGGAGCTGGCGTTCCTTTTTTTATGATGCTTTTTAAGAAATATTGGGGCTGGGGATTTAAAAGTACTTCTTGAACTTGGGAAAGCAGCCAACATCTATATTAAAATAGTAGCTTAATTTGTAGCTGTCAGGAAACCGTCAGCTGAGAAAGCAGCTTTTATTAATTAGAAATGAAGTGTGTTAAAGTTTCCATAATAGAATATTTCAAAATGTCTTTGAAACGTTCAGAGAAATGACACAAATAAGGAAGTGACTTTGCTTTAGAAAATGTGAAAAAGTCAAATTGAGGAGGAAGGAAGAACCACGTGAATTTTCAAAACATTGTTTTGCCTTTTTTTGTTTTGAAAAGCTGAAAAAACGGGTTCTTTGTATGTTGAATGCCTGCATGTAAATTTTATTAGCCAGTTTTGTAACATTTGAAACAGACCTCATGAGCATAGTGAACCTGGTCAGTTCTTTCTAGATTTCTGTTTTGTTCATTACATGTAGTGAAGTTGCTGTGCTAGCAAACAAATAAGCTAAGAATTTTTAAATGAACGGGAGGAGGGGGAAATGTATGTAGGTTAGTCATTTTCTTGTCTCTTGATATGGGCTTGTCTTGTGAAACCCAGTCAAAAGGCAAGAGAACCTTCAATCTGCAAGGCAACATGTCCTTTACTAGGCTCCATTTCCGGCAATTGGAGTTGCAGGGAGAGGCTATAGTTATAAGCAAGCTTCAGGTTGCTTTAAGGCAACAGAATAAGCACATAACACATGTGTTTGCCTTCCTCATGCTAGTAACAGCAAGATTTGATGACAGCTTTTTCTTAGTGCACTCTGAGAGTAGGCATATAGTCTTCATCACAGAGATCAGGAAAATTGAACCAATTTGTTGTCAAAAAGCCCATGGCTGTGTTTAAATTTAGCCCATACTGCTGCTTTCACAGCAGTGAGAAGCAAACCTCTGATCGAAATCAATTTAAACTGTCAGTCAACTAACTGTAGCAGAAATCTGTTTTTTCCAGCATCTTACTACAGTGATGTAAGCAGCTTCTTTGCGGGGCCTTGGGTGGGTGGGGGGAATACTAAGGTAAAAGTTTGGATGAGAGGGATGGTAGAAATGTCTTGGAAGCTTACAACGAATTGATGAATACAGAGCAATGTGGGTGAAATGACCTAAATAACAAAGAGGAAAGTGTCAAGGATTTCCTAACAAAAATGGACAGCCTGTGTTGAAGGAAATGAATGGAGAGAGAACTTGATAGGCAAATGTGACACGAGGCAGACCTGAAACCAGATTATTGAACAGATGTAAAAGGATAGAATGGTATTAATATTTAACACTTAGAAAACACCTAAACTTTTAAGCGTTATACATATGTTTAAAGATAAGACTGTCACTGCCTGCCTTATGATCATGGGCCATCTGCCTGGTGTCTGGGAAGGGGCAAAGTGTGCTTCTGCAGTCCCAAGTAACAGGCAGTTGGAGCAAAATATTCTTTCATGCAGGGTTGCGGGGAGCATTCCCTCTGCAGTTGTTCATACTGTGACCGATGAAAGAGATCTGGATACATTGCAGAAGTTCTATTTTCCAGGTGTCTAATATGTAACAGCACTGACTGCTTGCTGCGCAAAACACAAGTGGCACTCTTCTGCACACAAGCCTTGCAGCCCTTCTTGGCAACTGTTTCATACACAGGCTACCTTGAATTTTATTTTATTTTATTAAATTTGTATACTGCTCTTCAGCCAAAGATCACACCTACATGCCATCAGCCGAGAGTTTATTAAACCTGTAGTATTACAATGTCCATACAGAAGTATGCAATGGTTTTATTACTGGAAAAAGAGAGGTCTTTCTAATTTTCCAAAAATTCACATAGCTCAGATGGTTAATTTTTTAAAAAAACCTGATGTTTCTTTTGCATTTCTGTGACCTTGGTATAAAAGTAGATTGAAATGCGTGAACTTTGTTGTTAGCAGAGTCGCTTCGTTTTTTCTGCCTCGTTCCTAATAGGATTCTTTTTATTGTTGCTTCTTTCCTAGGTGGCCACTTCTTTCACCGTAATTCCCTCTCTCCTCGGAGCCTGGTTTATGAGAACGACTTCTCTTCCATTGAACCTGTCTTGGACATGTATGATGAGAACAAGACCTGAAGGGGATCTGCATTCTTATTGCTTTGCTCTCTTTCCCCTTTCCTTTTCCGTTTCTCATTCCTATTGTTGTGTACTCCTTCCATGGGTGTCCTTTGTCTGAAGAAGAGCTGCCTTTTCCAGAACATGTGCCTGGCTGCCAGGCTGCAAAGGTGAAGCTCAGCTGAGGCAATATCCAAGGATGACATCTGTAAACGGATGAAGTGTGTGCACAAAGTCGGCTGTTGGAGGTTGCCGAGTGACCAAGTTGTCATTAGCAGTGCCAGCGGGATGGTGTTGGTATGCTAGAGGTTTTGCCCTACTCTCAGTTTTAATTTTGTACAACAGTCACCTCTCTCGAGTAGGCACATGATATTTCTCTTCTTTTTTTTAAAAAAAAAAAAAGTTGCAGTGTTTGCCAGCTTAGTTGCCTGATGGAGGAGGTGGTAGGCTACATGCCCAAAGCGCTCCAGTTATTCTTCATTCTAACCTTGATCTTACACTGAACATCCCCATTCCAAAGGGATCTATGAGAAATGTATTAATGTTCCAGCTTTCCATTTAACAAGCTGATGGCAGAACTAGCCAACGTTACAGCAGCATTACAGCCTGCAATATTCGTACAGGATTTTTCAGGGGTGGGGGATGAGGGTTCCTACTTCATTGCTGCGGTTAAATATGAACAAAAGCTGCTTAGAAAGAATGCAAAAAAACAAACAAAAACAGCCATTTTTACAGCCTTCCTGCTGAAGGAATCTCAGACTGATGCTGCTGCTGAAATTTATAAAACCAATATTTGATCTTTAGATGGTTAAGACTTCTTAAGAAGAACCCAGGAATCAGAAATAGGTTATTGCTTGTTTTTTTAAAAGGTGTGTACTTTTTCACTCTGATTTTTAAAAAGCCACTTACGTTGGTGTTACATACTGAAAGAACTGGAAGCATCCTTCATACATTTTTACCTGAGATAACTAATCATAAAGCAACAAACACTTTTCTGAAGCTACACCTGTTCCAGAGGACATCAACAGTATGAATCCAGTATGGAGGAAATGCAGTTGCTACTTTGACATCTAGGAGCAAATCCATATTTACTAGAATGGGACAGTGGCTGTAGGAAATAAACTTTCCAACTGATGCAAAAATGGACAGCTAAAAGAACAAAGACTATAGGGTGTGTTTTTTTTAAGTAGTTGGCAGTGTTGCTTAAGCAAAAAATAGCAATTCAGAACAAAATTATGCGATGGTGCATCTAAAGTAGCTTTTCCTACTGTGGGTGCTGCATAAAATGTAACAATTGAGAATAGTCGCCCCCCCCCCATTGCAAATCTGAGCTGCTGTAGAAATAGAAGTGGTATGCTTGTAGTGTGGACACTTAATGCTCTTATGAATCTTGATTGTTGAAGAAATTGAAAACCAAAAGAAAAGGTAAGGAATGTTGCGTGGGTGTCTCGTTCCATTCAGGCAGCTTACAGATGAAAAATGTCTTGTTTTTCTCCTGCAGAAAGCGGGCTTTCACAAGATCTCTCCTGCCCTGAAATGTTGTGATGCTGAAAGTTTTATGCAAAGACTTGAAATTAGCTCTGTGAAGCTAAGTGTTTCTTCGTTAGCAGGAATGCCCTTTCTGTGTTGCTGAGATGGCCATATTGTGTGTCTGATCATTCTTAACTGGGTGATACAGAGCTTAGGGACTTAGCACTGGCAGCCGTTTTGTTTGTTATATGTGCCAGGTAAGTTTTAATGTACTCCACTGAACTGTGAGAGATTCTTTACAAAATCTATTTAAAAGCACAGTCTTGAAGTATTGTGAATGAAAGTTAGATGATTTAGTGGAGAAGATCAGTAATACTGATTACATGATTACAATGATATTATTTAAATGGACACACAAAGTCTAGCATTCATTTTTCCTTTTACAAACTGCCAATACCATACACTTCTCTGATGGCAAGAAAGCATCTTATGAAAGAAGTGTATGTAAAGTGCTCTCGTATTGCAGAGTTTTTAGTGCATAGCTAGAATCTTGATTAAAAAACACCTAAAACAGGTTCTGCCCCTGCCCAATCCCTTTTATTAACTATACATCTGCAATTATTCACATGTAATAAATCACAGTAGTTTACCTGATTTTAAAATTTTAACTAGCTGAAGTTAATTTTAAAACTGAACTGTTACTGAACTTTACTGAATTCTTACAGCCATAACATTGAAGTATTTAAGACTGGGTGTTTGGCAGGATTTTGTGGAATGTTCAAAGGTCACTGTGTAGGCCCATAGCCTGAAAGGCAATAAAATATATTAACTGGATAAACACTTAGAAAATGCTAATTGGAAGCAAAAATACCAATAATTCTTTGTGCACAGAGGGCCCATTCCAGAGAAAATGTAGTTCAATCGGTGGTTGATTTCAATGAGATTTAAGTGTAATTACATTCCTTTGTATTTGCATTTTGACGGGTGAGTGGTAATATCATAGTCATGTTTTTAACAGATTCAGGCCACTATTTTAACCAAATTTATACCGTTTTTAGAAGATCCAGGCTTCTCCTCCTCCTCCTCCTAACGTAATGGATTTTCAAGTTGGAATGGATTTTCAAGTTCTATATAGATGAATAAGGCAACTTATGATTTAGGGCATTGTTTGCTAGATATAAACAATGTTTGCTCTCCAAATCAAGGAGAGATCTATTGTTTGAATACATACAGCTGCTGCTATAGAGTCAGATCATTGGCTCCTCTAGCATCATATTGCCTGTTCTGGCTGCCAGCTGCCCCAAATCCCAGGCCTGCTGCCCCAAATGCTTTAAAATAGAGGCGCTACCATGGATGAGTTTGGTATCTTCTGCATGCGAAACCTATGTTTTATCACTGAGCTATGCTCTGCCCTCTCTCGTTTCTAGAACATGAGGCAGGGCAATCAGAATTCAGTGAACTACAGCTGGCCACTACACTAATATTTCTCTTTGGTATCTGAGGCATTGGTGGCAGTGCCTGAAGCTAAGAAAATAGAGCAATGAAAGGGAAACATGGAAGCCTTAAACAAACTGTAGTTACTATTGAGTTATCTGTCTGACTCAGAATGTTGCGCCCTACTGCGGCCGTCCAACATGTCTTGGCTCATGAAGAACCTTGACAGTTGCCACTGGAGCATATTCTGTGTCCTGATAACTTGGGAATAGGCAGCAATCAAGAAAAGCCTTCAATTGTAGCTTTTCAAATGTGGCTTTTGTCTGAGCTGTAAATTGTAGTATCCCTCTGAACAATAAAAGCAAACAAACCAGCCCCCAGAAGGCAAGAAAGCACCCTTTGGAAAAGCCTAGTGCTGCTTAAACTTCAATGATTCCTTAAATAGATGTCATCAAGATTGGGCATCCTTCCCCTATAAATCTTCCAAACATAAAATATTTTGCTATCTTGAGAGAGAATGCAGTAGGGGGTTGAGCTCTAATTTAAGTATTATGTATTGCCCTTTAAGAACAATGGTGGCTTACGTTCAGGGGCATATATTTTATCTTGACAGTATCATTCACTCTTTTATTTAGCCCAAGATGGGTTTTTTTAAAAAATAATAATCAAGATTTCTGAACACAGGTCAGACCATGATGTGAGCACACATTGATTCATTCTCAAGACTAGAATGTTTGTACATAATCAGCCCAAATTTGGGGTGGGTAGGGTGGGATTGAGATGGATTTGGTCTTGTGAACCTACTATTTTGCCATTGACACTGTTGTGAAAAACAGTATTTTTAAAATAAAAAGACAACTGGGGAAATCGGCATGTACATAAACACAAGTTTTAAAACTCCCATCCTGCTTATATTTGGCTACACTCCAAGCAAAAAAACAGCTTGCATAGTTTTTAAATATGTTTATATTACATGTGAAATGGCTGTTCAGTCTTCTCACTTGAAAAGTGCCGCAAATACTTAGCCCAATATAAGAATTGTGCTATACATGTTTTTTTTCTTCAGAGTTTATCCCATGTAAGGAAAAAAATGTGAGAAAGTGGCTCTTCCAAAAGGGATTCTTCATGTGCCTTGCCATCCAGCATTGCACAAGTACCCTTAGCCAACTACAGAGACTGGGTCCTGCTCTGCAACTTTCTAGAGAGCATGCATTTTATTAATATCTGGGTGTGGCTACTTATTATAGGTAACACAAAAACAGGTAATGCAGGCATGGGGGTGGGGCATGTCTGTTTCTATATTTATTACACTCCCAAAGATTTCAAGCAGTTCATTTGAAAGATTAGTTAATTGCACACATCCTTGCTCAATGTTTCCCCCCTATATGTGTATGATAACTAATTTACCTAGTTAAAAATGCATTTTAGCAGATGTAGTACTTAAGACTTATATTGTTTTTATTATCTAATTCCCTAACTGTCGCATTGTTCAAGAACTGCACAGGTATGTAGAGGCTATACTATTACAAGTAAAGTAAACTGTGGCTCAGTTGATAGAAGCTATCCTTTTCCTGTTACTTTTCTGGGGTTTATTATTGCAACTGGAGGAAATTGTAGCAATGATAGACTGTGGTCTGGTCCACACACTTAACAGGCATTTTCGCATTGTGGAGCAGACATGTACTCTTCTCACCCACCGCATAACACCACGCATCGCATATAGCGAACAGTTCACTAAAAGGCCCAAATTTCACAACTTGATTTCACAAGCCAGTTTCACATGATTTCCCCTTGCCTCTGCATGAGACACTTTGTCTCATCTTACGTTCATGGGGCAGGGGTGGGAGGGAGAGGAGGGATAGTTATATGGCATGTCAAGTCATAGAATCATAGAGTTGGAAGGGACCCTGAGGATCATCTAGTCCAACACCCTGCAATGCAGGAATAGGCAGCTGTCCCAGATGGGGATCATACCTGCAACCTTGGCATTATCAGCACCACATAACCAACTGAGCTATCCAGGCTGATATGCACCTTCTTCTCCAGTATATTCACAGGATTGAGGGCTAATATATGAACAAGACCATTATCCACAAACTGTTTTTAAAAGGTGTGCGTGTATTAAAAGCCTGTTTCACTTGTAAATTCCTAGGAGATAGGCACGCACAATTAAGACTAACAGCCCTAAGGAAATGCGATTTTTAAAAATAGGAATAGGAACCATACACATACAAATAGACTGTTGCAGTGAGGGCAAAAATGTGGGTAAAAGAGTAACTTTGGACAAATGGTTTGTTGATTTAGGAGTGCAAATACTTTAGTTAGGCAGAATAGTAACCCATGGACATATCCACCCTACAAATAAATGAAAGTCTGTTTTATACCACTATTGCCACCTTTGTGCCAGAAAGAGAAGGGTGTATTCAATCTAGCCTGGACTAAAAATAATCATTGACTAATGCAATCAGCAAAGTGTGTGAGCATGGAAAACGATAGTAAAAGTTGGTGCCTTCCCACTTTTAAAGATGAGCATTTTTATCTATTCCTGGAATTTAGACAGCTAGTGTTCTTCCTTCCATAGGCAAACCACTTTCCCTTGGCATCTGTGTTTTTATTGGTTGTGATAAAGTAAGCTGGTAGGCTTGTTTTGCACAATTTTAGAGCTGGAAGATCATAAGGCATCTAATCTACTCCTGAATAAGTGTATTTACATATAAACTACCGTTAAAAATATTTCTCTAACCTTGTTTAAAAATGCCCAGTGACAGAGACTCCCTTAGTAACTTGTTCCATTCATTGTTGCTTCCTAATTATTCCTCCTACTTAATAATTTCCCTTGCTCACTTTCTGATTCATGTTCTAACTTGTGTGCCACACCCTCCCATACCCAATAATACTGTTTTTCACAGTAGTTATGAGTCCATCTCTATCCAGAGGGCATAGCAACATATTTAAAACATGTAGGCCTATACAAAGACTCTGTTTTCGCAGTAAGACTGCATTGATGTGCCCTATGTGAATTTACAGAGATTAAACAAAGTAACTAAGAAGCATCTGCATCATGGTTCTATGACGTTCAGTTGTTTACAGTGACATCTAGTGGGGAAGAAGGGGGTAAATGAGCTCTCCAGGCATTCATCTGATGTTTAAACAATGAAAACTCGTTGAGTCCTATTGTATGGCCTACATAGGAAAGAAAAACAGATATATAGCAACTTTTCAAGCAGACAATGCTGTATCTCTCCCCCCCCCTTAACCTTTTCTTCAACTGACCTATTATTTGGTGAAATCAGCATATTATGGATGGCCTTCTACTAGGTGCTATTGGGGTAAATGAAGTAGGCATAATCCTTTCTGTACAAAATTTAGCAGCTAACAAGAGAGTAGTTTGGTTTTATTGTTCCTTTTTCAAGCTGTACTTCGCCTGTAAAACATTTGCAGTTAGAAGGCTTGTCTACCCTCCTGTCACTCCCATATGTGTGGAAAGGGCTTCACACCCTCTTAGATTGTATTTATTTATTGCAGTTGATTGGTGCAGTCAAAACTGTATTATAGTTGTACTGAAGCAGCACAACTGCACTAATGGGTAGTGCAGTTGTACCAAGGATAGCTGCTTCTCTTCAAAACAGTGCCACTTGAACCACACAGCCTGTTTTTGGCAGTGCTCCGTTTGTAAAGCTTATCCTAGTATATAGTTGCAGTGATGGGGGGGGGAGCTGCACCTCTTGAGTTCCCTTCTGTCACGTGGCTATTTAAAGCATAGGTTCCCTGATATTTCAGCTTAGACTGCAGAGGGATGACATCAGTTGAAATTGACCTGCAGTAAACTAGCAGTATGTAAACTCAGATTTTACTGTGTTCTGAAACTGGCACAATTAGCAGAATGTACATGATGTATTGCTATTAGCACACCTGTGCATTTGCTATAGGAGGGGCTTAGCTCCCTTTCCTATCAGTTCAGTAAAAAGATGATGATCTGGTGTGGGATTCACATGCACCAGGCGGGAAACAAGTGAGTTTTTGAACAGGAAATATCTAGTTCCATCCAAGCGCTAAACAAGCAAGTTATGTTCAATGCTTCTGTTTCCTCATATATAATATGGTAATAATACCTACCTCACAGGAATAGTGTGAGACTTCATTCATTAATATTTATTAAGAATGGCAAGCTTCTTGCATGGATGGTGCTATGTAAATGCTTACATGTTTGTTCGCTTGTTTGCTTATATATCTTCCCAGTTTTCCCTGTAGATGTCAGGCCCTCTGGGGTGCTGGACCATGTTGGCTAAAGCGTTGTGATCTGTTATTGTAACTGTACTCTGATTGTCTGCCTCTCTTTTTATTATTTAGTGTTTGTTCACTTATGCTTGATGGGCGATGCTTGTAACTCTCCTAAATGTTATTTCTTTTGATGTATCCAGACAATAGAATACAGTGGAATGGCATTGTAAAGGGAGGATCTGCTGACTCACTAAATTGGCGTACTCCCAGTGAGTTCAGAATGTCTACGCTAGTATAAAGGGTCAATGATTCTCCCGTTAGAATTGCCAGTCATGTCAATGATGGGATTTTAGCAAATGCCAGCTATTGAAGTTGTGTTCCATCAAGCACCTAGATTGCTAAAACCATGTTCTTATTATGTTGAGATCTGCTCAAATTATGGGGGGAAAGAAGATAGTGGTCCTTTATAAAACCCACAAGCCTCAACTCCTGAGACTGCCCAATTTTAGTCAGATCATGGACCCCTGCACTCTCCCAAAAACAGTAGTGAAGGGGATCAAGCCCTCTCCGAGCTCCCTGTAATTTGAGCACTTCTGACAATCCCTGTAAGAGGGTATAAGAACCTAAAAAACACACACCAGCTATCACATTTGTTAACACACTGATGAGGTTGATCTGCATTAACGAAAAGCACATGTCAAATAACTGTCACTCAGCTCTGTAGCTTGGAGAAAAGAGTTGCCATTTTTCTAGCATATAATCTAATCATTTGGAATGGCTCTGGCTGCCCCACTTCCAAGGTCAGTGAAGTTTCCTTCAGTTCTGGGAACTGAAGAGAAGAGACACTTGCTATGTGGTAGTTAGGCTGTGCTGTCTTAGGTATGATGGTGGTGGTTATAATTAACAGGAGCATGATGAATAACCCTCATACCTGGGCTTTATCCAGACACTGTATATCAAGGATGGCTAATCTGTGACTCTCCAAATATTGTTGGAATCCAGCTCCCATCAGTCTCAGACAGTATGGCTAATGGTCAGGGGTAGGTACGCCACCTCTGCTGTATATGAAGGCTTTGCCAGCTTTTTCTGAAAGAGTTCCTGTGCCTTTCACAGCTGCATGCCAGGCTAAAATGCAACTTGTACAACTTCTCTTGGCATAAAGATGCAGTCATTTTTTTGGGGGGGGGGGGCTGCAGTTGCTAAGTTCCTTCTTGTCATGCAGCAACTGAAACCACAGGAGCCCAGCCAAGAAAAAGAGGGGGAGGAGAAAATCTGTGGATATTTGGAAATCAACACTTGTGGGTTTAAGAGGAAATGCTGCCACCAGAATTAAACATTTGACCTGCTTTCCTCTCTTCTCTACATCTGCACATAGCTCACTCTGGTGATTAAAATTGCTGCACTAAGCCTTATATGTTGGGAGAAAATAACTTTTCTGAAGTGCACAAAGCTAGCGGTATCCCAGTTGTTTGGTCAACTTAGCAGCAAAATAAATGGATATCTGCTAGATGCCCTTTTTGTGCCACTTAAGGGCTATGCATGCAATCCTTAGGTTTGTGGTTATCCATAGAAACTATTTGTATGGATATTTAGTTACGCTGAACCAACAGTTTGCATTTGTATCAGCACACAGTTCAGTGGATGTGCTTAATCATGATTTGAGCTCATGTAACTACAACCAGCAGTCTTGAATCCAGACTGTTAGCCCAGATAGAAAATTTAAATGGATAACTCTGTATGTAAGGCTCATGTGTCTGCTCAGGATCCCCAGGTACAGGCCAAGATTAACTATGCACAAAATGCAGTGAGAATAACTTTTAGCAGGTCTTTTGCAATGTGATGAGTGAAAGTGGTTAAACTATCAAACAGCGTGTATGTAAAATACAATGGCAGGGCCTATGTATTTGAATTCCTCATTGCCATATTGTGAATTATACCAGTATGAACAACAGAGAGCCGAAAAATACAAATAAGCTACTAGAGGTCTGGCAAAGTGAAAAGGATTATTTGCCTTGTTTCTAATCTAGGCATGTGCAGGCAGTCTGCCACCCTCTTGACAATCTAAACTTTAAAATCTGTGTGATAAGCTGTAGCTTGGCAGCCACAAAAATTCTTAGTCTACATATTTTGATGTAAGTATACTACTATATTGTAGCTATGTGGTATATGCTGATATGTTAATGGTGTATACCTTTAAGTTAGGATTTGCTAATGTAATACATTTCAATAAAAAGCTATTTAAAAACAGCCTATGCCTGCTTAATGGTGTTCCATTGCTCTGTATATGTGAGAATTTCACTGCCTTGCAAATCCCAGTGCACAACTGGTGAGACAATCTGAGATACCTGTTCTCCAGTGCTTCAAGAAAATGGATGAAATCTTCGGCACACAGAAAATTATCTTCTAGGTATCTCAGATGGCTCTTCGTGCATTTTATTTCCTGTTATACTTAGATATCATGTGACCACATGGCAGATCAGGAACCAGTGGACAAATTAAAAATAAGCTCATCTGCCTGATTCTCATCTCATGATACTTCACAAACTGTACTTTCCCATAGTCAATTTTGTGTTCTATGGTGTTCAGCAATTTTTCAGCAGGCAGTTAAGAAGAATAGTAAGGCAAGATAATATAGGAAGAAGGAGCAATCCTAAATCTTAAGGTCTAACTCTTGTCTATAGACCACTAGTGGTCTATGAGCCTCATTAAGGCATGTCTGTGGATTTGTGGCTGAAGACTGGAGATGGCACAGCCATTAATTTGATTTTAATATTAATATTTATTGTAAATATTTTAATTCTATGGAATTAAAATGGTAATACACTAAAATAAAAATAAAAGAAGCAATGAAATTTAGCACATCTAGCACATTGCATTACAATTGTTACAATAGAATTATTAAATGGTCCGCTAAGACCCTATTTAGCAATATTTTAAGTGTTCCATGGAGGGTGGGGTGAGTTGGGAACCTCTGACCTAAGGTATCTCATACCTAAGCAGTTTAGGACTTTAACGGGAATCACCAACACTTTGAATTGAGCTCAGAAGCAAATTGGAACCAGTGCATCTATGTCATGCAGTAATTGTCTCAGTAGGCTTAAAACAAATGGCAGCTAATATTTATTCAGGAAAAGGGCAGAGGGCAGAAAGAGACCAATTATGGTACTGCATAGCTAGAGATAGGAACAGGACTGCATATTAAGACCAAGATTTGTGGCTTTTGCCAATATGCAACATAGAATATAATTTAAATGTTTTCTCCTATTTTATCAGGGATAGTGAATAGCTTTAGTTTAGTGCATCTCAAGGGAGTTGTTTAATCCATCTACTGCTTTGTTTTGTGAATTGCCCTGACAAATGCAGTCATTCTGGCAGAGAGACATTTAAGTGAACACTAGGCATTTCAGAAGATTTATCCATGCCTTTTGTAAGTTAGCTTCAGAAAAACAACAAGGTGAGCAATCCTTTGTGCTTCAAGAATTGTAATAAGCACTAAAACAAAATTAGTTGTTGCAGCTCAGGAATGTTGTGGAGAAGTAACTGTGTAGGTGCCACTACATTCAGAAGAATGAGAACTTATTAATAGATATTGCAGTGCTCTGAAACAGGTAATGTGGTAAAAGAATCTGTCGCCTCAGTTGTTCAGCAGGGAATTGCTTCTCATATGGCATCAGACATTGACTCTAATTCAGCACAAACCATGCTAGCCCTTTATTATTATTACTATTTATTATTATTTAGCTGCCCATGCTACTGATGGGGATGATTGCAACAACAGCTTCTTGCTGTCAGAGCAGCAGTGGTGGTGAGGGAAAAGGTACCTTCCTGTTCCATGAGTGCGTCATCTATAATATTTATTTATTTATGCAGTGGTGGGAGGGGTGCTGGCACATCAAAGATGGTCACAGACAGGTCATTGGATTGAATCAACTTTCATTTTAGCCCTGTCTTCATTGCTAAATGAAACCTGGTGTTTTCCAGTTCTCAAGCCAGGGATGTGATTAGTTTTGGGCAGTGCCAAACTAGCACACCACCACACAGTGCTTTTTGTTGTAGTGTGCCAAAACCTAAATGCTGCCTGCGGCAGTGAATGAGCTCAAGTGGCAATGGTGCTGTATTTGTGGTCAAGAAGGAATTTCCCCTCAGATCAGATTGCCTTGTGCCTCTGGGAATATTTATTCATTTTGCCTTCCCAGGTTTTGAACACATGAAGCTCAGGTGTATGAGACATTATTCTAGAGCAGCATTGTCTCTGTTGTTTGCTGGGCCTTTAATTCCTATTATTACTGTTAAAGGAGCAGGGGCCCAGGCAAAGAGGTGATGGCCCTATTCTACAACTATTTCCTGTACCCTTTCCAGCTCCTTAGTCAGATGATTTGTGATTATTTTTGGCCTGATTATAGAAAGATGACTGCTTTCCTTCCAGTTGTGATTCCATATGCTCTAATTGCCTCTATTTAACCAAGGATGGTTCTGATTTTCTGATACCAGTTCCTTATAAACCACTTATTTCTGCCTTTCAGATATTCACAACATCTTTTTAAAATATTTTTGTTAGCATGAGTTGATAGCTCTTTTCAGATGCTCAACTCCATGTCCAGGATCTCTAGAAGTTCCATCCACCACCACCCTTGATGGCACAATCTGACATACCTACTCAGAATTAAGTCCCATTGAGTTCAGTGCCACTTACTACTAAGTGGTCTCATGTTTTTATCCTTGTAAATGCATGCCCACAAGCAGTGAGGTTCTACACATGCATTACCTACTATTTCAGATGGCTGAGGCCCATGTTGAGCTCCTTGTGGAATGACAATGTTTTCTAAAATACCTTTAACCCAAAGAACCAACATCTTCCTGTCCTTTAAAAAACAGTGCAGCACAAGCCTGTTGAACAACAAATGGATTTGGCATGCACTGCTGGAGTGGGACCTTCAGCAGTGTGAAATGGGGATGGGACATTCTCAGGTGTCAGAAGACTGGTTTAAAAGTGGGTTCCTATTATCATGTGAAGAAATGACTGGGGTTGCGTATGATACTCAGCGCTGGTCCTGCCATTAGCAGATTGAGGCGGAGACCCCAACTGGGGTTAGGGAGAAACAGCAGTGTATTTGCAGGGCTGCATTCTTGATGTGCCAGGTAAGCTGTCCTGTATCCTCCCGAGTCTTGCTGCTTAGGGCCAGTGAACTGCGCCTCTGCCAACAGCGAACTCTTCCAGCCTGGACATGGAGCTGGGGCTGGGACCATCTTGCCCTTCCTCTCATGTAGCAAAACAGCTGAGCTTAGCCCTGGTGCGTCCATGACATTAGAAAAAGCAGGGCATTGGTTCCTAAGCAGCTAACAGGGCAGGCGGGTCTCCAAAAAGCCTCACTAGGTTAAGCCCAAACTCAAAAACGGGATTATTATTTTTTTAAGGCCCAGGTTCCAAGCTGCAAAAACTGAAATATCCGGATGGCGAGGGCCTTTCTCTGCGGGGTCACACAGCTTTGCCCACCGCATGACACACTCCAAGTCTCGCCAGGTGCAACGGGATTGACGGTGCCACTCCTGACAGGTCTCCTCATGAGAAGGCCTCACTGACTTCAGAGGGGGGGGGTGTTACTCCCAGGTCGAACGGGTATAGCAGCAATGCACCCCCACTTCCCAAATGTGTGCGTAGGACCGTGTAGCCACAGGGCGACGACCGTCGTGGTTTTAGGCGGCTTGAGAAGAGGCTGGACTCGGCTCAGCCTCGCACTGAGCGGGAAGACGACGACGACAAAAATGGCCGTTTTCCCTGCGCCGCGGTGCGCCAGCCACGCCGCTAGAGGGCGCAGTAGGCAGACAACAGCTCCTCCGGGCTCGGTCCGCGACGTGCGTAGCCCCCGTGACCCACCTGTGACTGTCGGGCCGGCCCCGGTTCGGAGACGGCGGAGTGTGCCCGGGTGGCGGCGGCGGCGGCGGCAGTGGCGCCGCAGCGGCAACGGCCCCGCTATGTGGCTGGGCCCGGAGGAGGTGCTGCTGGCCAACGCGCTGTGGGTGACGGAGCGGGCCAACCCCTTCTTCCTCCTGCAGCGGCGGCGGGGCCACGGCAAGGGGGGCGGCCTGACGGGTGAGTGGAGCCGCCGATCGCCAGCTGGGCGAGGAGGAGTTGGAAGAGGGGAGTCCGTCGGCCGCCGCCGCCGCCCGGGGCCTCGCGGGCAGCAGAGGCGCTGCTGGGAAGGCTTCTCGGGGAGAGAATGGGCCCTGTCAGGGCAGCGCCCGAAAGCGCCTTCGCAGCCGCAAGCTGCCCCTCATCCCTCGCTTTAAAACGCACAGGGAGCCGGGCCTCTTCGCCCAGGGCCGCTGCGGCTTGCGGGTGTCAGGTCCAGTGCCCCCCCCCCCCCCAGCCAAGTAGTTGGCTGGTGACATCGCCCGTTGCCCGTGGGTGTCTCTACCTCCCCACCCTTTCTCCAGGTGGACCAGAGAGGATGCTTCTGGGTGCTGAAAGGGTTTGGTCCTGCCCTGGGTGAAGGTGCCTGTGCGCAAAAGCACCGACACTGGTTTCCCCTTTCGCCCAAGGCTTTCAAATCAGCAGGCTCTTCTTGACTTGTGATCCCGCCCCAGCCACCAACACAGGTGAAATTTGGGGGATGCGTGCCCCGTAAATATGTATATTTGAAGGTGCCCCTCCCGTGTGTGCCAATGAAATACAGAGGAGGGGCTCTGTGGAGTTTCGCAACGTCTGATGTGGGGAGGAAACAAACAAACGAAAAACATTGTTGAGAGGCTTTTTTTGATTAATACATCACTTGTATATTTTCATTTGGTAAATAATATGTCGGTATTGAAACATTTTACTTTAGAGCTTTGTAGGATATGTGCACAGTTTTAAAGGATTTCAGTGTAAACAAGGGAGCCAATTATTTTGCTTTTTAGAGGCTGACACTCTAATCCACATTATTTCAGCAGCTTAGTATTACACTTGTAACATTTGTGGTAGTTTTAAACAATAAAAGCTACTTTAAAGTAAAATTCCCGTATGCCAGTAGCATACCAACTCATTCGCTTGGCTCCCAGAGACAAGCTGAATTTATTCACGCTATATGCAGTACATCTGCACTGCAGATTCTTGAAGGCCCAATGCAGAGCAGCTCTGTGAATTGCTGCACATCTGTTCAGCATGTATTTGTATTATAGATAAATTTGGTTCCAAGACAGTAAGTGTTGCCTATGTAAACATAGGAATGGCATTGCTGTGGTGTTGTTTTCTGTCACAGTCTTCCTGCAAAAGTATACTTTCTTGTGTTATCATTTCATTTGCCTCAACAAAAGTTAATCTCCATAGGACAGTGCAGACAATAGATTGGGTCCAGACTAAGACTGCAGTCCTATATCCACTTACCTAACAGGAAGCCACGTTGAACTCAGTGTGACTTACTTCTGAGTAATACAGTTTGCGCTGTGTTGGTTGTTGAATCAATAAGTCATTTATCCCACAGATTTCAGTGGTACCTAAGTTCAGCTAACTTAGATCTGTAGCCTTGGTCATTTTCATGCCTAATTGTGGATTTTGCTTGTTGAATATGCTTGGATCTGGTAATTTGTTTGATATGGGCAGAAGAAGCTAGTGATCTTACACACATGATATGTATGTGGTAGATATGTATGTGGCAGCTGTATCTTTGCAGCTGCAAATCTTGCAAAAGTCTGCAAAATGCTTATATATAGTGGTATTTCAGGTATTTCAGCTGCTATCTCCCTAGCGTGAAGCTGGGTTTCTTTACAGTACTTTGCATAAGAAGGGATATTTCATCAGGTTCTTTCCCTCATATTGTAAGTGCTTCAAGCATTGCAAATTCCCACATATATGTATACAGACCGCATACAGGCCTCTTAATATAGACAGAGAGATTAAGCCAAAAACATTCACTGGTAATGTGGCAATAAAATGCTAACATTTCTTTTATTAGGAGAAAATGTTCATATACATGTGTGTGTTGTTTTCTCAAACAGTGTTTTAAAAGATCCCAGTTTATCTCTCCAGACAGACTATCTATCCATTTAGAAAAGTAGTGCATGTATAATGATTATTTGTTATAAAAAGATTTATTAAAATAAAGTTGCCATTCAGGAAATACATTTTGCCTAGCACTCAAAATAGTTTTGCTCCTGAGAACATGTGATTTCCCTCCCTCCTCTGGTTTCAGTTCACTAGTTAGTTACAGAAGTGTCCATAACACATTTTAAACAGAGTCTGTGACATCGATAATGTGCTGCGAACCGCCCTGAGATCTACGGGCATAAGGTAAAGGTACCCCGGACCATTAGGTCCAGTTGCAGATGACTCTGGGGTTGTGTGTTCATCTCGCTCTATAGGCCAAGGGAGCCTGTCTTTGTCCACAGACAGCTTCCAGGTCATGTGGCCAGCATGACTAAGCCACTTCTGGCGAATCAGAGCAGCGTACGGAAACGCCATTTACCTTCCCGCCAGAGCGGTACCTATTTATCTACTTGCACTGCATGCTTTCGAACTGCTAGGTGGGCAGGAGCTGGGACCGAAAAACGAGAGCTCACCCTGTCACTGGGATTCAAACTGCTGATCTTCCGATCGGCAAGCCCTAGGTTCTGTAATTTAGACCACAGTGCCACCTGCGTCCCTGATAATGTGCTGTATAATAATAATAATAATAATAGTAAGAAGAAGAAGAAGAAAAAGAAGAAGTAATGAACAACAAAAGTCTTCCCTCCCCAGTGTCCACGTCATTTTGTTAAAATTTTAATATATTCTGGAAAGAAAGAAAGAATGCTTGTGGAATGCCTTGAATCTCTTAACCACAGTTAAGAAATTGGAGAGTATTCCGTATGCAATTTTACAAAGAAAAAGAAAATGCTAACACATTAAAAACAACAACAACACCCTCCTCTTCAGGAGCTCGTGCTTGGAGCTTGCAGCAGGGCCGGCCCTACTTAGGAAGTCCTAAGGGGAGTTTATCACAGCCAGGTTTGTATTTGTTGCCAAATTTAAATCACTGGTTTATGCATTGGCATTCTTTGTTTATTTTACAAGCAAATGAAACTTGCACTCTGTAAGTTTATGTACATACTCTTGGCTGTTACAGAAAGTTGCCCCTCCCCAAGCTGGACAACACAACACAACTCCTGTAGCCCAGCATTCTGCCACAGGTATACCTTGGCTTGCTCTGTGCTGGAATGCACAGAGAAAGGCCTCTATTATGAAGTAAACATCATGTCCAGAGTTTGGACAAGCTATCTAGGAAGAATTGTATCTTGGGCTACACATGCACTAGATTTCAGCTTTGTGGGTGGTCTAGCAATACTGTGAACATTTTGAAATACACCTATAAGGTTGTCATGTTCCAGTAAAAACATAAAAGTCTATTGTTGCATCTGTATGTGATTTCTTATGGCATAAGCTTTTGTGTACTTAACCAGATGCATGGTATCATTTGGGTAGGGTGTGTGAGAGAGACTGAAAGAGAAAATTGGAACAGAAATGGCCTTGAAATGCAAACTACTCAAATTTTTTAGATTGTTTGTGTCAAGTTTAAACTTTTGGGGTGGCCTGAGCATCTTTATAAATTAATAAATTTATAATTTACCATATTGAAAATAACTTCTAACGATCCTCAACAAATCTGAATTATATATAAAAAAATCATAGATTAAATATACAGATCTTGCATACTTTGTAAAAACTTAGTTTTATCATCTTGGGAAAACAAGCAGTTATTTGTTGTCTTACCCCTCCCCACAACTAAATGACACAAATAGGAATGCCCTGCATCATTTATGGAAGATACTCAGGATATGAAATTAGTAAATCCCTAAAGGAAGAGAGTTCTAGTTCTAAAGGGATGCATCACTGAGAGTGCCTCCCTACACGCACGTCTCTGTTGTTTGGACGTGGTATATACAAAGTATATTTAAGAGGACGTTCTCAGCTGCTCTTGGAGACTACAACTTCTTTTCAGGTACACAGTGCCAATTGGAAAGCTAATGCATTAGCTTAACTTCCTTCAATATTTCATTGGCAATGATATACTGTCAGTATAATTCTGCACCCACTCACCATCACATAATTCTCTCTAGTCTTTGTCCACTCAGAAAATGTGCAACAGGCCTAACACTGTGTAAAATAGTAAATAACATTACTGCTTATAGCATTCTGAAGGCATTTGCGAAGAAGCTTCAAGTATGCTATTCTAACACTGCATTAAACCCAGTTTTGATGTTGTATAAATTTCAGTTCTCCTTCAGCTGTTGTGCCTCAGTGTTCCTTTCCCTGTTAAGAATGCATTGTTTTAGTGACTCTGCTTTTCAAATGTTTGTGAAACCTCAGTCTCTCCTTAATGTGCAAAGTGTGGTTTGTGCTTGACCTTTGTGGATTGACCTTTGTTATTACCAATTTTGGTTTGAAGGGAAAGCACAAACAATAGTTTGGACAACTAGGCAAATATGATTTGGCACAACCCCAAAAAGAAAGTGGAATTTGCCCATGCACAAGGGGCATGGTTTGGCATTGTGTCTGAACCAAGCATTTCAGACAGTTGCTTTATCTGTGTGTGTGTTTTTTAAAAGTGGGGTGGCTTAAACAACCTAAGATGACCATGGGGATGATGGAACAACTCCCCTAAGAGGAGAGGTTACAACATTTGGGACTTCGGTTCAGAGAAAAGGCAGCATGATAGGGGTGTATAAAATTATGCATGGTGTAGAGAAGGTGAACACAGAGTTTTTTTATTCCTCCCTCATAATACTGGAACTCAGAGACATCCAGTGAAACTGTTGGAGACAGTATGCCCTGAATACCAGTTGCCATTCATGGCAGGTGGGATGAATGCTGTAGTGCTTAGGTCCTGTTTGCGGGCTTCCCTTGGGCATCTGCTTAGGCACTCTTAAGAAGAATGTTGGACTAGATGGGCCTTTTGTCTGATTCAGTAGACCCTTCTTGGGATCTCACATCCTTTATAAACTTTTGTATCAATAAACACTTTATTTTAAATCATCCCACCATTTATTTCACTCTCTCATTTGCTCAGATCATATTCATTATGTTTCTCTCTGCATCTTGGTCTTCTTAGGGCTACTTGTGGGAACCTTGGATGTGGTTTTGGATTCAAGTGCTAGGGTTGCTCCTTACAGAATTTTACATCAGACACAGGATTCTCAAATCTATTGGGCAGTGGCATGTGGTGAGTAAATACCATTCTATAACAAATAAATTCTGCCAGTGTATGATTGCTGTCCCCCACAGCCAGCTTTTAAATGCTCTTTAACTAAAATATCCTCAAAAGGATTTTTGAGCAGTTCAAGTGCTCTTCAGAGGCACATTCTGAAAAGTTTAGAAAAATCTGGGTGTACATGTAGACCAGGGGTCAACAACCTTTTTCAGCCATGGGCCGGTCCACCGTCCCTCAGACCATGTGGGGGGCGGACTATATTTTGAAAAAATAATAATGAATGAATTCCTATGGCCCACAAATTACCCAGAGATGCATTTTAAATAGAAGCACACATTCTACTCATGTAAAAACACCAGGCAGGCCCCACAAATAACCCAGAGATGCATTTTAAATAAAAGGACACATTCTACTCATGTAAAAACACGCTGATTCCCGGACTGTCCGTGGGATTGAGAAGGCGATTGGGCCGCATCCAGCCCCTGGGCCTTAGGTTGCCTACCCCTGATGTAGACCATGGTTGCAAATCTGGATTATGGCCATTTTACTCAAAGTTTTAATCCAATATTCTATAATTGTATCAGGTGGAGTAGAAAAAAAAACCTCATTGTCCAGGATCTGTTCAAAACCAATTGGCTGATAGCAAGCAAATTTGTGTGAAGTAGAGGGTGGGCTGGCAGGGAGCTAGCAGAGGTATATTAAGTAAATACTGGCTATCTAATTTAACCAGTAGTAGAAAGTATTAAATATAAGGAATAGAAGGTTGAAGTTTGCTTTTAAGTGGCGAAGTTACAGTTAAACCATAAAAGAACAACGCCTCCCACCCCACCCCAAAAATACAGACAGAGAAACGGCAGGAAGCATGATTACCATAATCCTTCAAAAAATCTGGGAGAAGAGTTTGTCTTAGCCTGGTGCTAAAAGGATGTTGATGCTGGTGCCAGGCAGGCTTTACAGAAGAGAGCATTCAATAAATTGGAGGGAGGGTAATTGAAATGCCTGCTCCCTTGTCACCACTCACTGAACCTTTCTCATAGAGGGCACCTGGAGAAAAGCTTCAGATGCAGTATGTACGGTATGTTCCAATCAGGAGATGTGTTCTGTTAGATATTGGTGTCTTGACCTGTATATGGCTTTGTATGTTAAAACCAGCACTTTGAATTGAGCTTCAAAAAATATACGTAGCCACTGTCATTTTGCCAGAACTGGTGATGTGGTCAGATAGCTACATGTGCGTCAGCAGCCTCGCTGCTGCATTATGCACCAGCTGCAGTTTCCTAGCCATCGTCAGAGGCAGCCCCACATATACCACATTGTAGTAATCTAATCTAGAGGTTTCTAGATTACAGATTACTGACACTGGATTATCCCTTTCCATGGAAGGAACATAGCTAGACTGCCAAGCCAAAAGCTGGTAGAAGACACTCCATGCTTCTGTCCCCAGTGATAGTAGTGGATCCAAGAGAACCCCCAAACTATTGACCTGCTCCTTATAGTAGCTGTTATCTGATTGTTTCTGAATTTCTCCTTAGGTTCATCACGTAAGGAAATAACAAAACACTGGGAATGGCTAGAAAATAACCTGCTTCAGACACTTTCTATCTTTGACAATGAAGAAGATATCACTACCTTTGTCAAGGGCAAAATACATGTAAGTGGCACCTATTTGTCATGGAACTTTTCCTGTTTTTTAGCAACAGAATGGCAATCCATAAGAACTATGGGCTGTGAATTGCTACATAAAGCTGGATGTAGGACAAATATTTGCCATATGCTATGAGGAAGGGATGAAAGAGCCACCTATCTAGAGTGTTTTCGTTTCACCTGGAACAATAAAATAGGCTGGCTAGTTTAACATTCTACCATATAGTTAAAGATCAACACTATGATTGTGCTTGAGCCAAGGTTCAGTTTGAACAGACTTCCATATATTTTCATCTATCCTTGCTTCTGCAAAGATATGTACGCTGTTGCTTCCTTTCCATCTGGAAGTATTTTTTCTGCCTTCCATTGCAGTTGTACGCCTTCACCGCGTGCATGATTTTCTTTACAGTAGGTTTGGCACTTGAGGCTTAAACCAGTGCTCTCATTAGACATGGCGAGCTCTTTCTCTTAGTGAGACATTGCGGCCCCAGAGGGTGCTACTTTAAACGTGTTAAACTTTACTGCACTGAAATTCTTAAGAAGCTTTTGCACAATGACAGCACAGGCACTCGCTAGGTCACACATGGGGAGCAATGGGGCTCAACATGCTGATGGAAGAGGCACTGTCTCAAAGTGCACCATGCTTTCAGCCAGGCCTGATTTAAAACTTTGCATGCAGTCAGCGTAAAACAAATAATCATAAACAAATTTTGAAGGAAGTTCACACAACATTGGGTGCCTTGTCACAAATGTTACTGGCAGTATTCAGTATGCACATGTGCATTGGCACAACCACTCAACAAGCACAGTAGTCGTGGATGAGCTATCACATATTTCAGAGTACAGTGCAGAGATATATATATATATAGATATATATTCAGTCTTTCGATCAGGCGTGAGGAACCCCTGGCCCTCCAGATGCCGCCCAATGACAGACATTGAACTTTGAGTGTTTGGAAATTGTATTATATCCACCCAGAAGCATAACCTCAAGTGGTACACTTGTCAGCTGTGCATAGCAAATAAATAATGCAACAAAGAAATGTAGAGGCCATTATGTTTTCATCTGCTACTTTTGCTACTCCTTCCTGCAGGGCATTATTGCTGAAGAAAATAAGAATCAGCAGCCTCAGGGGGAAGAAGATCCTGGTAAATTTAAAGAAGCTGAACTGAAGATGCGTAAACAGTTCGGAATGCCTGAAGTAGAGAAACTAGTGAATTACTATTCCTGCAGCTATTGGAAAGGGCGTGTCCCTAGGCAAGGCTGGCTGTATCTGACTGTTAATCACCTTTGTTTCTATTCTTTCCTTTTAGGCAAAGAAGGTAAGTGGTCAGCTGCTTATTTTTTTTTGTCCAACACTTCTAACTGCCCTTTTTAAAGGTGGTTTTATATCTGATTGTATATCCATATTGTCTTAATAGTGAGCCCCAGTTGGGGCAGTGGAAGAAATTGGCACTCCAGAAGGGAGGGGAGGTTGCACTCCTGTTTGTTTGTTTTTTAGTGATATTTAAGCAATCAGCAGCCCTACGTCCATGCTGCAGCCCCCAAATTTTATTTGAACAACATTTGTAAAATATTTTGCAGGGCTTCCTTCCCAGTCTTTTTTCTTTCTGCTTAAGTACTTCACTGAATCAAGCCATAATTAAAAAAAGAAAAACAGATAGGCTTCAAATCTGTTGTGTTCTAATTTGTTTAAAATGTCTGTTAGAAATCTGGTAGTAATTGTTGCTTTGCGTTTGCATGTTTCCCTAGTGACCTTAATAGTCCAGTGGGTAGATGTAACCCAGCTGGAGAAGAATGCCACCCTTCTATTCCCTGAATGCATCAAAGTGAGTACCAGGGACAGTGAGCTCTACTTCTCTATGTTCCTCAACATCAACGAGACCTTCAAGTTAATGGAACAGCTGGCTAACATTGCCATGCGGCAACTATTTGATAATAAAGGGTATGTGGAGGACATGTTGCTTCCTAAGCCCAGCAAGCCTCTCAAAAATATTTCAGCACTCAAAAGGTATGTCTGTCTGTCTTTCTGTCCATCTCCCTCCCTCTCCTGCTACACTCACACACACCTTGGCACGAGGAATAATTTTAAGAATAGTTAAATATGTCCTTGGACTAGATTGTATCATTGTGTCTGGAAATCACAAAAACATAAACCATGTGGATTAAGTTTTCCAGAAATTTAGGTTTTATATTGGACAGCTTTCAGCCCCTTCCCATGGATCCTATTTACATTTATTGAACCTACTAAGTGATTCAGGAACCTTTGACTTGTACTGGACATGGAAAATAGACTGTAGAAAAATTAATATTTGTGAAGTTGTTCTCTTGGTGTCATTCCAATGGAAGGATATTAGTTTTCTGATTGTATACTATGGGCTTGCACTAATTCATCATAGGGCTGTGTTCCTCCTCATCTCAACCACTCTAGTGTGTAATTTCATAAGATCTCGGTAGACCAGCCCATTATGGAGAATGGGTGTTTTTGTGCATCTCCCCATCCATTCTTTTGTTCAGGTAGTGCTGGGAGGGCTGGATGGCATGTTAGAAGCATGAACAGACCTCCCATTCTGTAGCAGTTTGGGGTGCTGAGTGTCTCCATGTACACAGAAGTAGGGAAGAAAAAGGTATACCCTTATACCCTGTGGGGATCCCTTGTGGGTACTGAACTTTTGTTGGACTAGATCCACCATCTTTGACACTGAAGTTGACAAAACGTATTTTCCTTTTATTTGAGCATTATTTTTGTCATCGCCTGCATTTTTTCACAATTTATGTATTAATTTATATATAGAAATAGTTGTATACCACCATCTCATAAAATGTCAGGGTGTTGTACAGCAATGTACTGGTTCTTCTCACCACAAAAGATATTATAGAGCTGTAAAAGGTTAAGAAAAGGACAACCAAACGATTATGGGGATGAAAAGTATTTATCATCACTAGAGATTTTTGCCTCTCAATACTCAGGCCTAACTTTGTGTTTGATGGAAATAGAATCTTGAGTGAGCTGCATTGAAATGGGGCATTTCCTGTAATGGTTGGATAGTGGAATGTATTATTTTCCTACTTAGTATCTGTGTGTATTATCATTTTTCTTCAGAGATTTGGATGCTCGAGCCAAAAATGAATGGTACCGTGCTTCATTTCGACTTCCTAAGGATGAACGTCTTGATGGGCATACAGATTGTACTTTGTGGACCCCATTCAACAAAATTCACATTCCTGGACAGATGTTTGTTTCCAACAACTATATTTGTTTTGCTAGCAAGGCAGAGGAGGCTTGCCATCTCATAATACCACTCAGGGAGGTGAGACACTGTTTCTTAAGGATGAATTGTCTTAGTATCTCATTGTTACTCAGTTACATGCTTATTCAATTTTTTCAGGAAATATTTGAAGGTTTGTTTTTTGAGTGTTAGTAGATTGGCCTATTGGTTAAATAATTTTCTAGGCTGATGGCAACAAGATCCGGTTATATTTTTCAGCTGCGGCTATATTTTGAGATGGGAGCTGATAGGAATTCTGTGGCCACTGTTTGAAGAAGCAGTTTTATATACACAATAGAGAGTCAAACACATCCAAGGGCTCCCTCTCCACTTTTGTCAGAGCAGCTTCCAAAGTCAAAGAACCAAACCATTTTTTGGTTTAGCGTGAGAACCGTCTGAAGAAGAAGAAGAAGAGTTTGGATTTGATATCCCGCCTTTCACTCCCTTTAAGGAGTCTCAAAGCGGCTAACATTCTCCTTTCCCTTCCTCCCCCACAACAAACACTCTGTGAGGTGAGTGGGGCTGAGAGACTTCAAGGAAGTGTGACTGGCCCAAGGTCACCCAGCAGCTGCATGTGGAGGAGCGGGGAATCGAACCCGGTTCCCCAGATTACAAGACTACCGCTCTCAACCACTACACCACACTGGCTCTCTGAAATAAAGCAGGTGTTTCAGAAATGTGGAACTTAAGTAGAATAGCCTTTCTTTATCACACTTCTTGCAGCATTTCAGTTTTCTATGTTTCACATGCACTGTGGCATCTACCTGTACAGAAAAAAACTCAGTGTCTTCAGGAATATCTTGACAGCATTCACCTCCATATGTATCAATTATGGAGCTGTTAATAAAATAACTGAAATAGTTGTGAATAATCTATTAAAAGTTAAATTTAGAAGTTATGTTAATACAGAGGAACCTGATACACCCAAATGATCCCCATGTATATTCTCTAGGTCACAATTGTTGAAAAAGCTGACAGTTCCAGTGTACTGCCTAGCCCACTGTCCATCAGTACCAAAAGCAAAATGACCTTCCTTTTTGCTAACCTGAAAGACCGTGATTTCCTGGTGCAGAGAATCTCTGACTTCCTGCAGAAAACTCCATCCAAACAATCATGTAACAATGGAGGAGGACGGAAGAAGAGCTGTGGTGACAATGCACACGAGGTATGAGAACTGAGCATTGAAAAGCCCCTGCTATTATTGCATCATGGTCATGGCAAATTTCAAATATGTTTTGACATGTGGTCTCTTCAGATAGCCCCTCTTTCTAAAGCTAGATGCTTGAACCCTGGTGCTTCATTTGCTTACAGTGGCCATGTTCAGGTGCAGCACTAAACCATAGCCCATAGTTAAGCAAATTAGTTTTTGCATGCAACTTGAGCTCTTCCACTAAACTCCTACCTTTATCGGCAGGGAATCAAACCACAAAGTAGATGGTTTAGTGTTATTTCTGAACCAGTACTTGTAGTTTGTTTGGAGAAAACAAACAAACAATGAGTACTGATTTAGACATCTGCTTCATTTCCATTTGGTGGAAAGGGAAAATGGCTTAGAGTTGTGGCCAGTGACCCACAATGGAAGGACACTGGGTGTTTTTTTTAACTTTATCCAAAAGATTTGGGAAATTATCTACTTATTTAGTCAGATATGACCTATATTCTCAATATTGAGATGAAATTGAGATGAGAGTTTTATTTTTATCCTGTGAGGAGTTCTTGTTAGAGAGAAAGCATTTTCTCAATGATACAAGGTTACTATTAGTCTAAGGGAAAATGGATGAGGCAGCACTGACTGCCTCAGATGTGAGAATGAGGAAGAAAGTGGTTGGGAACTCTGACTAAGGAAAGCTGAGATCATAGCTTAGTGATAGAGCAGATGTTTGCATGCTGAAGGTTTTCCCGAGGTGCCCTGCCTCACTGTTAGTTTAATATACCCCTTCATGTCTTGACGTATAAAGTTTCACTCGTCATGTGACTGTGCCATGTAAGGGCATGTGCAAGTCCAACAGAGGGAGTCAGCAGTAGCATACCCTAGCTGTCCTCCTTTCTTCTGTTGAGAGATAGACTTATATCAAAATACTTACCTATCATAGGCAATGAAGATAAGCAGATGCCTAACTACACCTGACCCCTTTTGCACACAACTAACAGAGATGCATCTGTTTGGCCATCAGGTAGTTCTGGGGAAAATGGGAGCAGCTTCCCCCAAAGCACGATGCCTACCAAAAATCAAGAGATGCTAGCATTATTAAAATAAAACGGGGGCTAGAAGGACAGATAGTCTGAGCTGGTATAAAGTGACTTATTGTGTTTGCCCTTAATGATTTTCTTACCTGAGATAATCTCCCTGTAGGGGAGGAAAATGTACACCATAGCTTGTGTGGCATGTGTGTTGATTTGGCTGTGAATGCACAAGTTAGGTGGCCAGTTCATCCTGTCGATCCTGGATGTGTCTGGTGGTGTAGGTGTATATAAATTATTGGTCTTCTGTTCCATTTTGTTTAATGGTTCCACCCTTCCTCATATACTTGGTTCATGAGATGGTATGCTTAATGGTTACTTCTTAGTTCAGTGCTGTTTGCTCAGAGCTACACACTGAGTGAGCTACCTAAGTGCCCTGGATTCTATCCAGCATGTTCTGCTTTTATCAGAGAAAAATGATGCATCATACCATGCTAGTCTTAAGGGAAAGCAGATTAGGCAGCACTTGACTGCCTCGGATGCTGAGCAAAGGGGAAAGTGGCTGAGAACTCTGGCTAAATTCTCTAGGAGCAACGTCATCAATGATGGTTTTCCACATGGGATAATGGGCTCATAATTCACTGTCATTCCGCTAGTGAACCAAATGACAGGGATGAGGACTCAGTTAATGAACAGTGTTGTGTGATGGCTTCGGTGTCGGGAGGCATAAAGAAAGATGAACGTCAGAAGCAAGTGGGTAGAGGAACACATATGAGGGGTGTAAATCTCTGCATATTGGTAAAGCTGGCTGAAATTTTTTTTTTTAAGCATCCAGGACCAACAGGCTAGTGAAAATGTAAAATGAGCTGGTCACTGTTCCCACCATAACTGATTGGTAGACTTACTCAGTGACATTTCATATTGGTTGAGACGGTGGAACAGCACTTTATATTCATAATGCTGATCAATAATTTGGGCATCTCCTCAAGCATTGATAAGCCTGTTGGTCAGTATCATCAGGCTCCATCTGACTGTTGTTGTAGTGGTAAGCTTATTGGTCATTACCACTCAGTGCTGCTTCACATACTGCCTTTTTGAGGCATATGCATAATAATGTGCTGTATGCTGAGACATAAACGTTTGGAAACACATCTATAAATTTGGGAAAGTGGTTTGTCCATTTGTTCTCTTGACATCTGGTCATCTCTTGAGAAGTCACCAAATTTGGCACCAGGGTTTCCAGGGTGGGGGTGCCATTCATCAGTGTTTGTATGCTGGCTGCCATTTTGAATCAATATGTGAACCAAAACGTGACATGAGCGTGACTTTGTTTTTTGGCATAGGTTTGGCTGCCTTTCAATAAATCATCAACAAAGTTGGCACAAAGGTTCCAAAGGTGGGGCAGCAGACTTCATTGCCATTTGGACACTGGGTGCCATTTTGAAACAAGATTGCAGACTGAAATGTCACTTTGGTGTGACTTCGTCCATTTTTTGACATAGTTTCAACCGCCTCTTGAGATACGGTCACTAAGCTCAGCAATAGGGTTCTTGGGGTGGGGTTCTATGTTGATGTTTGGGTGCCAGGTGCCATTTTGAATTAAGATGGTGGACCAAAACGTGACTTTTGATTTCACTTCACCTGATATTTGCCATAACAGATCCAAATCCACAAATTTCACTATCCATTTTAAAATCACAGTATTTTTTGGTTTCTAAAAAATTAGCTGGGCACTTCCCACTAATGATTTAGACAGGGGCCATAGCTTCCTAACAGGTAAAGGTAAAGGGACCCCTGACCATTAGGTCCAATCGTGACTGACTCTGGGGTTGCGGCGCTCATCTCACTTTATTGGCTGAGGGAGCCGGCGTACAGCTTATGGGTCATGTGGCCAGCATGACTAAGCCACTTCTGGCGAACCAGAGCAGCACACGGAAATGCCGTTTACCTTCCTGTCGGAGTGGTACCTATTTTATCTACTTGCACTTTGAGGTGCTTTCAAACTGCTAGGTTGGCAGGAGCTGGGACCGAGCAATGGGAGCTCACCCCATTGCAGGGATTTGAACCGCCGACCTGATTGGCAAGTCCTAGGCTCTGTGGTTTAACCCACAGTGCCACCCGCGTCCCTTGTTATTAGTGACCTTCCTGTACATCATAGATGGCCACCTCAGTGAAGAATCAAAAACAGATGAATTGAAATGCACTAACAGTGGTCTCTAATGTACCTATATTATAAAGCCTTGGAACACCTTTTAGTCACACTAAATGCCATTTAAATTGCAATGGAAGCCTGTTTGCTCCTTTATAATTTTCAGTTTGTACATTTTTAAGGAAATTTCAGAGCTGTCTCCCAGCAGCCCACTTGCAGCCAGCCCTGTCTCACCTCTCAACAATCAGCTGGCCAATTTGTGCACAGATGAAGTACCAACAGCATCCCAGGGACTGCTTAAACTGTTCGGGAACAACACTGAGGAGCTCGTTGGACCAAAAGGGGTAAGTCACCAACTCTTTTATTGGGGGAGGGGGGTGTTAATAGTTCTAAAACTAGTACAATAAAATCCTCTATAAAACCATATGTATTGAGGGGGGGTCAGTCAGATTTAATTTGCAAAAAAAGAATTCAAAAGATGTTCATCTATGCATTAAAGACATGGGTAATATTTTTTAACAATAGCTGTACCTATTTTTTGTATGGCTCAACCTTAAGGCCTTTGGCAATAAATTTGAAAGAAGAAAGACCAGGCACAAAAAAACTAAGGCATGTACACCAAGGAGGGAAATCTTAAGCAAGACCCCATTTAGTGACCTTCAGGATTCACATGGATAGGTTTTTAAATACTTTTTAGCTTAAGACCAACATCTTGCATTGGGCCTGGAAGCCAATGGCAAAAGTTGGTTCCTAGTGCTTCTGTTCCATAAAAGTCTGTTGGGGCACTACATTGGGGAGATGATGCATTGCCTTGTATTATAAAAGTAGATATGTGAGAAAGTAATTGGGTTGATCATATTATTTTGTCTTGTGAATGCTAATCCATTCAGGCATGCCTGTACTAATCCTTAGGTATCCAAAAATGGTACTCTCTGAACACAGCAATAATACACCATATAACTATGCTAGAGATTGAGTCCCAACTTAATTTTGCTGAGTGTATATTAAAGCAGATAGTCCGTGAGATGTGCTGCCTTGGTGCCTATTCTGTTTTTAAAACAAAACAAAACTGCCCGTTGAGAGTGGAGCTATTTGATATCTTGTTTCATCTTGCACATTTCTATTACAATATCTTTGCCAGTTACTATAAGAGATCGATGTTACTAGATTATTTATAGAGCAAAGTTTGCTGTGTAAGAGTGGAAAGAAAATCCCAGGGTTTGGTCATCTGAAGTTTCCAGTATTGTGATCACAGTAATGGTTTCTTTAGGCAAAGGAGACGATGAAAGAGGAGTCATGGAACATTCATTTTTTTGAGTATGGGAGAGGAATGTGTATGTATCGCACAGCCAAGACCCGTGAACTGGTGCTAAAAGGGATTCCAGAGAATCTTCGTGCAGAGCTATGGCTCCTATTTTCAGGTGAGACATTATATGCTCAACAGGTTTCCCTTTTAATGGAAATAGAAGTTTTTCAGTTAATCTTTGTGGGCTACTTCCACTGTTACAATGTAGGGGTTCCCAAAGCTGGAAGTGACCTCAAGAATCATCTATAATTCCTTCCAATGGTCCAGGCATGGGGAACACTTCACCCTCCTGATGTTGCTGGTCTGCAGTTCCCATCATTGCTGACCAATGACAATGTTGGCTGAAGCTGAAGGGAGCTGGAGTCTGACAGCACCTGCTGTTCCCCATCCCTGCATTTGTCCTGACCAGTGGTGGCCCATGTTGAGTTTTCTTCCCTTGAAAGATTAATGGAGAGATCACATGCATGGATTGCAGGATAGCTGACATGAGTTTAAAAATGATTTCTAAATACACATATAACAGCATTATGTCATGCATTTAGTCCATGGTCTAGCACAGCCACAAGGAATTGAAAGTGACTAGTTTTTGTGTGCGTCACTGCAGGAGCCTGGAACGAGATGGCTACTCACCCTGGATATTATGCAGACTTGGTGGAACAGTCACTGGGAAAGTATAGCCTTGCTACAGAGGAAATAGAACGAGACTTACATCGATCAATGCCAGAGCACCCTGCCTTCCAGAATGAGCTGGGGATTGCTGCACTTCGAAGAGTACTGACAGCATATGCTTTTCGGAATCCCACAATTGGCTACTGCCAGGTAAGAGAGTGGTGGTCAAGGATTAGCTTGCAGTTTGGCACTTCACATCCAAGTCCAATTAAATTTCATATTAGAGCTCTAGCTACCTGTCGGTACGAATGCTGCCAGTAGTGTGAGAGACTCCCTAGTCCTGAATGGAGTAACTGTGTCCCTGAAAGACCAGGTGCGCATCCTGGGAATCATTTTTTATTCACAGCTGTCCATGGAGGCGCAGGTCAATTCTGTGTCCAGGGCAGCTGTCTACCAGCTCCATCTGGTACGCAGGCTGAGACCCTATCTGCCCACAAACTGTCTTGCCAGAGTGGTGCATGCTCTAGTTATCTCCCACTTGGACTACTGTAATGCGCTCTACGTGGGGCTACCTTTGAAGGTGACCTGGAAACTACAGCTCATCCAGAATGCGGCAGCTAGACTGGTAACCGGGAGTGGCCGCTGGGACCATATAACCTAAAGGATCTTTATTGGCTCCCAGTACATTTCCAAGCACAGTTCAAAGTTTAAAGCCCTAAACAGCCTCGGTCCAGTATACTTGAAGAAGCGTCTCCACCCCATCGTTCAGCCCAGACACTGAGATCCTCCTCTGAGGGTATTCTATTGGTTCCCTCACTGCGAGAAGTGAGTTTACAGGGAACCAGGCAGAGGGCCTTCTTGGTAGTGGCGCCCTTCCTGTGGAACACCCTCCCTTCAGATGTCAAGGAGATAAAGAAGTATATACCTTTTAGAAGACATCTAAAGGCAGCCCTATATCAGGAATTTTTTTAATTTTTGATGCTTTATTATGCTTTATGTAGTCTGTAAGCCGCCCAGAGTGGCTGGGGAAACCCATCCAGATGGTGGGGTATAAATAATAAAATTATCATGCATAGCCCTAAGCACCACTCAAGGTTGAGCACAACCAGGGCTGATGGCTCTGCCTAGTCTGATGGAATGCCCCCGTCTTCCCGCTGTAGAATTTCCAGGAGCTTTTATGGAAGGGGGGGTGAAGCATCCTTCCTTCCCACTCCACCTGCTAAATGTCATTATTTCTAATAAAAGCACTAATACTAGTTACTTGAAGCAAAGATGTGGTTCTGAGCTGTAAAATCTTTTATTCGAGTTATCTCATTTATCATTTGTGTCTTATGCTTTGACAAACTAAAATATAATAACTGATTGCTGCCCTAAACGAGCTTCTCACCTAGTGTGGATTATTATTATTCTCCTTTTGCATGCCCACTTCCTCTCAGGCCATGAACATTGTGACATCGGTACTGCTTCTGTACTGTAATGAAGAAGAAGCTTTCTGGCTCCTTGTGGCCCTGTGTGAGAGGATGCTGCCAGATTATTATAACACCAGAGTGGTTGGTAAGTCTTCCAGTTAACCTTAAAAGCTAGAATTTGTTTTTACAGAGCAATTCATTGGATAGGTAGGTTATTTTGTCCTTAGAACAGGAGGTGTGCGTTGGAAGCCTTGGCCTCATAAAACCAGGTTTTGAATATATTCTTTAAATTATAGGGTGATATCTGATTTTGTGTGAGCATACAGGAGGGCAGAGTGCAAGAGAAAGCCTGCTTCATTGTTGATGGCTGCTACTAAATATCCATACAGTTGAGAAAAAGCTGAACGAGTCAGTTCAATCACCTGTCATAATACAAGATACCTTGAAAAAGACAAATCACTTGCCTGTCTAGTCTTTGATTAAAAATCTTCAAGGACAGAAGTTCTGGTATCTTCCTAACCACTATGTTTGATTCCTAATTTCTCTTGTGTGGATTTTTTTTGAAAAAAAGTTTAATCTGCTATTGACTTTATGTAATTTTATATCCGCTACATTCAATCCTATCCTTAGCAGATAGAATAAATAAATATACTCCCTTAAATCAATTCAAATATTCTAAAACTGTCAATATATTAGCATCTCCTCTCTAGCTCCTCCCCAGTTTCTTTAGCTTTTGCCTGCTTGAGCAAAATGTGCTCTTCCACTGAACTGAGCAATACCATTGCTTCACAAGTCTGAAATTGATATCATCTTCTCAAAATAATTCAGAAACTAGAGTTATTAATAATTAAATGCCCAAAATGATTGAGGTTGGCAGGTACTGCCAGGGAATATCAGCAGGACTGGTGAAGGAATAGAGAATTGATTGAAGGTTTTCTGAAATGTTAAAATACATATTTGACTGAGTGAGAACAATATAATAGGTACTGGGCTGCAGTGAGACCTTTACTAAGGCTTCAGAAATTTAAACTAAATATAGATTCCTTATATTTAATTTATATATGGAATTGTTTAATTGTATATGAGCATACTGCTGAGTCTCCCAACAGGTTGTGTTTTGCTCTGAAAGGCATGGAAGGTTCAGTCATTTCAGTAAAGACACATAACATTCATTTTAAATTTAGTATAGTGCTTATCCTTTAAAGAAGCTAATAAGGGATATTTCACACAGTAATACTTAACACTCAGTGATTGCTACATGAGGTAATGATGTCCCATGAGTAAAACAGCCATTGTAACCTAAATATTGCAGTCAGAAGGTTGTATCCAGTGGACTTCCACTTGCGCAGTGAGACTTCCTCATTCTCTCCTTCCCATTTCAGGCCCCATGCACCCTACAGAACCGTTCTGTTGGGCTTTCAGATTTCATTTCATCACTTCCTCAAGCACAATAATTTTTAGTGGACGGCTGCTCCCTCACAATATTCCTTTGCAAGCCAAGTGGTGAATGTACAGGTGGCTTCACCCTAAGGCAAATCAGTTATTCTCTGCACTTTTGTTTTGCTGTAGGTTTACCTCAGCCCCTTGTCTGTAATGTTGAGTCTATGCTACACTTCCAGTTCCATGTTGCAGATAACTCTCTCTCTCTCTCTCTCTCTTTCCTGTTCAGGTGCCTTGGTAGACCAGGGCATCTTTGAGGAGCTCACACGGGACTGTCTTCCCCAGCTATCTGAGAAGATGCAAGACCTGGGAGTCATTTCCAGCATATCACTTTCTTGGTTCCTCACACTCTTTCTCAGTGTCATGCCTTTTGAAAGTGCTGTGGTCATTGTTGACTGTTTCTTCTACGAAGGCATCAAGGTCATCTTGCAGGTATCTCTGGCCATCCTGGATGCCAACATGGAGAAGCTGCTTAACTGCTGTGATGAAGGCGAGGCCATGACTGTCTTGGGCAGGTAGCCTCATTTTTCTGTTTCACAATGAAATGAATGGTAATGGATATGGTAATAGCTACCATTAATTCTTCCTTCTTATCCCTGGCTAGTGACTGAAGCTTCTTGCTTTTCACTTGGCAGGGACCAGTTATTACAAGGATAATAATAAAAAGCCATTTGCTCAAAGCCATGTTTCAGTGTGTTGTGAGATATGCCCACCGTAGGTAGTGAAGCCCAGAAAGATTTATTGTAACTGCAAGATCCGTTTAGCCAAAATAGATAATTTGTGGCTAAATTTATAAGTACCATATTTTTCCGTGTATAAGACGCCCCCCTGTATAAGATGCCCCCTATTTTGGGGGACTTCAAATTAAGAAAACACCCCTCAGCACTATCTGTGTATAAGATGAACCCCAATTTTAAACCTAATTTTTTGGTTAAAAAAACCCCAGTCTTATACATGGAAAAATACGGTAATTTATGGATAAATTAATAGAAATGTAACTAGGAAATCTGGTTTCCATGAAAGAGGCTAGTGAAATCTCTTTCAGCCAGGAGCATGTGGGCTAGCAGGGGTCAGAAATGAACAATCACAGTGCTGACTTTGATCATCGTAATGAAGTCTTTCAAGAAGGGTTTGCTTCAGATAGCAACTCAGTTCTGCTGGAACCAGCTGTTACCCAGCCTATCCTGTCTTGGAGTAGATTCCAATAGCAACCAGCCATCTTATGAGACAGGTGCAGGGAACATTTTGGCCCTCCAAAAGCTGCTAAAGTACAATTCCCATCAGCCTCAGCAAACATGACAAGCTTGACCAAAGGCCAAGGAAAAGGGATTTGTAGTTCAACAACATCTGGAGTGCCAAAGGTTCCTCACACATGTTAAAAGATAAACAGTGAGTCAGTGGGTTTACTTGTACAAGGGTCAGCTGCCTTCCTGCTCTTCCCCTCCTTTGAATGAGTGACCAGCTACTCCCCAGCTAACAGGAGGAGAGGGTTGAGACAGTGAAGACTGCTGCTGAGCAGAAGCCATTTGCAACTGCCAGAAGAAAGAGGGGAGGTTGTGAGGACTTCCTGCTTTGATCATTCATATTTTATTCTAGTTTTTGCATGTTGCCTTGAGTTTTTCTGCTGAAAAAGGAAAGCTGTAGATAGATATGATACATATGACACATACATAAACAAAATACATTTTCCTGTTAATGGTTGTTATTCAACCTTTATAGTATGTTCATTTGGTTTCTTGTAGCATATAAATGATTTGTACAGAGATTGAATCAGAAGTAATGAGAATTAATCATCAGTGGAATTATGCAGGCTAGGTAGAACTATATAAACTATTCAGAATGGTAACCCTAAACTTGGGTTATGCATTAATCCCAGGTTCTGTCTTTTACTTTTGGTTTTCCTGTAGGTACCTGGACAACGTAGTTAATCGACAAAATGTTTTCCCACGTATTCCCCACCTCCATGCCTTATTGACAAGTGGGGATGATCCACCAGATGAAATTGATATCTTTGAACTTATAAAAACAGCCTATGAGGTCAAGTGCTGTCTTATTTTTTCCCTCCTTTTTATTTAAATACCTTACCAGACTTGTATTCCTTGTTAAACTCCACACCCACCCACCCCCTTTTTCTCCTTCATGCTGCTTTTAATCTTGGGTTGTTCAGGGTAATTATTTAAAAGATGGGATTACTATTATTTTTATCTTTGTGTTTGTTTTTATATTTTGGAAACTACTTTGACTCCTTTGAAGGGGGAAAGTGGGATATAAAATTTTGTATTAATCAGTCAAACTTCTTTGTGATACATGCACAATTTCTGGATATGGGCTTGATGTTACTTCTCTCCCTCTGCCCCACCTTTGATATAAACCTTATTAAATCTGAGTCTAGTCTTCTGAAATGTTACATGCATGGTTAATGCAATAGAAGGGAAGCAAAATCGTTGTGTTTTACTTCCCCTGTTTAGACAGTGACTTGTTGCTGCTTGCTAATGTATCTTCCCCTTCCTCTGCCATTAGTATTTCTATTCATGGCTTTCAAACATTGCTAGAGGCAGCTGTTTGGGACTACAACTCCCATCATCCCTACCTAACAGGATCAGTGGTCAGGGATGATGGGAGTTGTAGTCCCAAAACAGCTGGAGGGCCGAGTTTGACCATGCCTGCTTTAGACAGAGATTTGCTTTCTCCCCAGTGAAATCATTGCTTAGGAAATTATCTTCAAATGCTTCATTGAATATGTGGTATTCCCCTGTGGCTCTAAAGATAAATCTTGTTTACTTTTATTACTACAGAAATTTGGCCACTTGAAAGCAGATGACATTGAGCAGATGCGCTTTAAGCAGAGATTGAAAGTGATCCATTCTTTAGAGGACACAGCTAAGAGAAGTGTGGTATGTTGCACCCAGTTTTGTGTTATAGGTATTGGGTATGTTGATGCTGTTCAAATTTTTACCTTTGCGGATAGGATGAGTTTTTAAAAAAGTAAATCAGGTAATCAAATGATTAGCATGCACTGAAGGACACTTTGCTTAAAGTTATTCTACAGAGAGTTGTTTTGTATCACATTTGAATTAAGAAATTGTGAGTGATGATCTTGGGGTGCATCTGCTGCATCTGAGAAATTGCCATATATTTCTCTGAAGACATGAGAGTTTGGCCTGAAAAAGTTGTGAGAAAAAATTGGCAGGCTTTAAAAAAAACCCCTTCTACTGAGCTCTCCTCTTTTCCTCCACTGAGGGTGTGGCAACCAGAGATACTGACCTTTCTCATCCTCAGAACTCCTGTGCCATAGAATCTCAAGGGAAGAATAGCTTTCACGTCTTCTTGCTTCTGTTTCCCCCCCCTGTTGTTTATGCCATTGTGGTGTTCATTCCCTCCAGATAGGATCAGATGTCTCCAAGTGAATGTCTCTAATGCCCTTGTAGATGTTTGACAGTGAGTGGATCAAATAGATAAAAGCTGAAAGGATGAAGGAGTTGACACATTTCCTGTTCCCACTTCCAATTACAGTGCACTGAGAGCAGGAAATGCATTTAATGTTTTTGACCACTTTTTTGCTGTGTTTACCCCCCTGAGTTCAAGGGAATAGAGCTACTCTTCTCTAGCTGTTGTTGAGGTTTTTGCATCTTCCTGTCTCAGATCAATAGCTCCCAAATGCAGACTTTAGTATTCTGCTCAAAATCATTACATGTTCCTTCCTTTCTCCGGTCAAGTCCCCAGACTTTGAAAGTCATTTTGTCATGCTTTGTTCGAAGTAACCTTCCTGGTGTGTTTTAATTTAACTTTTCCAAGTTCACAGCAAAAATAATTAAAATATATCTGTTTCTTTGTGTTTCTGTAGGTCCGAGCTATATCTGGTGACATTGGTTTTTCTATGCAAGAATTAGAAGACCTCTATGTAGTATTTAAGGTAGGAACCCTGCATGAAAGCTTATTTAACAATATACAGCATAATCATAAGCATGTTTGCTCAGAAGTAAATTTCACTGGGACTTGCTCCATAGTAATCCTTAGTGTATTTTATTTACCAACATACAGTGTAATCTTGGCATGTTTTCTCATATATAACGCCCACTGATTTCAGTGGGATTTATTCCCTACTGAGCATCCTTGTGACTGCAGCATGAGAGCAGAACCAGAATTATTAGTAACAGTATTATCTGTTAACTTGTACTCTGCTGTTCCAAGCTTAATGAATACATTCAGTTTCTTTGGCTGAACCCACCATAGCCTCTGCCACTGCAGTTGAGAAGTAAGAATCTAATTTCACTTATCTACTTGTTGAACAGATTTAAGTGGAATTCTTCCAACTGATCCATTGAAAGTTTAAAGGGCTATAGAACTGCAGAAGGAAATACCTTTCATTCACATTAACATTTCTACCTGAATCTGCATCTCAAGTTGGTGGTGTTGCTTATTGCAGGGGCAGTCAATGTGGCACCCTCCAAATGCGTTTGGACTCCCACCAGCCCCAGCCAGGATGGCCAATCCTCAGGGACAATAGGAGCTGTAGCTCAGCCACATCTGCTGAGAACCACTACCTCCATCTTACTGTTATGATTAACCTTTAGATGTACCGTAGTATCTTTTCTGCCTGTTGCAGTTGATTAAAAGTTATTTCCAAGCCTGAAAAATGTAAAATGGTGTTGGTATTCAGCTCACAGGTTTCCCCACCATCACCTATGGGTTTGGGTTGGCTTCAAGACTGAAGTTTTGAAAATGTAATTATTGTCTGACCACAATAATTATAGTACCACCTTCCCTTCACAGGCAAAACACCTAATGAGCTGTTATTGGGGAAATCACACTGTATCTGCCCAGCGAGACCAGAGCCTGCCCTACTTAGAGCAGTACCGCATTAACATGGAGCAGTTCAAGGAGTTGTTTGCATCTCTTACTCCTTGGTCTTGTGGCCTCCACACACCAGTGCTAGCAGAAAGAATGTTCCGACTGTTGGATGAGAACAAAGATGCACTAATTAACTTCAAGGAGTTTGCAACAGGGATGAGTGAGTGGCTTATATAAAAGATTCAATGTACTGCTGAAGCATAAATTCTTGCCTCCTCCCTGCTTCTCCTATCTGCTGGTCAATTGTGAGAGAATGATGCAATTGCATATTTGAATGATTTCCTCATAATATGTTTGTGGTTGAAATGTTTTCTCATTATTAGGCCAATTCATTCCCCCACCCTTTGATGTAGGGTGAGAAATATAAATGGTAGTTCTCCTAGTGTGCCACATTCTACTCCAAATTAGCAGATAAAGCTTCTAATGGCTTGTGTAGGATCTATAGATAGATGTTCGAACCAGTGTGGTTTGGTTGTGAAGCCTGGCTTGAATCTTACATTTGCATGTATTCACTGTTTGACCTTGGCCAAGTTAATAGCTATGAGCTTCAGCTCTCCATCTCTAAATTAGAATAGTGTGACCTACCTCACAAGGCTGTTGAGAGGGGAAACATAAACAAGCTCTGTGATGGCATACAAAAATTTCAGTGTGGATATGGGAAAGCTTCACTTGCTAAATGTCTGCATATCAGGCAGATATCAAGCATAATAACCTTTCTCATAATTTTTTTGAAGTGTCTCCTAATGCTAAATTTATTTTCCCTTCTTCCCTATTCCTAATAGGTGGAATGTATCATGGTGATCTGACTGAGAAGCTAAAACTACTTTACAAACTACACCTACCTCCAGGTGAACCACTTATTTCTTTCAAATGTACATTGGTGGTACCTGAATGCTGCAACCTGTTAAAGTTGGTAATAGGTTCTTTCAAATACATTATGTCTTGGTAAGCTTTCAGTATTCTGTGTTCACTGAGGTTTCATTTTCCTAAGGTGTCAGTCTATACCAATTGGAAATGTAATTCTGGTTTATCATGACCAGCTCCTTCAGCTACATTGAGAAATGATTTTAAAATAACTTACAAGAGCTAAAGGTTTTAATTCACTTCACTGGTGTGGTTTAATAAATGAAATTAATATCTGGCCCAAGAGTTTGGGGGTCATGCGGAGTACACCTCCCTGTGCCAGTACACTTCTCCCTGTGTACACTTCTCCCTGTGCCAGTTCAGTGGCTTATCTGACTAGCCTTTTAAGTTTGGGCCAGTGCTTTGGGAGATTTTCTCTGTGATTCTTCATTGCAGCCCTTCCTGTATGTGTCATCTCTTCTCCTGTCTTTAAGAAACTTGGGTTGGGCTTACTGAAATGAGTAGAGCAGGAAAGGTGACCTGAATATTATTTAGAAATTGCTGTCATGTTAATCTGCCTATTGAAGAACTTGAATACTTGTGTCCATATATAGCACAGGTCAGATTTGAATTTAACGATAAACAATAGTCTGTCATTGCATACATGAGTTTCTCAAGCATTAAATCACATTTTGCTGTTAAGTCCAAACCTTAGGTAAAGGGACCCCTGACCATTAGGTCCAGTCGTGGCCGACTCTGGGGTTGCGGCGCTCATCTCGCTTTATTGGCCAAGGGAGCCAGCGTACAGCTTCCGGGTCATGTGGCCAGCATGACTAAGCTGCTTCTGGCGAACCAGAGCAGCGCACGGAAATGCTGTTTACCTTCCCGCTGGAGCGGTACCTATTTATCTACTTCCGCGGGGATTCGAACCGCCGACCTTCTGATCGGCAAGTCCTAGGCTCTGTGGTTCAACCCACAGCGCCACCCACGTCCCATAGTCCAGGAAAAAGCTTTTTTCATAAAACATGGCTTGAAGATGGCTAGTTCATACAACCACAGTTTTAGGTTCAGACATACAGCTAACTGTAGTTTGTGAAAAATGGATGTAAAAGCTTTGAGTCTTCTCATTGTGGCCACGCTGGAGTGGAGTGGGGAAGCACACAAGCCCAAGGCTAGCTTAGGCTTTTTATTGTTTGTAAGCTACCTTAAATTCTTCAAATAAAGCAGGGAATAAATAAAATAAATAAAAAGGCCATGGCTTTATACTTTTCTTTCTTTGTACAGCTCTGAGCCCAGAGGAAGCAGAGTCTGCTCTGGAGGCTGCACGTTACTTCACAGAAGATAATGCTACAGAAGGTAACAGGGATTGGTCTCATCTGATTGTAGGAATGCATACTCAATGGTGGCGTTCTTAGCTATCAAAGAAATGCTTTAGCCTCTGTTGTGGACTGTGGAGAGATGTTCTCCTTTTATATGAAGCATTGACTGGCTGCTACTAAGAAAGACTAAAACCACTTATCAGATGGCTTTTTCTGCCCAGGCTGTTGCTCAAATCTTGTTTCCATTTTTGTTTTCCCCACTTGTTTCTGTTGCTCTGTATTTTAACTCTCTCTCGTTCTGTCTTGAATTTATTCCCTGACCTCAACCCCCCCTCCTCTCTTTTTTTTCTCTCTCTCTCTCTTCTCTTTGCTTCTCTAGTATCTCCCTTTGTCTCAGAACTGGATCTCTTCCTGCATTGTGATTCTCAAGGTTAGTCTACCCGCCCTTGCAAAGGTGGGCCACTATTGATGTACTAAAATTTACCTGCCTACTATGTGAGTGAAAGCTCATTTAAAATGGAATTGCTTTAGTGCTGCTCTTCAATGCGTGGCAGCAGAATGGATGCTCTATGGGTGAGTCGTTCGTGTGTCCAAGAAATCAACCAGTTGCCTGTGCTGCACGGTGTTAGACTCCACGTGAAGGAGCAGTCTGGTACACAGTCTTGGGGGTCCTTCTGAGTCAAGCTTTGTCAGTGGTTGTTTAGCCATTGTTAACTTCAAGATTGGATTACTTCAGTGCACTTTGTGTGGGGCTCCCCTTCCAGCTGGTCTAGAAGCTGCAATTAGTGCAGAATACTGCAGCATAATTGCTGACAGAGTGAGATCATCTGCTCAAAGATCAGCACTGGCCATCAATTTGCTACCAGACCAAAATCAAGGCCTTAATTTTATTGGCATACAAAGGCCTTAAGAGCTTTGGCAACCCTTTATTTGGAGATCTCCTTGTCCTTTCCTTACATGTTTGACCACTTGGCTGTGGTCTGTGCTATAGAACTCACCTCCTGTTAACATTAGGCAGGCACTCACATATTGTTTCAGATGCCTTAAAAAAATAGTTTAGGAAGCCTATCCAGACATATGATTTAGTTATGCATACTTGTTTTTAAATTTTGCTGCTTTTATTTGTATATTGATGATTGTTTTATGTATACTGCTTACAGATTTTTTGATTAATAGTTTATAATTTCAAATAGATAGATAGATAGATAGCTATCATAGATTAAGCTACCTAGCTGTCACCATAACAAGCGTGCTTTATTTTCTTAATCTATGATCAGTTCCTCTAACTCCATATATACCACATTCACTGCACAGATTTTTGACCTAGAAGAGGCACAATGTCTGATAATTAAGATTCATTCCACAAATGAAGTTGTTTATCTATAGCACTGGTTATCTTTTTCCTATTTTTTCTAACACTTTAAGCAGTGAGTATCATCTTATGGCCATGAATCTCATGTTACTGTGTTTTATGTGCAGAAATATTAACTTTATTTGCCCTTAGCAAGTTATCAACCAATTTCATTTAACCTTTAGTTCCAATAGTTTGAGGAATAGAGAAACAAATTTCTCTTAATTCACACTCACTCCACATATTTTATAACTTTACAGTCCAGTAGTCTGTTGTGTCTCACTGTAGTCATTTTTTTCTAAATTAAAAAACCATGTTGCTGCTAGCTCCAAATAACTGATATATTCTTATGACATTTTATGTCAGATTTCTACCATTGCAGATTAGTTAAACTGAAATATTTTAAAATAAAATAAAATATTTTGTTTGTTTGTTTGAGCATATGTTTTTACCATCAATTGCTTCCTCCTCCCCCCCCCCCCCACCAGCAGTACAGGATCAAAGGTGTTTGGTTGTGTACATGTAAATTAGAATTCATTGGGAGGTTTTTCCCCAGCTGGCAGACATATTGGTCAATAATTTGAAAGCTTATTCAAATGCCTCAGTCATGCTGTTTACCTTATTTAAAATTTTATTTTTAAAACACTAGTTTGACATTTATTCAATTTAATGTATGTTCATCTCCCCTTTTCGTTTTGTTTTGTTGTTGTTGTTGTTGTTTTTAAAGTAGGGTTGGTTTTTAAACTTGAAAAATTGCTTTGAGGGCTAAGGAAAATTACTTCACAATTTTCTGGCCGATCAGCATTTTGTGCATCTTGGTTCTGTAATAAACATGCTGCTGGTTTCTTCTGAGGTTGATCTATAAGAAAATGCTGTGCATCTATATAAAACACAATGAGTGTCCAATGCCTACACACAACAGAGCCATTGCTCAAATTATGGATGCACCCTTAGCTTTGTTATATGTCATTCAGTGTGTTTGGTATCCTGCTGGGATAGCTTAGTCAGTAGTGCATGAGACTCTTAATCTCAAGCTTGTAGGTTTGAGCCCCATGTTGGGCCAAAGAGTCCTGCAGGGGTTGCACTAGATCACCTTTGTGGTCCCTTCCAACTCTACAGTTCTATGATTTTGCTATCTTTTGTTTCATGTACTTCTCTTAAAGTAGTTACTACTTTATTGTCTGTTTTATTAGAAGCAGCTATACAGGAAGAGAAAGCACCAAGAGATGAGAACCCCAAAGACCAAGGTAATTATTATTTGACATATCCCAACATTTCCTTACTGTGACTCATAAATTATCTCTCCCCAGAACCTCAACCTGGTTTGTTTCCTAGTTTTAACATTTCCCTTTAACATAGAATAAAATGCCTTGATTAGAGCAACAAGTCTTAATAGTCCTCTCAACAGTTTTGTTATGTTTGGTGTGTGTTCCTGGCCTCAGCAGAACTTTTACTTATTGCTGCCAGTTTGAAGCAGCATATTATGGCAGAAAGTTTAAAAATAAATAAAATAAATCTCAAACTCTGTGTCAAGGTCACTGAAGTCAATAAAATGCATCATCATACAGTTTTGCATTGGTTATGCTGATTTGGTTTTCCTTTCAGAGGAAAAGGGCACCAGTCCCCAAGATTACAGATATCACCTGCGAATTTGGGCCAAGGAAAAAGATTCCAAAAAAGAAACTATCAAAGATCTTCCTAAAATGAGTCAGGTAGGAATTTATTTTAAGATCTGTTATGCTTTTTAAGATGAATTTTTAAATAGTATTTGCCTAGATTTAAGATACTGAATGAACCAGAAGGGTTGGTGGTTTTATCATTGTACCATATTTTACCAGGCAATAAATGAGAGCTGTTCTAAGACTGGCTTGGGTGACATCCTCATGAAGGGTTGTGTTCTCTGATTTAGCCAAGCCAGGGATATGTGGCTGATTGCTGGAGGAGGATAAAATGCAAAGAAACAGAGAGAGAAGAAAACCATGTCTGCTTTGGCCAAGACAGGGAGCTCCTGGTACCCCATCACCATCCTCTTTTACTGAGAGAAATGCCTCTGGGTGGGTGCAGCTCAGGGACATTCTAGGGAAAGAAAGAGGGTGGGGTGGCTGGGGGCCTGCATTTCATTTTCTGCCTACCTCTGCACCACCCAAGGAGGAATTGTCTGCTACTGTCATTGCACATCTTCATGAGCAGACAGGTGGAAATGGGATTTTCCCAACCCTTAGAAATGTGGAGTTTAGCCAAGTTAACTTGGTAACATTTAAAAGACAGCTAATTTTGGTTCTTTGCATTCAGTTTTCATATATGAAACATTAGTGCACATCTCAAGTGGAAATGCATTACATTTTGGAACATTTTCTGTGTTGTCAGCATGATTGTTAGCTTGAGATGATAAAAAAATGTTTATTTGAATTTGTGACTGGTAAGCTTGTTGTTTTGCAGCATTGTCAGTTTGAATATTTTGCACCTAAACTCTAAGCAGTTGTTATAATGTGCATCTGTCTCTTTTCAAGGAGCAATTTATAGAACTCTGCAAGACCCTTTACAATATGTTCAGTGAAGACCCCGTGGAGCAAGAGCTGTACCATGCCATTGCCACCGTTGCCAGCCTTCTCTTGCGCATTGGGGAGGTAGGCAAAAAGTTCTCCCACCAGCCTGCTAAGAAAGGTGATGACTTAAAAGCAAACAGTGTTCAGGACCCAGTAAGTGAAGAAGAGTCTCCAACATCTGACCAAAGTCAAAATTCAACTGTGGAGCAGTATTCCCAAGCTACTCCAGAAGAAAAAGCTTCTGGAGACATTCAGGTTGAGAAACAGCAACAGGAAAACCAGATTTTGGTAGATGGAGGTGGTGAGGGTCCAGGATCTCCAATACAGCTGTTTTCAGATGATGAAACTAAAGACGATATGTCCATGTCTTCATACTCCATGGTCAGCACAGGCTCTCTGCAGTGCGAAGATATTGCAGACGATACAGTGCTGGTCGGTTGTGAGGCTGGCAGTTCAGCTGCGCGGTATGGCAGTACCATTGACACAGACTGGTCCATTTCCTTTGAACAGATCTTGGCCTCCATGCTTACAGAGACAGTACTGGTAAACTACTTTGAGAAGAAAGTTGACGTTGCACAGAAGATCAAGGAACAAAAGAAAGTGGAGAGGCAGTTCAGTGCATCCAGTGATTATGAACTTACCTCAGTATCAGGCTGAACTCAAGAGAGAGGTGTAAATAATAGAGGCAGGAGAACTAGAAACCTGGCAGATAGCTGGACACTTGTTTTTTGTTTTTTACCAACACCTACAACTACCCAACAATTAAAGTCACTTCAGCTGAGTAAGGGACTTATCACAATGACTCTCTGGTATAGATACCTCCCTGGAGGACACCTTGCTTGCTGTGCTTACATTACATTCTCAAAAGCATGAAAGCCATTAGAACCTAATAGCCTCTGTGGCCTAGAATTACTAGGGTAAATTATGCATGTGTGCCTCTGCCTATCTTTCTTTAATGAAGCTTGATTTCAGTCACACTATTGCTTTAGGTTCCTTGGTAGTCGCTCACAAGAAATGCAGCCTAGCTTGAATTCCTTCCTCTATATCTTTGGCTGCCTCCCTGTGACCTTAACACCATGTATCAAAATGCTGTAGAGATCCCCAGCCTGCCTGAGAGAGCCTTGTTAGGAACCTAGATGCTACGCAGTAACTAGTCAGAGGTAAAGGATGTTATGCTCTGTTACGCCTGGCATTCTGCCGCTAGAACGTACCAGTGTCTTGGGACAGCTGGTTTCTATCCCAGTTGATATACCATCACAGTAGCATGTGGTTTTCAACACTGCCCAAGAAAGATGCATATTAATATGTTTTAGCCCAGTTTTAACTCTTCAGTGCCATGTAATTTTTTTGTTTTTTGTTGTTTTAATTTCCCTGAGGGGGGAAAAAGCAGCACTGAAAATTGCAAAAGCTATGGAGACTGGAGAGGGTGAAGTGAATGCAACAATCCTGAGAATTGCAAGACACTGATAAGAACAGAATTCTTGGTGCTTTGGGGCATTAGAGTGTTTACTTCATAATTTTTGATGGTACAAGGGCTCAGAAATGTGGGGTTTAAAGAAGTTAATAATAACGTGGAAGATCTAAGCCCCTACACCAGTAAGCTAGTTATCATAAAAGACTTGCATCACTGTACAGGCTGCTTATCTGATCTGTTTCTCACCATGGTGGAAAGTGGATCTATTGCTTTTGTGTGTGTGCTAGGCTCAAGTAATGCAAGTGTGTACACAGTTTAGGACTAAGCAGAAAGCAGAGATTAGTCCAGTTTATCTGAATCAACTAACCTACTGGCTACATGCTGGTCCAGAAGTTCCACACCATAGGAATCTTGCTGGTTGTACCCTCCAAATAGTGTCTGTTACCTACTTTATAAAGTTGTGTGGTGTTTAGACAACTTTCTTTCCTGGCGGCATAGAGTGCGGTTATGAGATCTGTGCTCTGAGAATCAGTTGTAGGCCTGAGGAAAACTGGAGCTCCATTTTGGGATTGATAACTTCCCTATGGGAAGGCATTCACTCTAAAGAAGCACTATTATATTTGTTTATATTTGTATACCTGCTCATCTCATTGCATAATTATTTTACTCAGTCATATGAGCACCATTGAAACAGTGTGAATGCTAGTGTGTGGCTGTTGTTGGACCAGTGATGAATATGGAACATACTGGCAGTTCAGAAAGAGCAAGAGTGACCTTGGAATATACAAGGAATACACCACATGGTGCAATACCCAGTGTTACTACAATTTTGTGGCGTACTCTGTATGTATTCACAACCAGTATTTGTTTTAAGACTGTCTTCTTAGCCATGCACCTGGAGAGCTTTTACTAATTCAGTAATTTATTGTAATTTTTTTAAAAAAACAAATACATGTGATTTTACATTGGTTTTTGTCTGATCAATCATGTATTCAATAAATGAACAGAATCACACATAAAACTTCTTTTTCCTTTATTTCAACTTCAGGACCATTTTTTTAAAATGCCTGTTCTCTTCCACAGTTCCTCTTTTTTTCATATGCATAACAATGGCCTTTGGGAAGAATACGTTAAATGAATAGCCATGTGATCAGGGGACACAAGCAATTTTGAAGTTTTCTTGTGTGTGTAGAAATAAAACTTGCAAGCTATTGAAGCAGGGCTTTTTTTCAACTGGAACTCAGTTCCGGCACCACTCAATTGGGTGCCATTGCCATTATAAGAGAATGAGGGAGGTTTCCATGTTGAGTTTTGGCACCTCTTTTTCTAGAAAAATAGCACTGTAATGAAGACCTTGAGTATGTTTAATGGCATTGAATCATCTTGACTCTAGGAATTGCTTGTAACTGGCTACTACACGCATCCCTTCACTTGATGACTGCAGCATCAAGTGATGAGTTTACTGCAGAAATGGGCCACTAGACATAACATTTTGATACCATCTCAAATGCAAAAAGTTTCAGCAGAACCAGCTGATACATGCAGCTACCATTCATCAGATGTACAGTAATGAACATATGTAAGCCTATAAAGCAGAGATCTTACAGAAATAGTGCCAGCCTCACAAACTGGGATGTAAAGAAATGTCAAATCTTCACTCTGCCCACTAGATGGCATATAAACAAAGTAAAAAAGATGCATGAATCAGCTGCTCTGATAAACTGGACTGGAGGGGAATGGGGAAAACGGGGGACCCGGCTACCTGGGTATAAAGTCTATAGGAAGGATAATTGTCATAAGCCACTCTTAGCCTCCTGACCGACCCCATCTCTCAGCCTCGTCCCTCCCATCCGTAAAATGGGGATAATAATACTCATTTTTGTTCAGTCGATTACTCGTGTCCGACTCGTCATTACTACTTAATTAATCCTGGATTTCTCGCTTCCTCCTGCACACAGCTGCTTTGCTTTTTATCACCCCCAAACGCCGCCTTCAAAGGTAACCAGGAAATTCACTCCGCGGGCAAAACAACTCTGCCTCTCGAGGGGAGCCCTTAGTTAATGGAGGAACCTTGTCCCCGCCCATCCCAATTAGATCATGCACGAGGCCAATGAAAAGCCGTAGGAAATGGGGGGGGGGAGGAACCTATCTGCGCGTCGCGCGCCATTTCCCGCCAAATGTTTGGGCTTAAGGGGAGCCTAAGCGGGAAGTGGGCTGCTGCTGAGGCGCTTGCCAGTCCCTCTCGCCCCCTGGGAGAGATGGAAGGTGTCTGTTTTTCTCCCATACGAGTGAAGAAGCTGCGCTGACTGAGAGCAGTGTCCCTGATGGCTCAGCAGTTTCAGGTGCTGAGGTGCTGCTTCTGCAACGTCTTCCAAGTCCAGCAGGTGAGGCCGCGGGGGAGCGGGACCTGCCGGCTGGAGCGCGCGGGCTATTTGAACCCGAGCTCTGCCCTCCTCGGGCTCACAGAACCGCTGCGTTGTAGAATTGGAAGGGACCCCCCAAGGGTCATCTAGTCCCGTGCAGGACGCTAAAAGTTAATTTGAAAGGTGGTCAAAAGACATACGTAAGTTGAGGTCTTGCAAGCTGGCTTTGCCTTCAGGGCAAACTTGGGCATTTCCATCACTACAGTCAGTGCTTTTTTCTTCTTTAAAAAAAAAAACACGTCTAGGGGTACTCTCACTTTGACTCAAGAAAATCACCATTTTATAGTTCAAATCGGGAAAAATAAATACAATAAATGGACAAAAGTACAAAGATTCGCAATATGTTTAGGGGTATGCATACCCCTGCATCCCCCCCCCCCCAAAGCACTGACTACAGTTACACAAAGGTTGTTGCTACAGGTCTAAAAGTCTGAAATGGACCAAAATGTATACCAAGGGGGAGGGGGGTGTTACCCTTTCTTAGAGACCAGTGGTCTTTTTTGATGAATTAAGTAAATATAGTACTAAAAACTAGCATCTATTGGGGTACTATCAAATCATTGTGCATCACTCGCTGGCTGCAGCAAGTGTTCCCAAACTGGTCAACAGGCCACCTGTGGTCCATGAGCTTCATTTAGGTGGTCTGTGGTGTCTCTGGATTTGTGTTTGAAGATGAGAAATGGCACATCCATTTTATATCCTTGCATTGATTTTTAATTGTATTTATTTTGCTTCTGTATATTGTATTTTATTGTATTATAATTTGAATTCTATGGTGATACAGTAACACATGAAATAGGAAATAAAAGAAGCAATAAAAATACAAATAAAAATCATACAGCATTTAGCACAGCACATTACCAATTGCTGCAACAGGCAGAAACATTAATTGGCCTGCCAATTTTCTAGAATTTTCAATTGGTCCACGTGGAAGAAAGCTTGGCAACCACTGGGCTAGAAACTCCTTTTTTTATTATTTGCCGTTCCATGTACTTTGACTTGAACCAGCTGCAGCTATTTATTCTGCCACTGTGCCATTCTGCAGTGCTCCTGCTCCCTGGTCAAAGCCTGAGTGGGGCAACTTTTCTTCTGTCAAAGGCCACATTACCTTGGACAGAATCTGCCAGGGGCCACATGTTAGCAGTGGATTAGGCAAAAAGAGACAGTATTATTCTGGATGTGTTTTCCAGAATAAAGATAGTCTTGCTTCAGTTTTAACTGTGGCCAAAATTAAGGAGGAAACAAGCAGGAAGGAACAAATGCTGATTGGATGGAAGAATGGAGCAGCTTTGGGAGGGACTCGGGGCTGCATAAAATGTAATGAGTGCAAGGCAGTCAGATGTGGCTTATAGCAGACTGTAGCCTGCATTGCACATGCCCCAATCTGTAGAATGGTCACTGTTGCATTTCGTCTTTAAAGAGTTGTGATTCCTTCGGCCATTAAATCTATGGATTATGATTGAATTATGGCCAGGTGTTCTGTGATTCCATGATTTTGCCACACAAATGTGGTATTTAGTACTTACTGGATGGAAAAGTAAGCATTCTTCTCGGTGAGAATACAGTAAATTAGGCAAGCTAAGCAAGTCAATAACAATTAACTTTGTTGACATAATTCAGGCAGGGTGAAGAGTTCAAATGATGGTGCACAATTCTGATATATGTTTTTTTTTTATTAGGTAATACAAAAGAATACTAAGGGGGGAAAGGAACAGAAAACCTACAATAAACAATTCTGATATACGTATAAGTGCACAGTACACACAATACTCTGATCATAGACCTGTTCTTGAGCCCCTTAAAATACATACTTGGCTTTTATTGAAAATCGATGAATAGTTACAGAAACATGCACAGTGGCAAATGTTTCACCCATGTCATATGAATTGTGTGGGTTATTAAAGAATTATATCTGCAATTCTGTCTTAGATCAAAAAGAGCCAAAAATGGAATTGCAAAGTATGTGATGAAAAGCAGTCAATTTTAAAGGTGAGTACCCACAGTTCCTTTATTTAAGTCCTGCTGTTAATGAACCGGCTTTTTAGTAGGTGGATTCTTTTTCCTCAGATTCTCAAACTGCAATCCTACACATACTTAACTGGGAACAAGTCTCATTGGATTCAGTGGGGCTTACTGCTGCGTGGACATGAATAGGATTTTGTTGTATTAGTAATCTATGTTACCCACATTAATCTCTTTTTTAAAAAATCTCCTTATCTTGCAATAGGAATCTGTTCACATAATCTGGTGTTAAAAATAGGTTAAGCAGTGGAGTGTTTCTATTTTTTCTGGTACCTCCTCAACTAGAAGAGATTTTAATATGTCATCATGTTAATGATAAAAAATGTGATCCAAATATAGTACTATAGGAGAGCTACTATAAAACATGTATTAGAATAAGGGAGTCATAGTAATTATTCTGATTATATAAACTATGTGGAAGTTAAAGTATACAAAGAAGAGTATACTGCATTCTTTGCTAAAGTGTGGAGTGATAAGATGTACAGTGCAAGTCTGTTAAAGCAAAAGGTTGTATATATGTCAGATTTACAAGCAGGAAGTACCCATTATTAAGTAATGTCCCTGGAACTAGGGCCTCTCAGATATAGCTATGATGCTATTTCCTTGCCTATATAACATTAAAGAACTATGAAAATAAGTGTTAACAAAACTTTTGTTACTTTAGATTTTTGGTCAGGGTTCTGGATCTGATTGCAGGCGCCATGTACAAAAACTCAATTTGCTACAAGGACAGGTAGAGCAGGAACCTACAGAAATGCTTAGGTATGGTATTAACTGATTATTTGCTGTTTTGTGTTTGTATACATTTGCATTATAATTTTCATTCTAAATTGCATATAATGGGCAGTATCGAACAAAGTCATACTCGGAGTAGACCCATTGGAATTAGTGGACTTAAGGTTACTTAAGTCCATTGATTTCAGTGGGTATCTTCTGAGTACATCTATCACCCAATGGATTTTAATTAGAGTGTTGTTTATGCTATACTTTTATACTGTTTTATTGTTGTTAGCCGCCCTGAGCCCAGCTTTGGCTGGGGAGGGCGGGATATAAATAAAATTTATTATTATTATTATTATTGTATATAGCCAAAGGTCTTTACAACGAAAGATAGAAAATAAAAGGAAAACTTTCCTCTAAAATTGTAAAACGTAGCCTGCAACAATTTACAACATAAAAGAAATTTACAACATTAAATTTTAAAATTGGAGTGCGTTCACATAGCTGGAACTGTGCAAATTTGGTTACCGCTTGTGTAATATATGCAGTCATACCTCGGGTTAAAGACGCTTCAGGTTAAATCTTCCTGCAGCGACCCGGAAGTAACGGAACGGGTTACTTCCAGGTTTCGCTGCTCGCACATGTGCAGACGCTCCAAATGACATCATGCGCAGAAGCGGTGAATCGGGGCACGCGCAGGCACGGGTTGTGTTCTGTTCAGGTTGAAAATGGGGCTCCAGAACGGATCCCGTTCTCAACCAGAGGTACCACTGTAGATGTTTATCCGCTAGGAGTTCAACTGTCATTTCTGTGCAGATTGACCAGGAAGCCAATTAAGAATTGGAGATATAAATTTTCTTCAGGGTGTTGTATACAAGGGGGAAATCAGCAGATAGTGTGTGATATCTTCTACCTCTATACTTAACCTGGCAGGGGAGACACCTTGATCTTGTGGGTGAGAGAGAGACCTGATGCTTTGCAGTTTGTGCTCACATTTCAGTACATATGAACTCTAAAACACACACATTTATATAGTGATATAACATTAAGTGCATTGATTATTTTCAGATCTAAAGAAGAACCAATAAAGAGAGATGGTGAGAACACAATAGTTAAACTGGAAGAGAATTCGGGCAGGCAGGTAAACCCCTTTGTATTAAATAAAGTGTATCTTCAAAGCCAAAATTGAAGGACAACCAGTCACAAGCCCTTAAAATGCAAATCAAGGAAAGGAGATGAGTTTAGCTGACTCCCCCCCCCCCCGATACTCTCAAGATTTATTTTTGTGTAAATGTTTATAACAGTAATTTATCCATTTGTTTAGTTAAGTAAGGACCCATTTCTCCATGTGACATTGGGCAACCTTTGTTTTTACTGCATATTAACAGGATTGTGTAAAGGTCATGGTTCATCAGAACACAGAAAAATGTGTGGAACACAGTTCTTCTAGATTGGGTACAGAATTAAGCTCTCTGAGCATACAAACTTTCATTTTAAATAGTTATGAGGATGGGCTTGAATAAACACAGACAGATCCTATTGAAATCTTAGAAGCCTGGGGTACTAATTAGAAACCATCTAGGGTCCTGCATATCTCTTGTCCTTCCCCATGACAAGCAAAACCAGAACAAATGCATCTGAGTTTGCATAATTCACCAAATTCAGCTTTTCTTGGTACTTGAGATGGCTGGACAGTAGTAGCATCAGTGGTATTAATAAAAATAATCATTATCCGGTTTCTTGCTGTGATTAAAACAGATCAAGAAAGCAACAGAGCATTTAGTCTGAGATGGATAGTGAGTTAGGACTCTCGATAAGACATTCTGTAATTTTTGTAGGAGGAAAAGGTAAAGTTGGTCAGCCGCTGGACTAAATATCTTGATGGAAGATGTGAAGAGCAAGTGAAGGAAGATGAGGAGGAGATAATGGTGCATACAGAAAAACAGAGCTACTCTTCCAAGAACACACTAAGGTGGATATGTAGTAGTTTCTTATTTTTTGCATAGTAAGTAATGGTGCCTTGTTTGAACATGCCAGAATACTATAACTGAATCACAAGGTTCATCTAAGAGGTACTTGCTTTTTTTCTCTGTGATGCTGTGTGAATTCATTGGACCACTTTTAATTTTGTTGCACCTGCTAGGAAGGGTCAGAAGACCAGCTTACACGATTCCCAGGGGTCTAGAAAAAGGAGAGCTTCTGGATTTGCAAAGGATGTCCTACATTTTGAGGTATCGCTCTTTTTCCAAGATAGCAAATACTTAATGTTTTATAGTATTACAGGACCCTCTTTTAAATGTCATAAAAGTTTCACTCGTGTTGTATTCCCTGCATTGTTGCTGAAATGGGTAGAACTCAAATCTGCCTAACTACCATGGCTCTTCTCAAAGCAGCCTACCAAATGAGTAGAGCTTACTGAGCACTTTCAGTATAATCAAAGCCTCACTGAAAGCACAAGGTGGTGTTTGTACATATCCTAACCAACTCTTTTACCTGACAAATCAACTTTACAGTATTCGTAGCCAGTGAATTGGCTTTTTACTTATTGTGCAGTGGGCCTGTTATTACAGCCATTCTATGCGGCCCTACTCTAATTTTTCCCCCACCATGTAAGTAGTGTACATCTGTACAGGATGCAATGTTAACCTTGCTATGGAAGATCTGGATTGTCAATGAGTATCAACTTAAAGAATGCATGAAAAGCCTGCAGGATCAGCCTGTGGCCTAAGTCCAGCATCCTGTTCTCACAATTTAATATCATCAACAAACTTGGCCACCTCACTGCTCACTCCTAACTCTAGATCCCTTATGAACCAGTTAAAAAGCACAGGTCCCAATACCAATCCTTGAAGGACTCTGCTTTCTGCATCTGTCCATTCAGAGAACTGTCTGTTGATTCCTATTCTCTACTTCCTGCTACTCAGCCAATTATTGATCCACAAGACAGCCTCTCAACGCTTTACCATTAAGCTTACTCAGGAGTCTTTGGTGAGGTACTTTGTCAAAAGTGTTTTAAAAGCCCAAGTACATTATATCAACCAGATCACTTCTATATGCTTGGTGAAACTCTCAAATAACTCTTTATAGGTTTGTAAAACTGGACTTGCCCTTGCAGAAACCAATGCTGGTTCTGCTTCAGCAAGGCTTCTTAGCAAGCTGTGCAGTTGCTTTCTGAATCTGAGGAGAATGTTCTGTCTTAATAACAGAACCACCACCTGTGGTGCATGTTACTTTCCTGCAGATAGGTCGACTACTTACTTACCCACCTTAGAACAGACCAACCCATGCAGTCTAGCCGAGTGTGCAACAGAGCATCAGATAAAGAGTAACTTTACTTATTTGCAATCTGGCATTTCCAATTATTTCAGTCTCCTGCTTTTTATCATAGAACAGAAAAGATTCAGCCATAGTAGCTAAAAATACCTGTGGAGATTATACATCTGGAAATGTGATTCCTGCTGTCAAAGAGCATCTGGTGTGCCAGAAGAATAAAGATTCAGAGTCAAGAGCTGCTGGACTTTCAAAGTGGGAGAAATTCCTTTTATCTGGTAAGAGTTGTAATAGCGGCAATGAAACTGCCATGATGCAAGAGAGGCAGGGAACGCTAGTCCAAACGTTTGCTGCAGGGACAAGTGCTGAAAGGCCAGCAACCTTCAGCCCCTGTAATTGGCATCATGCATCCATTCCACTAGCTGGAGTGCAAAAGTTCTCCAACACTGAACATGTTCCCATAGCTGACATACCTGTGGGAAGAGGGAAACACTTTCCTCCTTTGACTAATGTTCATCTTCAAGAAAAACTGCTTAATAGACTGCCTGAACAGCAATCTGCCTCTTTTTTAAATACTCTTATTAGTGTCTCAGATTCAAAGAATCTGCATAGAAACCTCTTTTCTACAGGAGATGACTTTGATGATGATATTTAAATGCTCTTTTTTCTTCCCAACACTTTTTTATCATTATTAGTCATTATTAGAGATGACTTAGAAGAATAAACTGTAGCCTGACCTAAGTCACAGAGCTATGTTGTATATATAATCAAGGAGATTGTACTCAAATACTTTGTCAATATCTTTGGCATGTAGGGCTTCTATGATGTTGTTCATCATTTGTGGTGAAAAATGTGGTGTCGGGACAAGACTTTAAAACTAGCAAAGCAGTATTCATTGTATACTATGTATAGGCAGAAATTTCTAAAAAGGCGTTTTTCTGCATTCAAGTACGAAATTGGGCCTAGCTTTGTTTTCTCTTGCATTACAAGGAGGGAATTTTCTTGTATCTGGTTCTGTAGGAGTAGGAGTAGGAATGCTGGCTCAGGTGGTGCTGAAACTTGTATGTGCACTGTAGTTCAGGCATAGGCAAACTCTGGCCCTCCAGATGTTTGGGACTACAATTCCCATCATCCCTGACCACTGGTCCTGTTAGCTAGGGATGATGGGAATTGTAGTCCCAAACATCTGGAGGGCCGGAGTTTGCCTATGCCTGCTGTAGTTAATAAATCAGTGTCACTGTTGATTATCTTGTCTCATAGAACGTGACAGAATTCTCATGTCATGGGCTAAACCACAACAATGGTAGGCCTATGTATTAAAAACTTTTTCTGCTTCATCACACCCTAATACAGAAAGTGCCACAAATGTAATGTGAAATGCAAAACCACCTTTCAGCCAAGTTTCCAAAACCATTTCTTTCCATAAAAGCAAGGCTTGCAGTTGATTCACCACCTGAGGGTAAAAAAACCCAGAAACCAGACCAGCTATCAGAACTTGTGCCTGATAGCATCCATTGTTTTGAGTACTGGCACCTACCAAGTATCTTCTGCAATATGAAGTAGAAGAAGAAGAGTTTGGATTTGATATCCTGCCTTTCACTCCCTTTAAGGAGTCTCAAAGCGGCTAACATTCTCCTTTCCCTTCCTCCCCCACAACAAACACTCTGTGAGGTGAGTGGGGCTGAGAGACTTCAAAGAAGTATGACTGGCCCAAGGTCACCCAGCAGCTGCATGTGGAGGAGCGGAGACGCGAACCCGGTTCCCCAGATTATGAGACTACCGCTCTTAACCACTACACCACACTGGCTCTCAGTGTGTATTACCACAAATTAGACACACTACTGAATTAAGCGGGGAAAGTTAATGTGAATCTTTATTGATTGTCTTTCCATATTCTAAGTTCATACTATCAGAGCCTTGCAGGGGCCAAAAGATATAAAAAGGTAGGCTACTCAGTTGCAGCAGCCTTAACAATTTGCTTTAAGAAATATGAGTTACACAGGTGCTATTTGGAAGTTTTTGCTTGCTTGGCATACTGGATGGTATCCAGAGCTGCCCCAATGTCGTAGTTCTTGGAATGCAGCAGGTGAGTGAGCCAGCCTCCTTCATCAGAAAACCCCATAGACAACATCTGGGACAAGGATTCAATGAGACGGGGGTCTGCTTCTGTAAATAAGTAGAAATAGGATTAGTTGACCCAGCTATCCTACAACCTTGCCTACATCCCATCCCCAATTTGCAAATCCACAGCTGGATGTTTTAAGATGGTGTGGGCAACTGACTATGCCTAGGTTGTGTTCTCTAAAAACTGGACCCTTACAAGCTTTATCAGGAAAAGTTACCAATAGGAAGACCAGCTGAGGCTGACCTTGATTAGGTAACAATCTTTCTAGTTATCCTGGCAACCCGTGATGGTTATAAAGCTCTGAACAGCTCAAGACCTGCAGACAGGGCTGCGTTCCTGTCTTTCTGGTATCAGGCAAAAACATTTGCTTGGGAATTTAAGCAGCTCATATAAACTAGGTTTTGGGGCTATTGTTTTGTTGTATTTTAGTTGTATGTTGTCATGGAAGCTTATACCGATATGCAGCTAACGAACTTTCTACTCACTTGAGTTCAAGTGACCAATTTGTCTTGTAAACAATACTACTGAAGAGATGTGACTCAAATACAATCCTATGCATGTCTACTCCAGACATAAGCTCACTGAGTTCAGTGGCACTTACTCTTGGGTAAGGGGATGCAGGTTTCAGCAAGTAACATGTAATATTAGTCTGTACCCAAGGCAAACAGGATTTGATTTCCTAACATGCCAGAGCTGTATATAGCCTTCCAATGTCTTTTTTTTTACCTGGTGGAAGGTGAGGATAGAGTGCGGCCTCTCGCAGTCCTGTTGGTCCTGTGTTAGTGGGAGCTTCAGCTGGATTCAGAGAGCTTGGGTTGTCACTCTCTGGCATTTGTAAGGACTGCAGTTCACCAGTTGAAGGGTCTACTTCTTTTGGAGACAAATGGGTCCAGTCCTCATCTGCCCCTGAACTGCTGCTGGATTCAGCTGGTTCCTGGGATTGCACAAAGACAATGTGGAGAGCCTGCTTTAGAATAACACAACGTACTCCTTAAAAGACCTGCACCTAATGAAGTTACTTACCAATAGCACATACATATTGCTCACTGGCTATAACTAACTTATAATTCCCCAACACTAAAGTTCTCTGCCTCCCTCACCTTAAGGAATATTGCAGGTATACTTTCTCTCGGATTTTCCATGACTGCTAAACAGACATTTGATGCCCAAGAAAACACATCAAATGCAACATTGCTAACCACAACCTTCCATGAAAATTTTAGCCACGTCAGTGTGTATTACAGATCTAGCTTCACATCTAAAACTACCCCCTTCTATACATGCTGATGTTACTAATCTGTGGCTTTAAACATACACCAGAAAAATGGATTTCCACATGTACAATAGTACTTCCTCCTGCCTCTCCAGCACCTCCACACTCAACACTGGGAGACCCTCCAGAACAAGTGTAAGTGAGGAGCTGCAGTGGGAAGTCCTCTTGTGCAAGTGGAAGTCCACATGTGATAATGGATTTCACCCTGTCTTACCAAACATCTCTTGCTCAATTATATACTCTTGATTATTTTCAGGATATCTAGCATGGGTCCCCCCCCCCACCCAGCCCTGAAGCTAGAAGTATACAATATGTTGCCTTTTCAGAGCCTAATGTCCACCAGGAAAACCGAACAAAGAATGCCCTGCCAAGTAACCATGCATACTCAGAATTCAGTTGGGCTGACTCCCACCTAAGCGGAGTTAGGATTGCAGCTTTAGTTTCTTTGGAGATAATACATTTTTTCTGTTGTATGTTATTGTACAGAGGCTAGAAGATTACCACTACTCATGACCATCTCTAAATAAATTTAGTACTCTCTTGCATAGGAAAACAAAAGATCAATTTAAGTTCCTAATATAAAAAGCATCAGTGCTGATCTTAGTGACAAGCATACAGTAAACAGTGTACATCTTTACCCTACTGACTGCACATTTCGGAAGTGACAGTTTAACCTTCATACTCGTACCTCTGACAAGAGGTTCTCCTCTTCCATCTGTGTAGCAGGAGAATGTACTGCCATTTCCTGCAGCTGGTCTGTAAGAGTATCTGCATCTGCAGCTGGTTTGCTGTTGGTACTTGCTTCTGGTCCGGTCTGGTCACTGGAACCTCTCTTCTCAGAACTAGGTTCTGTACTAGGTGACACTTTGCTCCTCTGTCCCTCATGTTCCACATCAATATCAACATCAATACCTAGAAAAACAATTTAAAAGTTGGAAGCTGGTGGTAATCTGCAATCACTTTATGTTTCTGTCTACATCTACATCTCTAGGGATTTGAAGACAGTCTTCTCGGATGGATTCCCCCTCCCCCTTAGAATGGCAACGGTTTGCTATTCTGAAGGTCAGACAAAAGTAGCTCTCCAATAACCTTGTCCAGGAATTGTGGACAGAAGTTTCATGTTCCCACTGAGCAATCACTGGGGAGAATGTGAAGACTGATAGCTGGTTGATATGAGAGAAGATGGACAATGTGCCAGCTATTCTGTAACATTCACCTACTGCTGACTGACCTGCAGTGCCAACTTTCTCCTCGGACTACATTGCTCTACAACAGCTTAAAGTATTTATAGTCTGCCTTTGCACAGTGCAGTCATACATCTGAAGGACAGTCACCTTCAACAAACTCCAGCATCCGAGCACAGGCCCAGGAGATGCCCACTTTTGCCTTTTTGTTTCTCCTATGTAATGGCAATTAGTATTTGAGAAGATAAACACAAATGAAACACTTGCTAGGACCACTCCCCCCGCCCCCCAAAGCTAAACCATAGTATTAGAAGACTTTGACATAAAACTATTTGGGAGGAAAGGGTAAGGCAAACTAAACAGAAGGCCCACATGTCCTGTATAGGTGACAGATACCGTAAAGGCACGGTACTGTAACACATATCCTTTTGATAGTGGCAGAAAGCAACTAGTAAGAGACCCAATTGATCAAACCACAAAAGGCTACTTAAACCATTTGATATTTCTGAAAGCTCACATGCAGAGTATGAAGGCAAATCATAGATGAAAGCAGGCAATGATAGCCAGATGAAAGCAACTGCTTACCAAGCGGACCCAGAAATGCAGCAACACTTTCTCCAACATTCTTCAAAAAGGTGACATTGGGATCTTGAGATTGACTGCTAGAAGCTGTTTTTAATAAGGGGGGGAAAGTTACTAATAGATCTTGTAAGAGAAAAGTTGATCAGTAAAGTTAAAAGGATTCACAAACTCAGTTCCTTTTAGCTCCTAATTATGATTTGATTTATAACTCAGTGTAGCATTCTAAAAGGAGATCCTGAACACATCTATTCAAAAGTAAGTTCCTGAAAGCAATGAATTTGGGACAGTGTGCACCTTTTTATTTTGCATTTACAGCCACCATTATGGTTATCAGAAAGTTAAACGCATACCTTGCTCAGGAGCAGCACTCTGAGAAGTGGTGCTACCTTGTGCCTGGCCAGGGTTTTGACACTTGCGGGCAGGACAAGGATGACCACAGCCTTGCATCCACGCAAAAGGTGAAACACCATGTTTCATCTTACGAAGCCAGCGACCTCTGGGAAGCCACTAAAGGTTAAAAGAACACGCTGTTAGGGGTAACTGTCGCTTTAGAAAATAGTTGCAGTTCATCTTAGGCAAGATGATCTTTACAGCCCCCTCCAGGCAACTGCTTTTCCCTCATGTTACTTACCTCAAATGGATGGAGCAATGGACTCTGAAACATGATCATGTTATGTTCCTTATGGATACCTTTTCCCTCACAAGTACTGCACAGGTCATAGTCAGGACAAACAGTGCATTTGAATCTTGCACCCGCAACTGGGCCATCACAACCATCACAGATCACGTTGGGATGCACCATGTTCGGTGGGCGCTCCTGGCTGCAGGATTGGCGGTGCAGGTGGTCACGCTTCAGCTCCTTTTTCTCTGAAGGACACAAACACAGGGTGTTGCTGAAATATGCCCAAGATAAATGAACCAATAGCCATCGAGCTGCAGAACTAGACAGTTGTAAAAGGACAGAAATGGAAGCGTGTATACTTTATTCACTCCTGCACCTCCAACTTTGTTTTGCCCAGAAGTGAACTAAACAATTTCTCATAAAAGCCTTTAGTGCCTGCCACTACCTCTCTCCCATGTGTTTGTGGTGTGGATAACCATGAACAGAGTGTCAAATCAGTATTTGTATACAAGGATGACAATAGATGTAAAAGTCACATTCTGCAAAAAGTGTCTGAAGCATCATTTTCAGAAATGTTGACAACCCAGCTCATCGAGGACTTGTTTGTTTTGAGTGATCGTAACTTTGTTTTCCTATCAAGTTGCACCACAGACTACTGTAGCCAACTCTGATTTTTTTAAATCTTCAAATATGTTATTCATGGCACAGTTTGTACCAGCAGACAAGATATCCATGAGTTCCAATTACCAGAGATACATATGACTTAGGTTTTTTTCTATTTCCAAAGGAGAGTAGCCACTGAGTCTTTTTCTCAGCATGGCTCTTATTGTAACCCAAGATTATTGTTATTGATATACTTTGCTCACCAGCAGTCTCTGCTATCCAAGTCTGCAAAATGCCTTCTCTATTATATCCTAAAACTTTTTTTAAAAAACCAGACTCAGTTTTCCATCAGGGCCACCAATAACTTTTCCTGTTCTAACCTTCTCAATTTTGGGGGTTTCAACATCTGCTCTGCAGGTAGGAATGGGCAGGGAACAATGATAAGCAGAGGGTTATACCCATTCTGTATATTTTAGAATGTTCTAAATATGGGTGCTCATAGGTTATGAATATAAATGCTCATTCTTATTTCAGGCCTTAAAACCACCAATTCCAATATTGGGGAAAGTTAGGGAAGGCAAATTCTAGATCTCTTAGCCTATCACCATTCCTCTCTTAGGATGCTGTTCTGGTGGATATTCACCCTTTCCCATGTGTCTGGCAATGTCTCATTTCTTGCAGAAATCTAGCATGAAACTGCCAACTTCTGTCCAACTGAGCTTTCTTTTAGTGTGTGGCTTGTGCCCCATTGGTACGCAACAGCTTTGTTAGGAGGAATTTCAAGCCTCTTGGAGCACAACAAAGAAGTCTGGTCATGTAAACTTTGGATCAGCTATACACTTCTTGTTACAATTCTTCAACAAATCTCCTTTACTAGAGTTTCTATGGGAAAGGCATAATCTCCTATTGGCCTAGTTTATGGGCTCTACCACCTCAGACTGCTGCTGCATTCCAACTATACATTGGTATTAGTTGAAAAACAAAATTACACATGTCAAAAACAGCTTGGAACAATGGTCATTGAAAGAATAAGGGTAGAATGAGAAATGGGGGAAGTCTACTTCAAGGGATTTAAATGTAGTGGCCAACAAACCCACCCTTGTACTGGCTCTGGGTGAATTTCTAGTTTTCAAGACTGGTTTTGCCAATGCAGTATAAATTCCCATTAAATCACTGGGGTTCATAGAGTCTCGCCTTACTCTCAAGTGATATTTCCTATAGCAGCCATTCTCATGAAACACTAGCTTGTTAAAAGCTGTGTCTTAATTTGTGTAGTGCAAAAGCTGTGAAATGCAGGGATGTTTTCCCCTCTTGAACGAATTATAACTACTAGAATACATTACAAGATAGCTGCCAAAAGCAGTTAAGAGAGAATACTAAACTGGCTAAGATTACCTTTAACATAAATGCGAAAAATCCCATCTTTCACACAGGGCAGGGCCAGCTTCAGTTCTTCATCACTGGAAAAAGCAATCATATCTCCATCTTCATCTGAAATAAGAACACAGTTAACTCACTTTGACAGCAGATACTCAGCCTTATCCTGAAATTTCTGAATAGGGCAGCAGAAAACACTGTTGGACTCGATATGTACTCTACCTTCCTCTTGTTGGGGTGTATGCAAGTCTGTTGTTAAGAAAGTTGCCTAGCGCCATCTGCATGGGTGGCGAATTATCCTTTGGTTACACATTTATTTCACATAGCAAAGTAGTGCTTTCAGAAGACAGATTTACAGCTTTTATTCAGTTACTTGAATTAAAATCTAAAGGCAAATAAGCTTCAGATTGCAGGCTATGTAATGCAAGCTAGCTCTGATGAAAGAAATGTAACCTTCCACTGAAAAAGCTATGCAGTTCTCAGCTACCAACTGAATTACTGTTCCAGCAGCTGATCTCTAGTAAAGATGCACCGATGCTTTAGGCAGTGATTTATACAAAGCTATTAAAAAGAGCAGCCTTCCCAGACCTGGTGGCCTCCAGCTGTTTTTGGACTACAGTTCCCATTGTGCCAGATCAGGACAGGTTTTATTGGAGGTTTTATTGTTAATGAAAGCAGCAACAGACAATAACCTCCTAGCACCTGATTCTTGAGATGAGAAAAGCCTTCATTTATGTTTCCTTTAATGGAAATCGGCATTCCTTTCAAGAGAACCTTAAAAGCAGCATGCACTGTCAGTAGTACAAAAAAATAAGGCATTGCTAATCAGTTCTGACCTTCAGGCAGGACTGAAAACAGTGCACAACATGCATGCAGGTACAAAAGCAATTTGCTACCTTTCCTCATAACTGGGAAGCCCAGGCATTACCAAGTTGCCTTCTGGAAGTAATACTTAATGGAATGACAGAGCATCTGCGTTGCATGCAGAAATGCTGCTGTAAAGGCTAGGAGACCTGTCTGAAATCCTTGCGAGCCTCTGCCAGTAAGTTTAAGAAATAGTGAGCCAGATGGACCAACAGTCTGATAGTTTTCTGCGCTCTTGTGTATTCAGACATCAGCCTCTGAAAACTACAATACACAGTGCAGTTCTCTCTCACACTTTATATACCAATAGTCATGAGTGGTTTAAAAAACACTTCTTTTGAAAAGTGTGCAAGACTTGCAGGGCTAACAGAGCTCCCTAGAAGAAATTCTGGTTGCTACAGGAATATCCCAGTATGACGTAACTGCCCAAGTGTACAAACATGCTTAAACAAATATTTACAGCTGGGTTGCAGTTGGGTCACTGTGCAGCATTGCACAATGGCACTTATTTTAAATAAATTTATGAGAAGTATCAGTGAGCTCCATATCCTATCTTGTCATATCTTACTACTAAGGGGATCCCACCACCCTCAGGAAACACATAGACAGTTCCCAAACAGAAATTTGGACACCAGTAGCTAGTACCATATTAACGCCTGCAGTGGCAGTCCCCTCTTCACAGTGGAGACTCTGCTGTTTATGTCACTCCTCTGTGTGCCATACTTTTTGCCCAGATTGTTGAAGAGCAACTTCACGCCATGGGTCCCTTAGCTTCACGCCATGGGTCCCCTGATACATATCAGAGCAAAATTCCACACCACCGCACTATGTGTATGAGTCTCAATAATGCAACCACACAGAACCTTCCTATCTGATCAATGCCTACCCTCCCAGGCACTGATTAGTTGGGAAGAACTGGGCCACCCACACATTTTTGGTTATTTGTATGTATGAGATGACAAGAACTATGATAATTGCATGGTGGGACTAGAAATGAGCAACTGAAACCAGATTTAGAGTAGCCACACGCTATAGAGTCTTCCCTTTCCCCACCCAACCTCAACAGGTGAATTGAGGTTGTTACCTGCACTGAGGTTTAGTGAGACATAGCTAATAGCAGTTTTAGTGCTCAGGCCTCAACACTGGAGGAGTAAACTGAGTGGAAAAGACTGCCTCTGAACTAGTACAGAGTGCCTTTTCTTAAACATTATCAGAGACAGCTTCCATTAGCAAGTAAGGCTTCTAGACTAGGGTGTGTTGCTTCCTAACAGACCTGAATTCCAAATCTTATTTCGTTTAGAGATTAAGAGCTGGTTTGAGCAAGTATAGCAGAAGGGCGTGACAACTATGATAGGTTAATGAGCAAAGAATATATATTATGCACACAGGCACTGGACAAAACCTCCAACTGCTTCTCCACTGCACAACGGAGTCTGGGAAACCTTGACCTGTTGATTTCAGCCCGACAGGCAGCAATAACGGCTACACAGAGCCCTGCCTCCCAGATCTAGCATGAAAAGCATTAGGACTATCAATTCACTAAAGCAGAGGCGCCTTTTAAAGGTAAACACCTTTTTTCCTGGCCTTGTTGCGGTACCTTGAACCACAGCGAAGCTTTTCCCAGACCCGGAGATCAAGTGACTGAAAAAAGTTTCCCAGGCCGGATTTCATGGAATCATAGAATTGGAAGAGAATTATAGAGCTGGGTCATCTAGCCCAACCCCTGCGATGCAGGATTCTCAAATCCATGACAGGTGGCCATCCAACCTCTTCTCATAAACCTCCATTGAGGGAGACTCCGCCACCTTTCGTGGGAGTCCGTTCTGCGATCGAGCAGCTGTCAGAAACGGACATAACTGTCTGAAGACGTACTGTCTTCCCGACGCTTTAGTCGGAATCTCCTTTCTGCGTGCAAGGCTATTGCAGCGATCCTGTCGCACAAATAAATAAGATACCGGAGTTGGAAGTAAAACACCACGCTGGCCTGTTGTTAATGGTCCCCCGCCCCCACTCACCCTTATAGTACATCTGAAAGGCGCCCGTGGCGGCTGCGGAATTGCGAAGCAGCCCCTGGAAAAGATCGGCGATCTTGTCCCGTATCGGCAGGTAGCGGGCAGGTGAGTCGAGGGCGAAGCGGCGGATCTCGCGAGTCACCTCCTCTTTGCCCAGCAGGTAGGCCTTCACCGTCATCGGCGCCATGGCGGCAGCAGCTGGATCTAGTGGCGCAGCAAGAATTGGTTTACGCAGGAAGGCGGGAGGGAGGTCGGACCGGATCACGACGACACCGCTCCGCGTGGCAGCCTCCTTTAACTCTGTCCTCGAGCCTGCTTTGCCTGCTGCTTGGCCGCTCGTCCCCGGGCTTCTTATAGGCGCTTTTGCAAAGAGGGCGGGCTTGAGCTGGGAAAGTCCCCACCCAGGGAGACGAGCAGGGGAGGAGCGGCAACAACAACAACAATAGCGGGGGCGTGCGCGACCCTTGCGCTAAAAAGCTGCTTCTAGAATGAAAGGAGGCGGGGGAAAAAGGGAGCGGGGTTGCAGCTCAGGAAGGAGAACACCAAGGACAGGGGAAGTGCCATTGTCAGTCGTATGATTTTTAAAGCGGGGAGGGGGAAGGCAAGTCAATTATCCTTTGTGCCCCTGGAGGTGGCGTCTCGTTTGCCTCCTCGTGAGGAGGAGGGGAGGAGGAGGTTTGATCTCCCCAACGCGGTTTAGTTCCCTTTGCAAACCCCGCGTGTAAGCATTACTCAGCACTTTCTTGCTCCGCGGCCTACAGAAAGAGAGGTGGGCGGAGGAAAGCAGGCAACAAGGCGAGGTTGTTTTTTGAAGCGGGAGGTGGCAAAGGCGAGCAAAACGCGAGACGTGGAAGCTCCTCCTGCTGCCTCGCCCGCTCCGGTTCCTGCGCCCGGTGTGGTTTCGGTATTGCTGACTCACTGTGTGCTGGATCTAATACATACGAGGCTGGGCAAGAGGAGGTAGGCCTCGGACGGCTTCCCGTCTCTCGTGCCCAGCCGGGGCTTAAAACGTTTGGCTGAAGTGCGGTAGGAGGTTGCTCAAGGTCGCTAACAAAAAGCCCCCTCAAGAATTGGTTTCTTTACGAAGTGAAAATGACGATGAACCTTATTAATTAAGGGTTATTGATTAATTGTCACTGCAACACAAGGAAAGAACTGATCCCTCTTTAGTGTCGCAGTTATGGCTCAGTATGAATGCTTTAAAGCAAAAACACTATTCTTCAGACACCATCCCGCTGTCCGGATATGCTCCTTACATTTTTGTGCCATGTTAATTTAGGTATGTCTCCCATAACCTCAACCATAGTGCCAATTTAAGCAGCAAGAAGGTCCCTGCTGAAGGGAGCCAAGGCATCAACCAAACTACCTGCTTCCAGAAGCGGCCATTCAGTACAGTGGTGCCTCGCAAGACGAAATTAATTCGTTCCGCGAGTTTTTTCGTCTAGCGAATTTTTCGTCTTGCGAAGCACGAAATCCCATAGGAACGCATTAATTGAATTTCAATGCATTCCTATGGTCAAAAAAAGTCCAAACAAAGCCAAATTTGGTACAACAAGAGTTTATTAAGTGCTCTTTAAAGTCACACATACTGTAAAGAGCATTTCAAAAATTGAAGGAACAATAAATTAAGTTTCTAAACATGACAGAAAAACATTTAAAAATCAACAAAGTGTACAGTACATTTTCTAAGACTCTTTGTACAACTCGAAGAAGGTTCCTCTTCCACTCTTTGCTTCTTGCTGAAGAACCTGTCCATGGTCTGCTGCTTCATCCACCTTTTCAGCACCTCCCTGAAAGGCGACATGACCCTCGTATCAAAAGTGTTCACAAGGTCATGTGCCACGTGCTTGTCAGGGTGGTGCCGCTGCAAAAGCCTGCACATCCTTCCACTTCAGGCAAATGTCCCTCAGTTCTTTGGAGGACAGCCGTTCCTCAGTTGCTTCCTCCTCTTCCAGCGAGGCCTGCTCCTGTGCAGCCTCTGCCTGCAGTTCGACCAGCTCCTGGGTGGTCAGCTCATGGTCGTGCTCCTCCACCAGCTCGCTGATGTCCTCCTCTGTGACCTCCAGGCTCATGGTCCTCCCCAAGGCAACAATGTCCTGCACCACTGTTGACTCTGGTGCATCAGAGTCACTTGGTGCCACACAGGCTGCGCCAAGCGCAATTCAAATTTCTCTGGCTGATCCCGTTCCAGGCCGTGGTGATCATCTTCAAGCAGGTGACGATGTCGAAGTGGTCCTTCCAGAATTCCCGCAGGGTGATGGTGGTGCAATCAGTCACCTCGAAGCATCGCCTGAAAAGCTCCTTGGTGTAGAGTTTTTTGAAATTGGCGATGACCTGCTGATCCATCGGCTGGAGCAGTGGCGTGATGTTAGGCGGCAGGAACATGATGCTGATGAAGCTGAACTCCTCCAACGAGTCCAACTCAAGGCCTTTAGGATGAGCAGGAGCATTGTCCATCAGAAGCAAAGCCTTCAGCAGCAGGTCGTTGTCCAGCAGGTACTGTTTGACAGCAGGGCCAAAAGCAAGATTGACCCAGTCCACAAACAGCACACGTGTGACCCAAGCCTTACTGTTGGATCGCCACATGACACTCAGCTGCTCCTTGTCAACCTTGTGTTTCTTGAAGGCCCGTGGGTTCTCCGAGTGGTACACCAGCAGAGGCTTGATCTTCAGGTCGCCACTTGCGTTGGCACAGAAGAGCAGGGTCAGACGGTCCTTCATGGGCTTGTGGCCAGGCAACTTGGCCTCCTCCTGTGTGATGAAAGTCCTTTTGGGCATCCTCTTCCAAAACAGCCCGGTCTCGTCGCAGTTGAAGACTGTGGAACATAGCCCTCCGTCTTCACAGCCTCCAGGAACTCCGCTGCAAAGTCTTCAGCTGCAGAAACATCAGAACTGGCAGCCTCTCCATGCCTGACCACGCTGTGGATTCCAGATCTTGCCTTGAACCGGTCAAACCAACCTCTGCTTGCCTTGAAGACTTCTGGCTCCCCTGAGGTTCCTGGCTGTTCCCGGACGAGGTCTGCGTGCAAGGCCTTGGCCTTCTCACAAATGACGGCCTCAGTCACTGTGTCCCCTGCACGCTGCTTCTCTTCTAACCAGATGAGCAGCAACTTCTCGACCTCCTCCAGAACAGCTGGGCGGTTCTTCACGATCCTGGTGACTCCCTTGGCTGCATCAGTCGCAAGGATCTTCTCCCTCATCTTCAGGATGGTCCCGATGGTCGATGGATTCCTCCCGTACTCCCTGGCGAGGTCTGTCACATGCATTCCACCGTTGTGCTTCCGGATGATGTCCTTCTTCATTTCCAGCGTCACCTTCTCCTTCTTCCTCTCGCCGGCCTCTGCAGCAGCAGTCTTCTTGGGTCCCATGGCAGCACAGCTCCTACCAATGGTCACAGAAAATCATAAAAATTCAAAAAAACCCCACACAAGCTCCCAGATTCTTGCAAACCCCTCCTCAACTGTTCCCCCAGCCACCCACCACACAGAAATTCAAACCCAGAAATTTTTTTAAAAAAACAACAACATGGCCCAATGGTCACAGAAAATCATAAAAATGCAGAAAAAAACCACACAAGCTCCCAGATTCTTGCAAACCCCTCCTCAACTGTTCCCCCAGCCACCCACCACACAGAAATTCAAACCCAGAATTTAAAAAAAAACAACAACAACATGGCCCAATGGTCACAGAAAATCATAAAAATGCAGAAAAAAACCACACAAGCTCCCAGATTCTTGCAAACCCCTCCTCAACTGTTCCCCCAGCCACCCACCACACAGAAATTCAAACCCAGAATTTTTTTTTAAAAAAAACAACATGGCCCAATGGTCACAGAAAATCATAAAAATTCAAAAAAAAAACCACACAAGCTCCCAGATTCTTGCAAACCCCAACACCAAGTCCTTGAATTCCAAACACCCCAACCCAAAATCCAAAACCCCCCAAAAAAGTTTTAAAAGTTTAACTTACCAAATGGCTGCAAAAGAAGTTTTGGAAAAGCTTCAAAAATCGCCAAAGTCTTCAAAAACCTCAAAAAAGGCTACCACACTATGAGTTGCTCCTCGAAGTCAAGTCGCAACTGCACCTCTTCAAGCAATGCACCTTGGGTTTTAACGGTTTTATGAAAAAGGAAACAAACTTGCAAGACGTTTTCGTCTTGCAAAGCAAACCCATAGGGAAATTCGTCTTGCGAAGCAGCTCAAAAACCGCAAAACCCTTTCATCTAGCGAGTTTTTCATCTTGCGAGGCATTCGTCTTGCGAGGCACCACTGTATATTTCTAGATGACATGAATGCAACACTTAGGATGCCCCACTAGTAGCCTCCCACTATGGGCATAGCCAGGATTTATTGGGGGGCAGCAGGCATTATATTAGGGGGGGCAGAACCGAGTTATCTGCAACACAATTGGTCATTTTTTTTATTTATTTACTTGCTGGGGGGTACCCTTCAGGTAACCTGGCCCAAAAGCTCATGAGGGCTTTAAAGTTTAAATACCAACACTTTTAATTGGGGTTGGCAACAGGCTGGCAGCGAAGCAAGTGGCAAAGTACTGGCATAATATATTGACCAGTTCCAGTTAAGTATCTTACTGTTGTATTTCGGAACTGCTGACATTTCTGGGCCATTTTCAAATGCCGCTATATAACACTGTATAATACTGCAGCAATTGAAAAAAGGAGCATGGATAACTAGCAAGGCTGTCTTAATCCCAATAGGGTCACATTTAGTATAACACCTGTGTCTCCAGAGACAGTAACCTGGTATTTTAGGGCAGCGGCAGGGATTATTAGACCCTGGGGCCAAATGTTGTTATTCACTCTTCTGTTTTTGGCCATTGTGACTTTCTCCCGGTCACACCTCTCACCTCTGTGAGCGCTTTTTCCTAGCTGGTCTGGACCGTGTCCTTTATCTTTGATAGTGGTTTTTTGCTTGCATGGATGGAGGACAAAGAGTTGTCTGTAGAAACCTTACTACAATCTTGCCTATTATACAAAGAAATGTATAAATTATTCTGCCCACTTTTGTTTCTAGCCACCCCCAGAAGGCTGCCCTGTTAAGAATGTAAACTGTTGGCCTGTAAAAGCTTCCCTGGCCCTGCTTTAAAGGGGCTGCAACTCTCCAAACTACGTTGGGTCAGAACCATTTACTAACAGTATCTCTTGGAGTGGGGCAAGCTGGGATAGGGTGCGCTTCGCGGAACTGGTGCCTGTATCGAGTCCGCTCCACCCGCCGCCTCCTTCCCCTCAGTTGCAGGTACTGTGCCACCTGAAAAGGCACTATGGGACTGACAACCACCCACTGTGCCACTGGTCTCAACCCTCAGCTATGCTAGTGACCAGACCACATCTCTAGATAACTTGTCCTAGTGGTTTCATACAGATATTAAACAGTAAGTGGGATAAAATGGAACCCTGTGGAATTTTATACAGCCAAGAGATACCGCAGTAATGCCCCAGCACCACTTCTTGGAATCTACCATCCAAGTAGGAGTGGAACCATTGCAACACAGTGTCTTCAGCACACAACCCAGACAGCTTCAGAGGTCCCTGGGAGGTCCAAGAAAACTAATAAGGTTGCATGAACCTGCCCTGCTCCTCTCTGGGCCAAGGTTGTGCTTCTAGGAAACCAAACCAGTTGCCTTTCCAAAACCAGGCCTAAAGCCTGACTGAACATGCAACAGTTAAACTGAATGTTGGAGGGGAAACAAAACCCCCCACATACAGCAGTACTGTCAAATTAACAGATTAATGCAGATGTTTTAATGTTGAAGTTGGTGGTAGTATTGAAATATAATTTTATTCACCTGGGAGTGATTTACTCAGTCTTCTGTACTAGCCAACAGCTGATGGTTGGTTTTGATATTGGGGCTTTCAGAACCATTAAACATATTTGCTGAAATAAAACAACATGATAACAATAGCAACATACGTTAACAGCTAAGAAAAAAATATTTATGCATTCTGGTCCTTCCCTTTAGGTAACTGACCCTTTTTTTCCGCCTCACACTTTTGGAACAATTTCTTAGCTAAAGCTAATGCATTCTTCTGGGTGTGCAGTTCTGGAGCCTGAATCAGATAGCAGTGCAAATATTACTCACATCAGAGGTCACATTTTAGACTTCCCAAGGTTTTTGGCTGCACAATATGTTGTTCAGATAATGGCTGGCATGCTTTTCAATTTGGTTAGATAATGTGCAGTTTACAGAAGATGCCATCTGAATCTTCTAAGTAGCTGATGGTAGATAATTGTGAACAGGACTCCTTTTCAGTGTTAATAACCTTTCTCCTTAAGGGTCCACCGCTCAAATTTCTTTCACTCAAGTGATACCTTGAGTGACATGCAGCCCATTTCTAAGCCAATTGAAATGGCCAAATTTATGCTTACCTAACTATGCATAGACTTTTAATTGTATTGTTTTACTGCTTGGTTGTTTGCCACCCTGGGCTCCTTTAGGAAGGATAGAAATAATAATAAAGAAGAAGAAGAAGTAGTTCCCGTTAATGGAGTTAGTAACGTATTAGATATAGGTTTCTCTATATTACACATTTCACTGGCCTCCAGGGTTTCCTGTTTGTGTGCTTTGAAAAGATTGGTCACAATCCATTGTATTGATGGATTTCTGTTTGGTACATTTATGCTCTTGAACACCTCCTGCGTAGAGGAGTGGTGCATTCAGGGGATTATGGAGGAAGGAAGACAGAAGCCTGGATCTGCCTTCTCTTTAGGAGTAATACACCACTGGGATGGAGAGAATCAGACAAACCATTGATTTCTTGTGAATTTTTGAAGGTTTGCTATGTTTCATACAGTGTAAGGCCTTAGTTCGAGGTTGCGATGGGGACTTTGGATTTTCAGGATATCGCAACTGCCCCCCTTTGGTTTTAACAGAAAGAAAGAAGCCCTAAATTTCAGAGAGCATTGCGGTAAGGTGAAGGTATTGTCTGTTTAAATGATTAGATGAGCACTCCAGTGCTTCATTTATGCCACAAAAGGTGAAGTGTCAGCAAGGGAGAGACTGAACCAACTGTGAAGGTGGAGAATGTTTACCAGGAAATGTTATAGGAAACTGCTTTTTATTTCTTAGTCACATCACACTTCCATCAAGTGGCAGCAATATTTCTTTATTAGCAACTTGAATATTATTTAGAACAGTAATACTGGAGTCAGTGTTTATTATCCTGCCCCAATTGAGGTCTGGGCATCTTTTCTCAGATGTATTGAATTTTACTATCCACATTTAAATGAGCAACTGCTCACTTAGATAACACTCACAAACATTTGTAATCCTATGTTAGGGGATTTGGGGGTGAAAGTTCCTTCTTTTATCAGTGAATTCATGTTTGGTTTTCTCATTACGTCATGCTTTTTCTAGAGGTTTCTAAAGTGAAGAAAACAATTACATCAGCACTTGCCATTCCACTCCAGCAGCTCTGTTGCGGTCCTTATTATCTAAAAGGAAACTAGCTCAGCTGCTAATGACTCACCTGAGTCCCATGACCATTCTCTTTCTAATTCATCTACTTCTCTCTTGCTGGCCTAGTAAGAAAATGAAACCTGTACCTGTTGTGCATAGTCATTTTGCCTCTCTGTGCCTCTGCAGCAGTGGGAAATCACAGAGCAGAAAAATGCATAAATGTCTCAAGTACAGTCTACTATTTACTTAGGTATCCTACATAGCGTTCTTCCTGGGGGACAGAATAAATTCTTCTTAAATTTTTTTTAGCTTTCTTTCAATCTATACGGCCTTTTCTTCTAGCACTGTTTGTTATTGTGGAT